TAGGCTCTAGGTACCTTTAGCCTTCTCACTTTCCCCGCTGTTTACAACCGGTGGTGGTAACAGCACCTCCCAAAGGGGGTTATTTGGATGGAGGGCTAGCGGGAGGGGGAAGAGGGAGCCAGCAGGAGGCGGTTTAGCGCTCGCGCTGGGCTGGTGAGGCGACTGGACAGGGGCTGCTGGAATGGTTGCAGTGCTTTGTTCTGCGCGTACCTGATCTTGCTTAATTTGATCGCAGCAGCCGTTGCGTAGGTGGCCGCTGCTAGCTGCTGGCTGATTGGCAAGATTCACTCTGATCATCCGCGATCACCACGGTGCATTGATTGAGGTATCCTATCCCGTACTGGCTGCTGCCGCCAGGAGACCGCGGACCACGGACCACGGACACATTGCATTTCTGCCGACGGCGAGGCCAGGCGACAGTCCTGGGTGCCGTTTCTAGGGGTCTAGGCGCGGAGTAGGAGCTCCCATCTCCATGTTTGCCTGCACTAGATGCACACATGGTGGGTGCATATCCAGCTCCACCTGCGATGCATCCCTGGAGCTAAACAGGACGCATTGCATTTCGCCTGCAATTGAGCCGCCGCCCACTGCTTCCAATCAGCAGCAAAGGTTCCGCTCCAATTGGACAGGCCGGGCCCAGATAATGCATACTGTACACTTGGGAGGGTGGCTGCTCCTTTGCTCCACGGGAAAGGCAAAAAACGCATGCATCGCCTGGGCTGGCCTGATCTGTCCTGGAGGGAGGGGGTTGGGGCCAGCCAGATGGCAAAAAGGCTCATGTCGACACTCTTCCCACGCCATGAGCGCTTGTTGGGGAGTGGATTCACCGTGGACTGACTGGGCGTCATGCGCTCCCGTATCGACACATGTCTCTCAAATTACTGGCGATTGCTGGCTCGATAGATCATCTTGCACAGCCCTCCTCAGTCCCTGCCGCCTACGTGTGTTTCCGCGTACCCTTATTCGTATTAGGTAGACGGCCTTTGCAAAACTGACTGCCGCACCGTGCCCTGCGGGATCTTCAGCCCCTGAGTTTCGAGCCTGGCGATCCAATTTTCTGGGGTTCCATCCAGGTTCCAGATTTTCAGTGGGTTTCTCGTGAACTTTGGCCCCCTGCACGGCGCTACAAATGCTAAGCAATGCGCTAGCGAGGACCTATCGCAAATCCCACAGTAGCGGCGGGCGCTGGGCATTACTCGATCATGAAGCACTGTCAACTGAGACCAGTCTGGTGTGAGCAAGTTGTTCAAGGCAAGGTCCTATGTTCGGAACCGGGGTCCTTCGCCTCCTCAATGCGTCAAAGCGAATCGCCTTGTCCGACAGCGGGTGGTGGGGAACGACCGCCAGATGTTCCAGAACCGGCCGGCGAGAGCCAATCTCTGCACTGTAAGCGGCAGATCCCAAACCGCCTGCGCGCCAAAGAGCAGCGCTTACCGAGCTCTGAGCGGCTATCCTTTTTTGTTTCTTGTTTGCTGATGTTCATTATGGTCCGTAAAAATAAATATAGCGCAAAGAGGCTAGCTGTCGCCTCGTCTCAGCTGTGGCTTGCTCAACCGCCGTGCTAGGCACTGGTTTGTAGGGGCGTTGTGTTTGACAGCAGATCAGACATATGCTTGCTGTTGTTACATGGGCTGCTACTGGCTACGGAACGGCAATGCCGCCGAGAATCATTTGTAGCCAGGTACCTTTGATCTCTAATGAACGTGATTCATTATTGATTGATTGAGAATGAGCCCATGTATGTATGCTGTTTCTTTTTCCTCTTGTGGTTTGCTTTGCCATGATTATATCCACAGAAGAGCAATAACGGCATTCGTGAGTAGTAATAGATGCACACGTAATTCTTGGGCCGTAGTGTCGCCGCCGTGACATTGTCCCTCCAATCAATAATGCATCATATAGCTGCTCCACTCTACGTGCTCGCTCGCTATGCAATCAAGCTTTTCTGTTTTGCATCACCCTGAAACGAAACACCTGGGCCCGTTTCCCACAGGCTGGGATGGGTGGCCGATACCTCAAACATGGTGGCACCAGGGGGTCTCAGTACTGGGCCGACTTTTCACAATCGCAGGATGAGCTTGGGCGTGCGTCCGATGATGGATTCCATCATGTCGGCGAATGCCATGAACGAGGAAAAGATGGGCGTACTAACTGCACAAATAGCTCATGGTGGCCAACATGATGTTGGGGCAGCCAAGGGTTGTGCCGTCTTCAGTCGATTCTGATTGCGATATCAGCGCACGTGACGATAAGACCGGCGATAGCGATACGGATACGGAGGACTTTCTTAATGGAGGTAGTGTCAATCACAAACTACGAGGCCGGCAGGGATGAGATGCACAGAATGCTTGTCTTGAATAACCGAGAATCACAACAAGCTCGCGATACCACAGAGCGCCCGACAATCTGAGCTAATTTCCTGCTGGTGCTACACCATCCGGATCGATAGCCAGATGCAGTGCAGACCACCAGCGAGGCTCGATGGACGGAAGCATTGGACCCTGAATCCGAAAATGTAACCCTCCCAACCTCTCCCCCCCTCAGGCCAAGGCCCTCTTCCCCAAATTCTCCTTCCCAAAGAATCTAGATACCCTGGATCAATGGCACGACGGATGCACGATGGGCATGCCCGCCGCTACCCCTCGCTCGCTACGAGCAGCTCGCCCCAACCGTCCGGATGGATCGAGGAGAATTGGCCCTTTTAGTAGGGACATTTCCCACAGTACCCACACTCTTTATCACACGCAGTGAGATCCTTGTCGTCCTCAGCGTCTGACCAATTGTATTCATACGGACTGTCGTATTCGTGATGTTCAGAGGCGAGGTAGTGGCCGTCATCGTCGCTGCTGGGAGTCTTCCCATGTTTCTCCCAATCGCTCCCACCGACCGTTGATGGATTGGTACGGCTGCTTCCCGATGGCTCGCCAGTCTCGCCGAGCCAATCCTTCCACTTCTGCTTGACCTCATCCGAGAGCGGGTCGCCAGCATCTGCCAGCTTCTCACGCAACTCCAAGGTATCGGATCCGTCGCAAAGCAGCTCGAACTCGGATGCATACCGCTCCTTTGACGTGGCCTTGTCAATGACCCAATGCAGGCATCTCATGAACCGCTTCAGGCCCTCTTGGTTCTCCTTCTCCCAGTCGTCGATGCGCTTTCGGGTGTCCAATTCCTGGATGTCGGTAAACACCCCGCGGTTGTGGAACGCGAGGATGAACTTCTCAATCTGTCGGACCCAGAGGCGAGGTGTTTCCTCTCCAAGAGTGTCTCGCCCTGCAGCCGACATTCTGGATCGTGTCTTCAGGTCAAAGATTGTCCCCTGGGCGACCTCCTCTCCACCGTCCTCTACTTGGAGCTCGCTATCTTTGCGACGGTAGGCTTTATCGCCGGACCCGACGTTGAATTCACCAAAGAGCTCCCACAGGTCGCCACCGGTCTCCTTTGCTTTGGTCATGACCCTGCGGGTATCAGAGATGTATCCATCTCCCTCGTAGCGGATCAAGGTTGAGAGACCGCCCAGTTGGTATCGCATGACCCTCTGATGCGACTTGGATTGTTTGACCTCGGGCTCCCAGGTCGTGTAGGCGTTTGGGAAAGAATGCCCGTAGCCCTTGATGTCGTCGATTGTCTCGGTGGACGAGTTCAGTCTCCGGACCAGATGGACCGTCGAGCCCACAGTCTGCACCAGCATGCGGAATGGACGGTCGGACTTCATCGCGAACCGCAGGAGATTACCCAGAGTGCTTCCGCAGGCGACTAGCTCGGGCTTTTCCAAGCAGGTCGGCTCCATCTTCATGATGGCCGTGACTTCTGGGTTCAATGCATGCTTCGACGCATACGCTGCATTGGGATCGACGTAGTATGTTTCTGTGTTGCTGTTGTCTTGGGTGAGCTGCTTCGGGGCATCGAGAGGAGTCCATAGGGCTGGTTTGCCTATGATACCTGTTAGTATTGGAGTAAGTGATTTGATTGTACGGCGTTCACTAACCTGGAACCATGATGGTCGGACGGTCTTGGCCAACCCAGTTGTATGAAGCAATCACCGCGGCGTAATCGATCCCAATGTGCCCATCAGGTAGGGACGCGATTGCGTCAGATGACAGTTGATCCCAAATAACTTTCGAAAGCAGCTCCCCCTTTGGAGGAGAAGGCAGCGATGATACATGTGGCCTGGGCCAAGCGCCGACCTGGGAGCGTGAGCCACGGGTTGGGCGACGGCTGCCACTAACGTATCCACGATGGAAGCTCATTCTCACGGGGAGCCACGGGAAGAGTAGTGGAAAGTTTTATTGGAGGTGGGATAAGTATTGTGCTATTGATGTTTGAGGGACAATTTAATGAAGGCACTCTAGATCGGTGATGCTCGCAACATTCGAGACGAGAGGAGGGACATGGAGGCCGATTAAATGGGCAGCAAGTTGGCCTGGCTCATCGCTCAATCTACCTCGTCAGATGCCTCGTCTGCCTTACCTCTCCTCCCATCAGATGCCACCTCACATTGCGTTTTCAAATATGCGGGAGGCCATCCAGCCAGCCACCGAGGCCTCTGCCTTTAACTGGCCTGTCAGATGAGGGGTGGCATCAAGGGTGGCGCATTTCGAATGTGCCAATGACAGTATGTCATCTTTATCATATTACCGAGAGTGCACTGTACGCCTGTTGGCTGTACTCAAAATACACTTTCATGCCTGCATCGCGCCAATGCAGGATGCCCTCAGAATGTGGTGTGCTGTGAGCCCGATGATTCTCTGATGCAATTCAGGCAGCGTTGTTGCTGCGATCGACCGTTTGCTTCTTTGTGATTCTTTTTAACTTGCCTATAGGTAGATTTTTCAATAAATTAGGCCTAATACCTCTTGATTTTCCTTTGCCCTTGATTTCTTTGCACGCGATCTAGCAATCTAGCATTGCTTCATTTGTACTCTCTACGCTACCTCTGCCCCATTCCTTGGGTTTGGTCAAACCACCTTCAAAAAGAATTAACTCTCCTGCTTTACCCTATCATGGCTTCTGCACAGCCTATCTCGCAGCGCGATGCAAAGCTCATCCAGCGTTTTAAGTCCTGCCTCCACGGGTCCAAGCAGATCGACTCGCTGCAAGACGCCAAGCACTTCTTCGAGGCCGCCTGCATCAATTGCAGGCAAGAGACTCCTGCCAAAACGCTGGAGATGATCGTCTCTGTCAGGAACGGCCTCGAAGCCCTCAGTGCGGCTGCTCGCCGTAGCCTCTCTGCCGACTTCCTTGCCGAGTCTGTAGTCCCGTTTCTCATGCAGCTGCAGGGCGCTGCCGTCAGGAACCTTGGCGATGGCCACTTCATTGAGAAGGCCCTCGAGTGTCTCCTCATGCCGGCGTCTCTGTGGAATGTCTTTGTTGAAGGCTATACTGCTAAGAGCCTCAAGGACGACGCTTTGATTATTTTTGCCTGGCTGTGTCTCGAGGTCGTCTCCTCGAGGCTTCCCGCCCTGTCTGCCCAGCAAGAAGAGGTCAGGACCCTGATGAAATCATCCCCGCTTCGTGATTCCAAGGTGCACGAGGCCAGGGTATATGGGTACCGTATCGAGAAAGTTCTCTCCATCCATGGTGTCAGGGCGCCAGTCGCGCCGGAGGTTTATGGGCCGGGTGGCCGCCATGACAATGATTTCCAAGATTTTCACGACATCTCCATCTATCCCACCCACGATGAGCTGCTCTCCAAAGAGAAGCCGTATCTGCAACGCCTTGAGGATGCATTTCGTTTCTCGGGAGATGACCGCGCAGGCGCCTACTTGGATTGGTTGTTCCGCCAACTACGAGAGGACATGGTCGCGGACCTGAAAGAGGAAACCCAGATCTCCATGGGGAGGAAGAAGGGGAGAGGGCGTTCGCGTTCATTGTTCAGAGATTTGAGTATCAAGAGAGATACACATACTGAGACGCGGCTTAGAGCCTTCACGGTGACTCTTCACTGCGGTAACGGGATGCAGAGCATCCTGAACATGCCCAAGGGCAAGCGAGAAAAATTCTTGGAGAATCCCAAAGCTGTGTTCCGCCATGATTCGTTGGCGGTTCTATTTTCCCCTTCAGCCATGGTTGCGTTTGGTTCGATGGTTAAACTGAACAACTCCATGCTCAACGGAGAACCAGTGTTTGGGTTGCAACTCAAAGACAAGATTGCCCTGCAAAATACAGTGGCGATGCTTCTGGGGCCGCAGAGAGACCAGCTGGCCCTGGCAATCGTCGAGTCCGCGACATTTGCATACGAGCCAATCCTGCGGCGTCTGCAGTCAATGAATGAGCTACCCCTTGAGGAGCCTTTGCTTGTACGAGGATTCCACCAGACGCCTCTTGAACACTCTGCCAAGTTTGATGAGCTGCTCAAACTTCTGAAAGAGCGTTATGATGAATCGGGCGAAATCATTTTCGGCCCCAAGCTCATGGTTGGGAAAAAGCCTCTGCGCCTCCAAGGCGCACAGCTCAAATCATTCATCAACGGCCTCTCGAACCCCGTAGCCCAGATACAGGGACCTCCAGGGACCGGGAAGAGTTTCATCGGAGCTCTTATAGGGCTGTTTCTGACTCGCTTCACCTCACAGAATATTCTTGTGCTCAGCTATACCAACCACGCCTTGGACCAGTTCATAACTGATTTGGTTGATATTGGCGTGAGCAAGAAAGACATAGTCCGTTTAGGTTCCAAAGCAGCACCAGAAATGGAAGCCATGAAACTGGAAAGTCGGACGAAAGACCCGAAATATTGGCGCTCGAATGGTGTTAGAGACCAAATTAGGAGTCTAAAGTCCGAGGAAGACGCGGTCAAGCTATGTATTACAGAACTGGTGCAGAATCTAGAGAGATTCCGTCCACCCACAACGAAGATTTTGGAGTGGCTTGAATTCTCGGAGAATTATGGATCATACTTTACTGCATTTTCACCCCTCTCTACCGAAGATGGGTTCACGCTCCAGCGTCATAAGGATTATGATACGGCGGAGCGGATCTATGATAATTGGAGACGAGGAAAGGGCCCCTCACCTCAATATCTTTCACAATTATCCGAGTATTCTCAGACAATACTCAAAATGGAACATAAAAAGCGCCAGGAGATTGACAGGATATGGTGTCAAGAGGTGCGGCAGGAGGATACGGAGGATCTCTGCAGTAGGCACGAAGAGCTCCATCAAATACAGAACCAGTTGAACAAACTTTATGATGAGAGCAAGAGAAACGTCCTACAGTCGACTAGAATCATTTGCTGCACCACAACTGGAGCGTCCATGTATCAGTCTAACATCAAGACAGCGCAACCGGATGTTGTTCTTGTCGAGGAGGCCGGGGAGATCCTCGAAGCTCACGTCATTGCCGCATGCAGCTCGTCCGTGAAGCAATTAGTCCTCATTGGAGACCACAAACAGCTTCGACCTAAGGTCAATAGCTACGAGCTTTCTGTCGAAAAAGGCGAAGGTTTCGACCTCAACAAGTCATTGTTCGAGCGGCGCATTGAACATGGACATGAATTTACCGTCCTGGAGGAGCAGCACCGCAGCCACCCAGACATTTCACACTTTGCTCGCCTTCTTTCCTATCCGACCTTGGTTGACGCTCCCAAGGTGGCTGATAGGCCGGGAGTACGGGGATTGCAACATCGAGTGGTATTTGTTCACCATGAGCACCCCGAACAAGAACTGGCCGACTCCACCGAACTTCGAGACCCTTCAGCGGGGAACAGCAAGAGAAATCCATTCGAGGTCGAAATGGTGCTTAGAACAATCAAATACCTCAGTCAGCAGGGTTACAAGACCGAGAACATGGTTGTCCTGACGCCGTACCTGGGTCAGCTGTCGCTGATGAGATCGGAGCTTAGCTCAAGGACTCAAATCGACCCCCTTCTCAACGATCTGGATTCTTACGAACTCATCCGCGCTGGGCTGATGACCAACGTCTCTGCCAAAGTACAAAAGGCAAGAGTAAGGCTCTCTACTATTGGTATGCACTCCCTTGAGATCCAAATATTTCACAGCAGATTCAGTCGCTAATCTTTATCACTGGTAGATAATTACCAAGGCGAAGAAAGTGATATCGTCATTGCCTCATTGACTCGCAGCAATGCCTCCGGAGATATCGGGTTTCTTTGCGCCCGAGAACGTCTTGTTGTTCTCATGTCGCGAGCACGGGAGGGGATCATTCTCTTCGGGAATATGCACACCTTCATGAAGAGCAAAAGAGGCAAAGAGCTCTGGACCCAATACTTTGACATCCTCCGAGAGAAAAAGTGGTTGGTTGAAGGGCTACCCATACGCTGCGAGCAGCATCCCGACAGAGTGCAGGAAGTCAAAACACCAGAGGATTTTGATCGATATTGCCCGGATGGTGGGTGTGGGCAGAAGTGGTACGTAAAAAGGAACGACCATACAAGGAACTCCAAAAGCTAACAACGCTGGTAGCGGGGCGATGCTTTCTTGCGGGAAACATGTTTGCCAAAGATGTTGCCATTTTCTCACCGACCACTCGCAGACGCCCTGCTCTCGCGTGATTGAGGAACTATGCGAAAGAGGACACAAAACGAAAGTCCCGTGCGGAACTACCGCCCGGAAGAGTAGGTGCGACTTGTGTGTCAAACAAGACCAAGATATCGCACGGAGGGCGAAACGCGATTTTGAGATGGAGAAGAAGCGGATGGAGAGGCAACAGGAATATGCGACCCGGACACTAAAGCTTGATGACGAAATTGACGAACAGCGTCGTGCAATACGTTATGATGCTGAAGAAAAACAAGAAGCTGTAGATCTGAAAAAGAAAGAGGCGACCCTCGATGAGCTTAAGGCTAGAAGAAAGAGAGCACAGGAACTTGCCAACCGAAAAGACCAAGAAGAACGGACTCGTAAAACAGCACCACCGAAGGGCGACGAAAAGAGCCTTGGGAAGCACCGAGCTAATGAAACAAGTTCCCCTGCTGAGCAGGAGTGGAATGATATGAAAGACCAAGGGGAGGCAAACCAAGCTTTGGACGAACTTATGGAACTCATTGGACTCGAGTCTGTCAAGGATGAGTTTCTGTCAACGAAGACATCTCTTGAGCTCAAAATTCGACAAGGGGTACCGCTAAACAAGGAAAGATTGAGCTGCTCTCTACTTGGGAACCCGGGAACTGGTAAGTTGTTCTAGTGGATCTGACGCTCTCAAGCAATAACTGATTTCGTATGGGTTAGGTAAAACAACTGTAGCTCGCCTCTGGGGCAAGTTCCTAACTTCAATTGGGGCGGTTGTGGGAGATGCCTTTGAGGAGACCACCGGATCCAAGCTGGCCAGTGCTGGAGTGCCAGGATGTGAGAAGTTGATCGAAGGCATCAAGGACAGAGATGGCGGTGTACTATTCATTGATGAGGCGTATCAGCTTTCCTCCGGGAACAGTCCAGGTGGCAAGGCAGTCCTTGATTATCTGCTCGCCGAAGTCGAAAACCTACGAGGCCAGGTCATCTTCATCTTGGCGGGTTATGACAAGGAGATGGAATCTTTCTTTGCTCACAACCCGGGGCTACCAAGCCGATTCGCCATCACGATGAAGTTCGAAGACTACGATGATGATGAGCTTCTCCGAATCCTCAAGTTGAAATTGCACGAAAAGTTCAAGGGAACAATGATCTTGCAGGACGGCACTGACGGATTGTATGCTCGGATTATCGCCAGACGCGTTGGCAGAGGCCGTGGGAAACCAGGGTTTGGAAATGCTCGGGCAGTTGAGAATACCCTCGACAAAATCTTAAAAAGGCAGGCGTCCCGCATCAGAAAGGAAAAGCGGTCGAAAAATAAGAGTGACGAGCTATTCCTCTCCAAAACGGACTTGATCGGCCCAGAGCCTTCGAATGCTCTGGAAAGCTGCATCGCATGGACGAGACTGAATCAGTTGATCGGGCTGAACAAAGTAAAGAACGAGCTCCAAGTTTTCAAAGACACCGTGATCACCAATTATCATCGTGAGCTTGCGGAAGAGCCACTGGTTGAATTTTCGCTGAACAAAGTGTTCGTAGGAAGCCCAGGAACTGGAAAGACAACTGTCGCAAAGCTTTTTGGCCAGGTCCTGTCTCATATTGGTCTTCTTTCCAACGGAGAGGTGGTGGTGAAGAGCCCCGCAGACTTTATTGGTTCCGCTCTTGGGGAATCAGAAGCTAAAACCAAGGGTATCCTGGCCGCTACAGTCGGAAAGGTGCTGGTAATAGATGAGGCATATGGTCTCTACGGAGGGGAAGACACTTCTGACCCTTACAAGACGGGCGTCATTGACACTATAGTAGCGGAGGTCCAAAGTGTACCTGGAGAGGATCGTTGCGTGCTTCTGCTTGGCTACGACGAACAGATGCAGAAGATGTTCCAGAATGTGAACCCGGGTCTGAGCCGAAGATTTCCCCTGGCTTCTTCCTTTGTGTTTGAAGATTTCAATGATGATGAGTTATCTCAAATCTTCGACCTGAAGGTCAGGCAATGCGGATTCAAAACTACAGGAAGAGGTAAAACTGCAGCGTTGGAGGTTCTCGCTCGAGCGAGAAACAGACCACATTTTGGAAACGCAGGCGAGGTAGATATACTTCTGAACAAAGCAAAGGCGAGCCATCAGAAGAGACGATCTGCTGGAGGCACGAAATCGGATATTCTTGACGCCGTGGACTTCGACGAGGACTTCGACAGAAATACTCGCACAGATACGAATGTAAGAACTCTGTTTGAAGGTGATGTTGGTCGAGAGAAATTGGTTACCTTACTCGAGGGGTATCAGGCGCGAGTACGAGAGCTCAAAAGTTTGGGTATGGATCCCAAAGAAGAAATTCCATTTTCGTTCCTTTTCCGGGGACCTCCTGGCACTGGAAAGACTACAGTGGCTCGGAAGATGGGCAAAGTTTATTACGACATGGGGTTTCTTGCGAGTGCTGAGGTCATCGACTGCTCGGCAACAGACCTCATTGGACAATATATTGGCCAGACTGGCCCAAAGGTTCAGGCGCTTCTGGACAAGGCCCTAGGCAAAGTACTGTTCATCGATGAAGCGTATCGTCTGGCCGGAGGCCATTTTGCGCAGGAGGCCGTTGATGAGCTGGTTGATAGCGTCACCAAGCCAAGATATTTTGGCAAGCTGATCATAATTCTGGCGGGCTATGTGGAGGATATCAACAATCTTCTGTCGGTCAACCAGGGAATGTCGAGTCGGTTCCCAGAAACCATAGACTTTGAACCACTTCAACCAAAGGAGTGCTTCCAACTGCTCGTAAACATCCTCCAAAGTAAGAAGAAAGAAATCGAGGCCAAGGCAAAGGGGAAGACTTTGGACGTTTCTTGTCTTGAAGTTCCGAGTGACGAGTTTCAAAGTGCTGTTCTTGGACTCTTCCACAGGTTGAGCCGGCAAGAGGGTTGGGCCAGCGCGCGCGACGTGAAGCAGCTGGCGAAGGCCATATTTCGCTCGGTCAACTTGAGCTTCAACCAACCTATGGTTTCTGAGACTGATGTTAGGACGGAACTGGATAGTTTATTATTTGAACGAGAGGGAAGAACGCAGAAGCGAAAATCCAACTCTGTCCCGCAGACCTTGCAGCAAATTTCCCTCCAAAATATGGGCGATTTGCTGGATCAACAGCCCAAAACTAGATTGGCGATGCAAAACAAGACACAGCAATACACTGACGAAACTTTGGAGAACACTTCTGAGGAGGCTAGTGATACCGAGGGTGGTAATTGCGCGTCATCGAAGTGTCTTAGAGATGTTGGCGTTAGTGATGAGGTATGGGAACAACTTGAAAAGGATAAAGCAGCCGAGGCCGAGGCAGAGGCAAAGTTTCAGAAGCTCAAGAAAGAACAGAAGACCTGCAGCGATGAAAGACGAGAAGAAATAATCCGGCAAGTCATTCAAGAGGAAGAAAAGAGAAGAAAAATTGCAGCGGAAAAGGCCAGAATTGAGCGAATGGGGTGTTGTCCAGTCGGATTCGCGTGGATCAAGCAGGAGAATGGCTATCGGTGTGCTGGAGGGTCTCATTTCATTTCTCAGGATTGTCTCGATTCTAGTTGAGGGAAATGTGTAGAACATGTGATGAGTATCTAGGTCCGTTTTGCCTTCATGTAGCTTGAAAAAGAGTTGGACGTAGCACGAGGTTTGGATGAAGGGTGGAGTAGAAGAGAATACGAAATTTGAATTTTGATCATTCGTGACAAGAGGAGTCACTCTCGTAGACTTTGTAGAAAGCTGCTGATAAATCTATGAACAATGATTGTTCTTGTTTTTTTAGTAGCTGTGCTCTGATGTATTGGCTTGAGCGAGTGGCGAGGTCGAAACAAACAATCTCAAAATATTCTAGACTACAGGCCCTGTATAAACAATTTTTTTAGCACTTTACACACGTTCATCGAAGTATTGCCTATCATTCTTCGGTTCTACTTCGTATTCGAGAAATGGCCTCCAAGTCAGAACGCCCTCTTTGGCCGATAATATGGTATTTAAATACACGGCTTGACCCCCAAGTCGGAAATCTGGGCGTGGCATTGTTTTTGAACTCTTTAACCAATGACCCTTGAAGCCATCGAAAGGTCGCGACTTGAGCTGGGAAATCAACTTCCATCGTAGAAAAAGCGCATTGCAAAAGAAGCATTTGGGAAAAAGTACATATGTTGAGACTCATCGACCTTAGAAGTGTCTTCTGGGCTAGCTTGGGATTCCATTGCAGTGTGGATTTATGTTTCAATGGTAAACCACATAGTAGGGTTAGAAAAAATAAGAATACGAAGCTGTGTACATTTTTTCTTATACAATAGTAGAAGGACGTAACGATGTTTGAGAAAAGGTGAACAGAGCCTCGAGCTCTCGTAGGATGGGATTCTCTTCTGATTTTCTATTCCCAGGTCCTTAGGCACTCTTGACGCATCTATGCGTGAGAAATGGACCACTTCCGGAAGCGTGCGTTAAAAATCCCCTCTCATTACCGACACATGGAGACCCGATGAAGTCAAGTCGGCTTCTGAGGAACAACTTGGGCCAATCAATAGCCATCTGACTGAAGAAGATCGATCAAGAAACAAGCGAGGCGTCTAGCTCCTACTTAGTCCTTTTTGAAGTGGAGAGTTTGCCACTAATGAATAGACTGCGGCTGAGTTTAAAACGCCTGAACGGCGCTGCAGTATCTAAGTCAAGCATAGTTTCGGCTTTGATTGTCCAATGAACAAGCTCCTCTTGAAGCTTGTAATTAGCTTTGGGCAGACGATACTAGCAGCCCAAGCGCCAGAGATATGCGACTTCCCGCAAGGAAGACAAAGAGGACGAAACATATGTTCCAATCTGACGAGGTGAATGTTATAGATTTATCGTACGCTGCTGGCACCTTCTCTAGGTTACGTATCAACGTTTCCTTTTTTGAGACTCAGCCACTCAGATCACCTTACTAACATAGAATCGCGCAGTAAGTTGTCTTAATTGCGTGCAACTGTGTAGCCGCAAGTGGTGGCTAACACATGGTGATGCAGATATCATGTTCCACATTGGAATAATAAGCCGGGACCTTTCAATAAAATGTTTTGTAATAATGTCCTTTAATTGGTTCGAATTATTGTTAGCTCGCCGCACGTCTTGCTGTTGAGAACAATAGGGAATTTTAGTGTTAGAAGAAAAGCGTTTGATCAAACCTCATCAAGACACTATTCCACCTAATCTTCTGAAGTGCTAGAACGCTTGAATTACTCCTATAAATTGCCGATGCTTGGATATTATCTGCTTGTGGCCCCTTTATCTCTTTTTTAAGATTCACAAACTACTTACGATGGCCATTGGTGTATCACAGTATCATTTATGTAGACTTTGTATGCGAGATTGATTATTTTGTATTCATGATATTCATAAGTCATTCCGTTCCCATGACACCCAGTGCTCTCCTCGCTACTACCTTGTGACATTCTTAGGGCGAGGAAGCCATGACAGACTGTCCAAAAATGCAGCTTGTTACCAGCCTAGTCTCTTCTCCTGTATCCCCTCCTTCAATACACTTGTGAGATGAGCTGTGCAGCTTCATGCAATCACATGATGGACCATGTGCAACAGTTGAAGCCACTTGCAGTCAACCACCGTATGTAACTGTCTACAATCCTTGCTCAAACCTGAGACACACCATCGTGGTGCACCTGGCCGTCCATGACGCTGTCATTCCTGCCAGTTGTGGGCCGGGGCTTACCTTCGGACTCGACAACTGCAACAGGGGACAGCGGGCCGGCTGGAAGAAGCGTCTTTCCCGCCTCGACGTCTGCGTCATCCTGGCCAGGGTTGGCGGTGTGGTACTCTAGCCACTTCATGAGTGAGTACACGCCAAACGAGAGGACAGCGCCCATGCAGGGGCCCAGCCAGTAGATCCAGTGATACCCGACGAAGCCCGTGATGACAGCGGGACCGAAGGATCGGGCAGGGTTGATGGAGGTGCCGGTGAAGTTTGTGCCAGCAATGTGTGCAATGAAGACGGAGATGCCAATGCCGATGGGGGCAAGGAAGGTGGCTCTATGCTTCTCGACCGCGAGGAAGTAGACGGTGAGGACGAGCTGCGCGGTGAGGAACATCTCAAGGAAGAGGCCCTGGACAATGCTGGTGCCGTTGCTCAGAGCATTGGCTACACCCAGGGGACCGGGCAGGAGGCCATCTGTCACGGCAGCTGCTGCGATACCGGCAACGAGCTGGGCAGGGACGATGCATAGAGCACGAATGGGTGACACGGCTCCGACGAGGAGAAGACCGAGTGTTACCTGAATTGAAGGAAAGCGAATCGGTTAGCAAGGCCACACGATACACGACGGGAAGACGATAATGAGAAGTGGGTAACGTACAGCCGGGTTGAACATTCCGCCGGTGACACGGTAAAAGATCCATACATTCACGGCGAGGGAGCACCCGAAGGAGGCGGCGATGTAGAGGAGGGAGAAGGGCATGAGGGGGGCCTTGGGGTCGCTGGGATCATTGGTGTTGAGGGCAGTCTGGGTGCCGATGAAGGAGAGGAGGAGGAACATGAAGGTGCCGAAGAACTCGCCAACGGTGAGGACGACCAGGTTGCGGAAGTTGTCGGGGAGGACATGGCGTTTCCCAAGGCCGTGACGCCCGGTGCCGAGAGTGTTCTCTCTTGAGCTGGTCGACATGGTGCGCTGCGGTGTAGGTTTTGCAAGGGTTGTATGGATGATAAAAGTATTCAAAATGTAGGAATGGCTCTGGACGCAGAGAGATGCGTGTGTTTCCAGAATGACAGTGATCTTGCTATGAAGATATCCCTCTTTGTTTGGAATGAGAGTTCTATAGTGTGACGGGAAGGAACAACCAGGGCAGTGAAGGCTTATATAGAGATTCGAGCCGTCTGGTCTAGAGAGATTGGGCGTCCGAGATGAGACGTCGACCCAATCACAAGCAGACGGGGCTTCGGAACGAGGGTAGTGGCCAAGGGTATCGATGCCCTCATCCGGAGACAAAGATAGGCGGAGGGAGGGGAGCAATGGGCTGTGATAGGCTTTGTGGGTGGCAAGGTTTTGGACGGCGCTCCATCCAGGCAGAACCGTCTCTGGCCCAGACACTTCGCTCAAGCCCACATCTGCTTCTCTGATGCTTTTGATTGCAATGCACGCATGGCATGGCGCTGCATTTGGGGTCCGGTGGGGGGTGAGATTGGAGGTTGGGTGGGGAGGAAGTTGATGTGATGTCGGAGAGGGAGGGAAAGGGTTGATGGATGGGGGCAGGGGTGTGTATTACACGGCTGCAGCTGCGCGTTTGATTGCCTGGAAGGAATTGGAGTAATACCCAGGAGTTGTACCCTGTATTATGGATGCAACAGCGCCAGAATAGAACAGAAGATGATTGAGCGCTTGTAGGATGCGACCTTTGTGACAGCTATTTTCTCCGAATCCTGCCATGCGATGCAACCTACAGCCCACAGGATCCCCCAGGCCCGATAATAATAGGTTCAAGCTGCCTTAACAGCTCTGGAAAAAAAGTTCACGGCACAGCACGGTTCGGCGTACGGCTGATGGGCAGAGTTTGGGGCAGAGTTCATACTTGGCTCAAGGGGGTATGATGCTTGACTAAGCGCGTCATGGTATGACCCTAATCAGATTGAATAGCTGTTGAAGCTGAGCTACTAGCTTGATTCATAATTCGCATCGGGCAAGGGGCCAGCTGACGTCTGAATGCTTTGGGAGAGTCCCACAGCGCAGTGCTGATATCATTGTCTGTCAGTCTTTGACACATCAATCTCAACACACGGGAGAGTCGTCACATCATTCTGTGTGAGACATGCAGATGGAGCGCAGCCCAATTTCATGCCACGGAGAGTTCAATTGATCGACATGGCGGTATTTGGCCTGTTGCATGTATGTATAGCCACTCTCGCACGCGGAATTGGGAGGGGTGGGTGTGTAAGGTGTTGCAGAAGGACACTCGAATTCGTGACAGGCCGAGGTACATCGTGAATTGTAGAATACTGTCACACAAAAGGGAAAAATGAGGACCAGGGTAATATTGAGTGATGGGGAAGACACGGCACATGCGGGAAGAGTCGAGATTCGAGACCTGAGACGGCCCGAGACTTCATTGCACGATTACGTAGTGGTGCATTCCAGTTGATCCAAGTTACCGCAACTTGTGCATTTTGTGTCTACGGCTCATGATTCCGAAGTGGCATCTTGGCGAATTCAAATATTTGATCCCAACACCACCAAATATGACCGCGCCTCTGTAGAGGAAGTAAAATGGAAATGCTCCAAAGATAAAAGCACGACAAATATTGTAATCTCCATGAACTGATTCTCATCGTTATTCATCTCTATTGATCATCACCAATCATCGACTTTTTGTCTACCACGTTGCGAAGTCCCCAAACAAAGAACCAATGGAGGTCCTTGGGCATGCATGAAAATGAAACATACATACAATGAATTAATTGGTTCTCAATATTTTGAGCGGGAACAAGAGGGTGTGTACCTCCTAAGAGGTGTCTCTCAACCTTGTAGAAACGCCCCAAGATATGTTAGAAACAGGTACCTTGGCAGAAGAAGAGCTCGTGACGTGGATGGCGCGTCTATGTTGAAGATCATTGATGTATCCAACTTAGCTACATGATATATTGCGAAAGAATGAGACCATTTAATCGCAAAGTGAAGCGTGTTGGCTCCATCGTCAAACGGTTGTGGCCTTATAGGCTAATCATTACTCCAATCAGTATATCTTGCGTTGCATGAATTGCCAGACTTTCTTTCTTCTCGGATAGTTTTTCTTTTCATGTTGAACCATCCACGGGATTGCCACTCACGTGTAATATCACAATCCCTTATGAGTGGTCGGCTTTGGCTTGGATCTAGGATTCTTGGGTTTGTCCACATTTATTAGCACCTCTGATGGATATCCTCAAACAGATTTGATTTACCCCATCGTTCGAAACTCAAATTTATAGATATAATTAGCTCAGCCAATGGCTGTTACAATAAGCATTTAAATCTATTGTTGTGTTTGATTCACCTCCTGAGATCCGCCTTGCAAACACACACTGTGGTAAAAGCATAATCTTGGGAACAACCACGAGAAGTACCACAACGAGATTCAAATTTCTGAGCTGTCAGGTGTCCAATTGAGATGGTGTAGGTATGTAGATGCAGCATCGCACATATGCCATGCAACCATTGCTTCTCCGGCAGGTTACGTCGGAAGTGAACCCTCCACACGGATGGGGCATTGGGCTCCTCTTTCACCCCCAGCCATTAAATGTGCTCAATGGAAGAGAGGAACACGAGAAAACTGAGCTCTCGGTCTTCAGGCACTAACCTCACGCAGTGCCGTCACTCGGAATGCTATGCAGAGGCCTAACGCCACCGAGTTTGATACAGAAAAGTGAATTTGTGCAAGCTCCTGGGCTCCATGGGAACGAATGGGGTTCTCCACACAACGAGCAAGTTAAAACGAATTCAACAGGGGTCCAATTGGCTTTTTGTAGAGTGGTATTATGAGAGCTCGTGAGAGATACTTGTGGTCAGCCCCTGTGCCGCAGCTGAGTCACATCCCATCTCGTAACCGCCAGACCGCTGAATGAACCGCCTCTCCATTTGTCTCATTTATTAGTCAAACACTCACAACGGGTAGATTGCCAACCGGGCTGCCTCTCACAATAAGCACATGCAGCCATTGGCGGCTGGGCAAACCCACTCATTGGCTGGCATGTTTCAGCTCCCCTCTCTCGCTCACCGTACCGGCCCAACCGTCTTTTTGACTTTTACATGCGTCAACACCGCAGGGGGATCCCTGCATAGCCGCCTCGTGCCGAACTCTCCCTAAGCCCCCCAGTGCCATGTGGCTGACAGCTACCACCGTCCCTCTCCGTGGCAGGCAGACCGACCCATCTCGTTCGTTCTCAGATATATCACATGGCCGTAAAACACATCACATACCTCCCCCATTCGCGTCCGTAAACCGCGCGTTGGCACCCCACATTCCTACACTTTGCCAGGAGGACCCGGCTCTGTAGCTATGCGGTCGGCCATCGGCCAGATTCAAATGGCCGCCCGCTCAAAAGATATCATGCTGACGAACGGCACGAGAGCTTCGTCGTTTCCTGCATCTGAGGTATCAGTTTTCTTGTCACGGCGGTCTCGGACAGGGAATACGCGCCGAGAAATGATTAGCTGGACGTCTCTGAATGGCTGGACACGGAGGCAGGTGAAAAAGGGTGGCGAAGAAGCTGTTGGGCTGCAGGAAATGTCTTCCCCCTCCGCTTTCTCGCTGGTATGAGTGATTTCCAATCATGGGCTCCGACTTTATCTGAACATTGTCGCTCATCATGTTTCCTTTCAGTTCAATTTTAGAATAGGTCTTAAAGATCGGCCGCCAGAAGAGGAAGCTCACTTAAGGAAAAGATGTGATTTACTGAACAATTTACGGCTACGGCTAGCTTGGAGCTAAACCTAGGTTCGAGCCCAGAGGAAGAAGTCGAGTAACGACTTCCCTCTGTTACACCAACTCGATATCTCAATGCCCAATGCTCAGATCATTACCAAGTCGAGATATCAATTCAAATATTACCGAAAAAGATCGGCAGCGAGGGGACTGTGAAAAAAGGTAAAAGGTGCTAAAAAGTGCAGAATGGTCCGAGGTGTAACTGAACAAGAAGTGCAGGAATGCATGCTGATCTTTCCTCGGAGACGCCAGAAATATGACCACCATCCACAGCATCATGCAGCAGCAACCCAAACCTCGTTTAGAGTGTACTGCTATCAAGTCGCTCCGAGGTTACTCTGGTATGATCTCTCAGCCGAATATACAAGGCGAGAAAAGTGAGGGTGTAGCACCAGCCTATTGACATTCCGCGCCAGCTAGGCTCAAGTAGGACGTAACAATGCACAAGACACGATCAAAGGCAGAGTAGCCTCACTCTGCATCTGTAGGTGGCATCGCATGTGGCAATTCATGGATTTGCAGCAACGAGAAGTCCACCGGTGAAGATGCCAAGCGGCAGCCTTCGCTCTGTCCCTCCGACCGAAACTCTAACAGAGAATATGGAGAAAACAAGAAAGAGTGGGCAATTCTGCTATAGGGCAAGGATGGCCAGCATAAGCATACCGTTTCATGTCTTTCAATCAGGCGATTTGCAGATGGGCCAGGCGGGTATTACATGCATGAATGGAAGCCGTTTTAGCGGCGATTAGGGCGAACATCCAAGGGGGGATCGAAGGTTTGGCGAGGGAGGATATGTTTGACTGACTTTGTCATGTTCTGGGGTTTGTGGTGGCTCAGCTAGACTACATGACAACTTTGACGAGGCCAGCTGAAGTTGTCTTAGACACCAATGAAGCTATTCACTCAGCCGCGGGGTGATTATGGCCGGCAAGAATGCTAACCTTGATTAAACGTGACTTAAATTCCTCTCCCTTGAATACAAATTGAAGGTTAAAAACAAGCCTCTTGCCATCTACGAGTGTCACACTGGCACCACGCAAAATCAAGCCGATCATCTCAACTGTGAAAGCGTGAAAAGAATACCCTATCTGCCGGCCCAACATATTTCCCGCACCCGTATTTCCGCTCCCGAATCATTCAAAAGAAAACATAAAAATGCAGATCACTGCCTGTCTCTCCCTCCTCGTGCTGGCATCATCCCAGCTCGTGGCCGGCCAGCTCCTTGGCCGCTCCTGCGGGTTCAAAATCGCCCCCTGCCCCAACGACATGTACTGTAAGCCCGACTCGGACACATGTACCGACTTGAACCGTTGCCCAGGCTGGTGCGACTGGAAGAACGTATACCCCTCCTGCGGTGGCTTCCGCGTCAACCCCGGGCCGCCCCCATGCGACGAGACTACCGAGAAGTGCAAGGATGACCCCAGAAACCCGAATAGCTGTGGGATGGCGTGCGACGCGCCTGGAATATGCGTGCCCAACAAGCAGCCCAGATGTAATCCCCGCAACCCGCGAGGTTGCCCGAGGGGGTTGTTCTGTTATTCTACCAAGGGGAGGGGGGTGGGCTGGTTAGATATCAACTACAAGGATAGGGATTTGGAGGAAGACGCAACCACGGAGGACTCTCGGTGGGCTGGCATTTGTCTCTGAGGGATCGGCACGGCAGATACGCTATGCAGCGCCAGCCTGAGCAGGTCTTGGCGTTAATGCGAGGTGGTCTTGGGACGACAGTTGAACACCCTCTTAGCTCCTCCGTTTGTTGTACCCTTTGGGTTTGTTTTTGACAGATATCAGTTATGCCAATGCTGCATTGCCATGTCCACACACCGATCAACGTGATCCAACCATCTGCCTTTAATCGAGGCTAAACTAGTGCCCGGGTGCTCTAACAGGGAAGAGAGGAGGATCCGGTTGTTCTCCCGGGAAAAGTGGGATGTGCCGGGATGTGCTCTTGGAGTTTGCAACTGGTTGGGCTCCCATTTGTGCATCTTAGCTCGACCCAATATGATCAGCGGTTCAAGGACGATCACTTCTAGAACTGTAGTAGTTTTGCTTGAAACACGGGGCTCGAGCTACATATGTATCCTTCGGTATGTATCCAAAAGTATCATTCGGCTTGAGCCTTCCAGCGTACAACTGGATGTAAAGCCTGATCGGCATTGCAGACGACCTATCAACTGGCTTCGTGGCAAAGCAAGCCCAACTTCACACGCCTCGTGCCTTCGACTCTTGGGCAGGCAATTGGTGAGACAGAATGAGGCATACTAAAGTGTGCCTCCGAATAGCAAGACATGCTGTAGCCCTCAGCCAACCGTTGTGAATACAACACTCACCCAACCAATCACCTTAGTCGGACCTATTGTTCCCCTCCTCGCACTGTGCATATTCAGTTGGAATAGAATGGTTGTGTGTCACATTTCATGTCGCCCACCAAAAGGGTCATACAGGGCAAACCTTGTTGTTGTTGTAACGTGGCGAAATCATGCAGTATTGTCCATTTTATCATTCTAGTGGTCATTTATTGTAGTGGCAAGTGGCAAGTGATCACGATAACGGAATAGAGTTGGGCGACATCGCCGCATGTAAATCCCCAACCACGGCTCGCACCTGTCGGAGCAATCTGAAGGCGAAGGAATAAGCCGCCAAGAAACCTCGACTGCAGCTCGAGGTCTTGGCTTATCGCCGTGAAGGCAAATAAATTGAATATACTTATGGCTATGTTGCATGTACTGGTGAGATAGTTCAAGTACAAAGTGTAAAGTACAGCAATGGAGTTGACAGACCCGACATCTCAACACAATAAATATGAGTGGCTAGGTATGATGTGACCCCAAAAGCGTCTCCTGACTGGGCTGCAAAAATAGGGGGCTTAGGGGGGGGAGATACTGTTTTTATTGGAGAATCGGCCAGGATGACAGGCTTTACTGTCTTCCATCAGTCATCTTCCTCTGTAGGGTATTCTCATTGTGTTGAGTTGTCGGGTTCTAGCAGCTTCCATTGCTGTTGAACTCTATTCCCTTTTCTCTTACGTGTAGAGTATTCACGCCGAAGCATTACCTTATGAGCATCTCATGGTAAGATGTTGTCTGCCTCGCCACTCTAACACTTAAGTCTTCTTAAGATGTTTCGTATTTGATTAACGTTCCATCGTGACTCACAGCATCCAGGTGCAGCACTTATGAGTGGTTGCCTAGAGGAAAATTTCTTTGGGTGTCATTCCCAGCCTCAATACTCGTCAACAAACTCCAAGAGCTGCGATTCCAGTGCCATCTTCACTCAATTGACCATCCCACAACCCATTATTGCTGTGAGCTGATGGGATCTGACTCGTTAAGATGAAACAATCTTATTGATTCGACGAAAATCGTGACCAAGGTTTAAAGGGGGCGTTAATATCTTGAAACTTCAGTCAAATATGCGGTACCTGGCACAGAACTATGCAATTGAGACTCAACTTGAGCTTCAGCTCCAAATTTGTAAAAAAAAAATTTGGCCTCGACCGATTTGGTTGTGCCTTTTCTTCCTATACTAATACTAAAAAACAATCTAGACCGGCGTCCATGACCTAGTCTTCTGTCCTGGGTATCGGTCGTAACACCCTGAAGAAGATCTCACCATAGAAGGGAAGATCCTCACGACCGCACAGATCATCTGGCGATGGGCGGTGATACCGGTCCACCGTCCGCATGAACGTGGCTACAGGCACAGATTCCGTATGGCGATTGTAACAATTCTGTCCATCGCGATCCCACGAGTAGCTTTCCACATATTTGTCCTCTCCATCAATGAATACACGGCTTTCCCGGCGCTGGCACGGGAATTCCCTGTGATACTTCAAGCTGGGCACGTACCGCAAATCGTAGTTTCTCCCAATCTGATATTTGGGTGGGAGTGGCTCTGCTCGATCAATCAGGTACAGCCGAGTCCATCGTGGAATGGCTCCCACCTTCCATGCCCAGAAGGCTCTCAAGACCAGACCTCTTGCCGAAGCCTCTGCAAGATTTCTGCGAACACCAGCCTTTGTTATTCCTAGGCCCTCGTTCCAGCTATGTTCGAATTCGAAAGCGAGGTTGATGTCTGAATTCTGCGGAAGATGATAGAATGGAAGCCGGGTAAGTAGTTCCTCCCACTTAAGGAAGACGCAGCGAGCCATTTCATCGGGTGGGAATCGGAAACATACAATATCGCGCTTAGAGAAGTCGAGGTGGATGATTTCCTTGTTTTCGCGTATAGTGACGATCTTCCCAGGACTTGTGGTTGAGGAAGACTTCTTCTTCTTTTTCTTCTTCCTCTTATACGGGCGCTTGTTGACGAAGGCGAAGGGATCCTGTCTTCTTGGCCTGGGGCCGTAGTAACGCACGAGAATTGTTCGGGACTCCCAACACGCAGTCCGTAGGCCAGCATTCCAGTAACTTAGGAAACGATTATCATCGGCCCAATCACACTGTTGCGGCTTGTATTGTAGTGGATGAGGGGTGACGGGCCTAAATACCCAGTCTTCCGGTCCCGGCTTCATGTACATATCGATCAGCTCCGGAAGGCGGCTCTGCCGGTATCCGTAGTCATCATTGTATAGCGAGTAATAATGAATCTTTGGTGTCTTATCTGTGCAGATGGCCATCTTCCAGATCCTGCAACGGAGCTCGGTTGGTAATTGAGGGAATAGATGGAAATGAGTCAACAGCTCAGGAGCATCAGGGGTAGAAGTCTCCCTGCTAGTTTTGGCGGCATCACCGCCATGTCCATCTGGGTCGTCGTCTGTAGAAGCCATGAGTGTTATTGGAGTCGGAGGCAATCAAACCCTCCGAATCTTTTGCACTCGCTTCTTGTTTCCCTAGATGAGCTTGCTGACTGAGATGTTCATTGAAGAGGAATGAGGGCCTTTTATACTTGCTTGTCATTGTTTCTGCTTTTACAAAAGCTGTAGTAGAATTTGATCCTCGCGAGTTTCTTACTTTTTCTTCAAACGCAATATCATCGTAATTGGGCGTCTCTCGCCCCTGAGCTTGTTGTTAGAGCCTTTTTGCCTTGTCGTTCGCCGAGAAAGGTTTATCACCATCTGAACTTACACACTCTTACTATCACCAGAAAGGTCTGACTCTCCTCTCAATCGGGCTTGGTCGCCTCATGGACTCTAGGCTCCAGCCACTTTCGATCGTGGCAATTCAATTTGATACTGTCCATGTCCAAGCAAGCCGCAGCCTCCGTGGTTCTTCTTCCCTAAAGTGAGTGACATTATTTAATTTGGGATCTTTGTTTTATTTGCTTATGAAAAAGATGGTGGGACTTACACAATCGTTATATTTATATCCAATTAGCTTGCAGAATGAAACCCCGGATGGAAGTTCCCCGTAATGGAAATCGAAGAAGGGACACGAAGAAGGATGACGTTTTCCTCCATAGCTTTTTTTGCCCTTTTTTCCTACATTAACTTCATAACATAAGCGTAAGTAGCGATATGAATACAGTTTCAGAATTCAGAAGAGAATTCATGTTGTCGCGCTACCAGCGTTTAAAAAAAAGAAAGGTTTTCGGGCCGCCTGTGTAGTGTGGCTCTAATCTCGGTATACGCGATACACACGGGAAAACGCCCAGAAATTTCGGGAATTTAAGTCCATGTCCGAGCCTCATGATCACTTGGGTTTTTACTCCAAACTCAGAGACCAAGGGGAAAAATAAACAAAGAACGGACCCGAGATCGGTTTGTGTTCCAGGCCCGGGTGGATCCCTTCGCGATATATATATCATATGATGCCAAATTGTCTGCAATAACACACCCTGACTCACATCCAGCAGAATTTACGGATTCTGAAAGAGAATCCCTAGGATATTGAAGTATCTCAAAGGGCCAACAGGGCAATGTGCCTTGGGATTTGGCGTTCAGAACTCAAACGTAAATCACATAGAGTTACACTTGACACCAACTCTCCTTGCTGCCATTTGTAGCTTACCAGGTGGCATACATCCGATACCGCAATTCATTTTGCACACTCTACCAAGGCCATTCTCACATAGACAGCCAGATTGCGCACACACGGAGAGGCTATCTCGAGCAGCAGCTAGCAAGCTTTTCAAAATGGAAAGTTAGATCATAGACACCTAAGGAGGCCTCCGTAAGCCACAGCCGATTCACAAGGTCAATCAGACAGCCAGACCGCATACACATGAAAGAGCTGCTGCGGGCTAGGAGGTCAAAATAGACGGCCAGATGAGATTTCAAGCAAGAAGGTTTCCGCAGTTGCTAATTAATGTAGCCTGATAGGTTAAATTTTGCGGGCCTCGGTCCTGCACGGTCCTGCACGGTCCTGTAAGTGGGTGGCGGTCTGACGTCTACTGTCAAGCCACAAGTTATACATTGTGTTGAGATGTCAAGCCTAGCATCTTTCATTGCTGTTTTTGACTTTATACTCGAACTCTCTCATCCGTCAATCTAAAAGTGGTAGGTGGTTGAGAGAGATGTCGTAGGTGTAAAGTACACCACATCATATATATCTACAACTTTGCAGTTTGACGCTCGACCTTTGACAGAACCTGTCTAAATGCTTTATCCACCTGGAACATCTATTAGCAACCGAAGCAATAAGGAGAGGATTGTGCTATAACCTGCTTCGTAGTAATGCATCCAATTGGCGTTATGGCCCCAGTTTCTCTTGATTCTTTCAGCGATCTCCTGCTCCTGGTTCAGTCCAGCCTGTGCCAGATACTTTTCCGTCTCGCCAAACTCGTCTAGGACTTTGTATAGGGCGCTGTAATGAGGAGATCGAACCTGGTCAAAGACTTGCAAAGCATGTTTAAGCTCTCTATGAGTATCGTTGGCCCACTGCAATGCCTGGCCGAGGACATATGCATCTTCGAGCGCGAAACCGGCACCGGCCCCAAACGCTCCCGATAGAGGGTGTGAAGCATCGCCAATGAGGACTGCAACACCATCATGGGTCACTGAATCTAGTCTCGGACCTGCGAAGTAGTCGTACTGCTCCACATATGTGACCAGCTTGAAGAGCTCTTGAATTGGCTGACACATCTCTGAGAAGGTATCGGTGAAATGCTTCACACTGGCTTGTTTTCCCCAGCTCGAGCGGTTCTCCCCGCCGGGTTCTGCAACGGCGCAAGTGACTTCCCAGTCGTTGCCACCAAGGGGACAAGTGTAAACCCATTTCTTGTCAGTTCCATGCCAGAAAATGACGGCCTTGGGCAGGCCGTTGATTTTCTCGGCCTCATTTGTCCTCACCAGCGTTCTATATGCTGTCGAGCCAGTATAGGCGATACGATGTTCTGGAAAGAAAAATTGACGCACAGCCTAGGAGATAGTCAGCCCATGTTATCCATTTCTTCTTATAGGGGATGTCGGCTTCACTTACTGAGCGGATACCATCAGCACCAACAAGGAGATCGACCTCATCGGAGAATCCCCCAGCGAACGTGATGCGCAATTTGCCCGAACTTAGCTTCTCGACGTTCTCTAGTTTCTTCCCAACTCTTATGCGGCTCTGGTCGACCTCCTTCAACAATGCTTGCTGCAAAACCGACCTGTGAGCCCTACAGGATTCTTGGTGCGGTGGCACGCCTTCTTTTGGAGCGGCTTTGGCTTCCAACACTCCAGACAGACCGTTACTAATTACAAGTGAGTTAGCATATGAAACAAAAAGCGTCGGGGGTTTGCCTCACCGATGCTCGGTGTTATGGCCGTCAATGGGCCTGAAGATATCGTCGCTCTTGATATGATGGGACGCTCCAAAATGCTCAAGCATGCGCCATGTGATTGGTTGTAAGGTGAGGCCGTTGCCAATCTCGCTGATTTCGGGCTTTTTCTCATATAGCTTCCAGTCAACAAAGGGGAGCCGTGATAGAGCGATGGCGGCTCCAAGACCTGCAGGGCCGCCGCCTATAATCGCAACCTTGATGGTTGCTTGTGGCTTGTCGTTCGACATTGTGTCAAACCAGACTTTAATCTAAATCTTACTTTTAAGAAGTGCAGTTGGTCGGGTTGCTTGAAGTCGGAGAATTGATCAGCTGTGGGCAGATATACTTGGAACGAGCAGCTTATCGGATATTTGAAACTAGATATCTCATGTCGTGAATCAAATCAATAATCAGGCTATAAATCAAGATAAAAGAATGCCAGAACTCTGAGGACTCAATACAGCAGTCCCCACTTTCCACATGGGAGGAATTGCGATATATGCTGGAAAACTACGCCATCGACCTGGAACCCCATTCGCCATTTTTGGAGGCTGGCAACAGCGCTCTTATCATGACCAATTGAGATGCCCCATTCAACTGGTATGTAGCTATTGATGAGTCCCTAGTAGGTAGTTTTCAGCCAGGGTGTGAGTAGGCCGTGTTTCTTTTGGGGGGAGGATATGCCAAGGCGGCATCTTGAACGTCAGCCGCACACCGCATGGCATGATTGTTTGACAGGCCGAGCGGGCTTGATCTAGTTGCCTTATCCGTCACTGGGTCATAATTCCGAGTAGATGCCAAGGCGGGCTTCAGATCTATTTGTCCATACGGCTTCTAAATCTAAGTGTTTAACGGGCTTCCGATCTGGATGGTAGATTCGTCATTGAGGCTGACTCGAGGAGTGGATTTATAATCTAATACAATGACTAGGAACCTATGCTTATGAGCTAACGAAAAAGGGGGTCCGGGCTTTTTGGTTCATCGGAAATCATCCACGTAGTTGGAGTGAACACCGCTTGATCATAGCATCACCTTGGCATTGGATCTAGTCCAAGGGCGATGAGGAGGAAAAAGGATTTGATATCTAGTCAGAAGACGAATCATGACTATCATTTAATTCACATGTAGTTCTATTGTGTTGGTATTTCTAAAGGCTATTCTACCAAGGGGAGTTTACTACACGTATGTAGCTGTAGAAGATTTAAAATAAAGCAGCACTCGCCATTCTCATGTCTTCCACACACCGACTGTCGAAGCAGCTTTCAAAACCTCCAGCTCTACATCGTGCTCTTGTAGCCACCGAATACTTGCTCCACTCTCCTTGAAACGACGCTTCCACTCATCCTCATCTCCAGCTGCTTCAGCTAAATACTTGGCAGTGTCTCGGTCTAGTGCAATCTGCTGCTCCACACGCAACAGGAACGGCGCACGCGTTTGCTGGAAGACCTGGAGTGCCTTGTGGAGGTCGTATCCCGCTGTTTCTTGCCGGCCCCTCCTTCGAGTTAACTCCAGAGATCGATAGAGGGCCCACGCGTCTCCAAACCCCATGGCTGCGCCTGCTCCGTACGCACCGGCCGTTGGGTGCGAGGCATCGCCGATGAAAACCACCCGGTCTTCCCTGGTCAGTTCGCGAAGCCAAGGGCCTGTATCTAGTGGGTAGGCCTGGATGTCCTCCACAGTATCCAGAACTTTGGAAATAACCGGATCCCAGTCTTTGTAGTGATCTCGGAGCCTGTTCAGTCCCTCCTGGCTAATCGAGCGCTCCCACCTCAGAGTCGCAGCGTAATCTAGCTCTTCTGTTTTGATGATGACCACTCCGTACTGATCGAGACCGAGTTCGGACAAAAAGACAACTTCACCGTCACGTCTCCAGGATGAAGAGTCGTCGTGAAGCTCCTTGATATGCGCAACTCTTGATTTATGAAAGACGTTGCGGTATGCCACAGCGCCCTTGAACTGAACATGGTGGTCAGGCCAATATTGCCGCCTGATGCCAGAGTAGATTCCATCTGCCGCGACCACCAAGTCAAAGTCCGAAGTGGTTCGACCATTCGCAAACTCTAACTTGGCTCCCACCTCACTGGTTCTTACTCCCGTGACTTGCTTACCGTACTGAACAGCATCTTTGGGGTGGTGATCCGTCAAAAGTTTCAGCAAAGGCCATCGGTGGGTGCGTGCTTGGATAAAGTCCTCCTTGATATGTTCCGAAGAATACGACCTGACCAAGTCTTCGCCAGTCCTCCAGTGCCGAGTCACGTAGACTGCTCGATCAGGGGGCCGATACACTATCTCGTTAATCTTCTCCGGAGAGATCAGCTTCGTAAGTACGAGCTGGCCTGTTACCGTCAAACTGATCCAAGCCCCTGCCTCCCGAGGCGCTGGTGACTTTTCGAAGCCCACAACCTCGACATCCTGGAGTCGCGATAAAGCTAACAAAGCTGCGCTTCCGACGAGTCCAGCTCCGACGATGCTTGAAGACTCAAAAGTTAGCTTGCTGGATTTAGACTGGGGTGTATTCCTTCACATACGCTATGCGGAGCTTGCCAGGATTCGTTGAATCGTTTGCAACTAGGTCCACCATGGTTTGCGAAATTGCTAACGAGGTCAAATTTTGGAGAATACAAATTCGATGAAAGTGTTTGAGTGTAAATTCAAGCTGCAAGAACATGATTTCATATAAGTCTCGAATCATGAGCACATCGGGATGGCTAATACCGTCGATTCTAGAACGGGAACTTTCGGTTGTCTCTTGCATGGACCAATTGTTATCGGGCCCAAACAAATGTGACGAGATATATTCCCGGAAAGACGTGATCAGACCCCTACGAAGCCCTTGATCCCCTCACATGGAGTTCCGGCGCACTGGAACGCTGGGTCTACTCGACAACCCCGCCTCTTGCGTGATTGGACCCTAGATCATTGCATTGAGCGTCTTTGTCCTGTTAAAACGGCCCCTGACTCGCGTTGTTCCACTCTTCGATCCGGTGGGTGTGAAAAACCTAGTCAGGCCTCTGTTAAATCGTCCCTGATATCGACTTAGACGTGAATTGCGCAATCCGGAAATCTAAATCTAACCAGCGTTGCCATTGTAGGGTCAAGAGAGCTTCTCCTCGGAGGCATAAAGCCGTGCTATACATCCTTCCTGAATTAGTTTCTGCTGAGATATGACCTCGCAGTTGTCAAGTGTTCCCTTTCAAAAGAACCACAACTTATTCCCTTAGAATCGTTATTCCCGACCACCTTTTCGTCATGGGTTTCACGGCCGGGCAGGGCCGCTCGCCCGTCACTTGGTATCGATCTTCCATCTTCTCAGCCTTAATCGTAGCGATAACTGCTTTCACATGCCCCGGTATCTTTGGCGCCCTCAACGGTATGGGGGCCGGAGGCGGCGCGAAACCTGAGGTCTCGGACGCAGCCAATGCCGTCGTTTTTGCTGTCATTGCTCTCGGATCGCCTATTGTCGGTGCAGTCTGTGGATGGCTGACCCCCAAATGGACTTTGGTAGTATGTTCCAAGGCCTATAACACTCTAATTAGATTGTGATGTGCTAACGCTCTCGTCCAGATCGGTACTCTTGGTTACGCCCCTTACGCCGCCGGTTTCTTCGTTGTCGACAAATACGGCCAGGAATGGTTGCTTTTGTTTGGTTCTGTGACGTGTGGCCTCTCTGCTTGTTTTCTTTGGGTAGCGAGCGGTGCCATCTTTATGGGATATCCTGAAGAGCACCGCAAAGGTCTTGCAAGTAAGTTTTTCCATTGGTCACCGGCGGAGTTGCTATGAAGAAACACCCTCTAACTGACATTCATCTAAAGCATCTTTGAAATTTATGCTACAGAATCTAGGTGCCTCCATCGGCGGTATTATCAGTCTTGCCTTGAACGTCACCCGAAACTACCGCGGCTCTATCAGCAATGCCACTTACATTGTCATGATCATTCTCATGTGCATCGGACTGCCCTTCTCGCTCTTCCTCCCCGCCGCCGATCGAGTCCAGCGCAGCGACGGCCGCAAGGTCATCCTAAAAAAGAGCAAATCCATTCTTAGCGAGTTCAGAATCCTCTGGGCACTTCTCAAACAGCCAAAAGTGCTTGCGATGATGCCAATGATGCTGTACGCACAGTGGTTCCTCGCTTACCAGTGGAAGTTCAACTACTCCTACTTCACCGTCCGGTCTCGCGCTCTCAACTCCATGCTCTTCTACATCAGCGGGTTCCTCGCCTCCTGGCTCCTGGGGCAGTTTCTCGACTGGCAGAGGTTCTCCAGGAAGACCAGGGCCCGCGTCGGCTTCCTGGTACTGTTCTTCTCAGTCGGCGCATCCTGGATCATCGGCCAAGCTGTGCAGGTTCATTACGCAAAGACCACGCCGACTCTTGACTGGGCCGAGACCGAGTATGGGCTCGGCTGCTTTGTGTTCCTTCTTTGGGGCGCATCTGATCCCATGTACGTATTTGGAATCTCAAGCCCTACCCGATAACCTTTTTTTGAGAATTACAAAACTCTAACTGTAATTTTTAGCGTCACGACTTATAAGTACTGGATCGCAGGAAGCCTAACCAATAATGTGAACGAGGCCGCATTCCTTTCGGCTCTGATCAACTCTATCGGATCGGTTGGTTCGACATTCGGCTTTGTCATTGGTGTTAAGAAATTCAGCCTCGTCGGCGCCTGCGCAATAAACCTTGCTCTGTTCTTCATATCTGCTCCTGGGCTTGGTTGGGTGGCATACACAGGGATTTCCGAGACGTCGCACGGAACGAGCCTTACAGGTTTGGCTGACCTAGATGATGAGTCAACTCCGTCGTATGATGAGGCCGATGCCTCTACTGACAGCAAAGACGTGGTTACAGCTCGAGCTGCCGAGGTTAAGGCCTAAGGACTGTTCGATGCTGCTTTCCCACCTCCATATAAGAAAAAGAGCCACGCCACTCTTATATCATAACCCACTGTCCGTCCTTGTCGTCCTAAGTCTTACCCTACATACAGGAAGGCAGAATTTTAGTATAACATGATCGACACCAAAGCATACGGTGGAAGGAAATCACGTAGACCTCTCAGTGCTGTTTTTAACTTTATGCTTGAACTCTCATCCATCCTGCCCACTTAAACGTACTAATAGGAGGCATGCCATTTGCAAGCACCGGATGTATTTGTCCAACCGCGTCGAAGCGCTTGTCTTAGCTATCTTATTTCTCAGGCAAACGCTGGCGGCTATTGAGGCGTCTTCGCCGTCGCAAGAATTGCAGTTCCCTGGAGGTCCCACCCAGAATTCCCGTGCTTCTCAGTCAGGTGCTCAATGACCCTGTCACGAAACCCAGCCTGATACTCCGCGATCTGCTCCTCAGTCCAATACGTGTCCATGATCCACTTGAAAATCATGGAGAACTTCGTCGCGAAATCCTCGGGATCTTTTACGTGTTGAGGGGTGCTGGTAGTCCTTACTACAATATCAACAAAGCCATGCGACGACAGAGCCTTCTTGATGCCTTCTGGGTCAACCCATTCTGGCTTGCCATGGACTGCCATCTGCACCGGACTGGGGAGGGGAGTCTTGAAAGGCAGTGTCTTGAGCGTTGACCGTAGATCGGGCACCCACCCACCCGCGACGCCGGTATCAGCATGAACGACGCTGAATGCGAGAGTCCCGCCTGGGCGCAGGACGCGACAGGCCTCTAAAATACCAATAAGCTCGTCTGACTATGTTGAGGAGGTTGAGGGCAATTTACCTCGCAGCACAGCTTCAGGCTCTGGGATAATATGTAGTGCGAAGTTGAGCGTCATGTAGTCGAACTCGCCGCTGGCTATACTTGAGTTCTACAGCTTCCTGATTAGATCAATTGACAGTGTCCATATAAGAGAATTTATTCTCATTTTTCTTTCTCTCTCTGTATTGGATTGGGTCAATACCTGAGCATCCAAAACCTTCGTCTCAACGTTGATCCAGTCGAGCTTCCGCACACGCTTTGTGAGAATGTCAACAAACGCTTGATTGACGTCTGCGCAGAGAATCCTGCTCTGCCTCAGCACGTCTGGTTGGATCGTCTCTTGTAGACGAGCAGCGATTGGGCCTGTGCCACAAGCGTGGTCGACAAGGTCAAAGCTCGTTGTGGTCCCCGAACCAAGGCCAGCCTGCTCGAGCAACAGTCGTGCTATTCCGTCCATAAACTCTTCTGACTGGCGGATCATCCTATCCACACCTTCATCGTCTAGTGTGGATAACGCATCATACTGCTTGCGCAGCGTGTCTTGGATTTTCTTGTTGTCCATATCCGTTCTCTTGCGAGGAGCCCCTGATTTCCAAATAATAGATATCACTAAGCAGTACTTTACAAGATATTTTGACAAACATAAAGAGTAGTATCGCATGAACTGGCCACCAAATCCTTTTACATCACCCTCAGGCCCTCTTAACACTCCCGTTGTCTGGTAGTGGAGAAAAGTCTGAACATACGGAGACTGGTCTCTTCATTCAAGGTGGGACTTAAGCGAAACGCTCGCCAATCGAAACTGCCTCATCCTGCTCAGGAGCAGCATGGCTGTATCCAGAGAGGTGCATGCTTCAATTCTATTGGCCCACGAGCAAAAATAGCCTTGGAGGCTCGGAGACATATTTATGAACAGCTTCGCGTAAACAGCTTCGGAGACATTTCTGTCAACAGCCTCGGAGACTAAACCTTCCCTGTGGATGCGGTTTTGGGAGTTGCGTAAACAAAGCCAGCACGATCAAATCACCCATAGTTTCCCTAACCATTACTGGCGCCTAGCATCAGTAGCGTCATAGGCAGCGCGTCCAAGGTGATTTAAACCGGGCAATAGTCCCCGAGGTTGCATCTCAGACCAATTCCAGCGGCCTAGTCATAGACGTATGTACAGAGCATTCGTTATGAGATAAGAAATTCCTTCTTAATCCACTAGGGAGTATACCCAGTACTAAAACTTCTTTTGCCACCATTCACTACGGTAACCACGCTCCGTATAACGCTTCCAAATTAAGAGCATCTCTATTAAGAATATAAACATAAATTGTTTAGAGCCATAGTACTTTTATAATATAAAAACTCAACCTCCTTTTCGGAACAGCACTCTAGCTTTCATGGAATTAACTAAAGGAGTATGGTTTCGCCTATGTTTGGTTGAATTTTCTCTTAGTGCCATATAATTTTACGTAGGATACCGGCATCTGGACTCTGATTTATAAAGATTGTAGGTATAATAATATGTATTTGACTACCCCTAAGGATTTCTCCTCAAAACCTTTATCCTATACTGTTATAGTATAGGAGCAGGATTAAAACCAAATTGGAGGAGTAGATCTAATACTAATCCCAACTCTGGCCACCAATCATTGTAATTCCCAACATAATAATACATGTCTTGGGAACAAACGCAATGGGAAACAGCACCATGGTTCACAAAACGCTTCAGTTGATGGAGAAGCTACAGGTGCCGAATTTTCAAGCCGATGGAAACCACAATTTGTCGACCAATCTCAAAAAAAGGGGGTTTTATGAGCCAAGGTACCGGCAGCATGATCTCCTCCTGGTATCAAACGGCCCTTATTTATTCTTGCGCTTGGGCTTACCCACATGGGATAGAGACATCCCAGGCTTGAAGTTACGCCATGGAGTCGCCCCCCCAGGCAGCCCAGGCAGAGACCCAGGCTTGAAGTTACGCCATGGAGTTGACGACCCAGGCTTTTTTTTGGGCAACGAAGGTTTAGCACGCGGACGCTTGGACTTCTTCTTGGAACCACCCAGATTAGGTAGAGGCGGAGGCAAATCCTTAGGCTCAGGCTCTGCTAGGCGTATACCACGAGGGCGCCTGGGCTTCCTCTGGGATTTCGGCCTCTTCCGAATAGGAGGCGGAGAATCAACAATGCGAGAGCTCGGTTTCTGTCGTGCATATGGAACTTCATCGTCACGCTCCGCTAAATCCTCAAGGTCGCGCTCATCGAACCCTCCAAAAGAGCGTTTGTAGAGAGAATTTCCGTAAGCTTCGTCTTCCAGGACTGCTCGAGTAACGCCGTGTCCATTGCCAGGGGACGAAGCCGCACGACTGGTAACGACACTAAAGAGGAGAGAAAGAGCAACTCCCAACGGCGTGACGACTACCATTTCGAATTTGGGCCCGTTGGGATTGGAGAAGAACTGAAAAGGCGAGATGGGCTCTCCCCCGAGAAAAGGACTATGAAAGAAAGGGAATGTAGGAAGGAAAATAAAGTAATTTGATGCCTTTTAAAGCTTGTTCGTTGAGGTTATTTCATGAGAAGTAGTTAAACAGATTGGAAAGAGGCCGCCCTTTTATAACTCTTTCCTACATTTCCTAAATATAGCTTTTTTAAAAAGGTGTATATTTAATGGTAGCCCTCAGTTCGCGTCCCTGCTTAGACGCCTTGCGCCCCCAACTGGCAGAACCCTGGCAGTAAGAGGCAAACACCCTCAAGCTGTTGAGATCACCTTGAAGAGCTCTAATTCGAGATGAATGAGTTACAGCCAACAGCCTGCAGGGTTCTAGCAAGCCTGCGTACTCGCTTTACCATTTGCAACATGCGCTGTGTTGCCGGCTGCAGCCTTTCTGCCATCAAAAATGGCTGAGGATTGTAAGACTTACCAAGATAGCATGTCATTTTGCTACCAACTGCATATTCACCGGTAGCTATGTCTCGTTTTCGTTAGATCTAGTATTTATTTATAAGTTTATGCATCAGGCATCCGCACCATCCGTCAGAACACTTCAATTTGGGAGAAGATGTGAGCTTCAAGCCACAATATATTGCTAAATTTGGTTCCCCGCGTGATTATTTTTAATCTTGCCACCAAACCGAAAGGAAAGGCGCAGGAAATGAAGTTCTAAAGAGTCTGCGCAAGTTATTCCCATGGGATGCGGATGCTACAGAAAGGTCTGTTGGTCGGGCCAACAGTGTTCCTCGTGACTCCTGGATTATAATGAGTAATTTGTTGCCATAAATCTCAAATTGGGAAACACCACCTAAGCATCTAAGATGAAGCCGACTAAAATAAACCCGCCAAGTAGGGCTTCTCACGGAACTTTTCCACCCTTGTGATTTACTTCTATTGCCAAGGGAACTCCCTCACTTCCTTTAGTTTTAACTGTTAAACACCCCCTCGGGGGTGCATTCTTTATTATGGGTCAGTCAGCCTACATCCTACATGCAAAGATGGCCTGTTTTTGCACCAACCGCGCATGTGAGGAGCACCAACGGAGGAATCTAAGTAGCCCCAGACACCCTCTCTGCCCATAATTCCTGCGTCTAGGTCTCAATCCTCTGTTGGTCCAGCATGGATTCCATTCTCCTTCATCAAGTGGCAATCATACCACGTACAGAAGTCACACTACACCCAGACATACCTACCATAGTATTCATGGGTCCCACGGCAGCGGAGAGGTGCTTCGCCGAGACGTTCGTCGCCCCGCACTGGCTTCCTGGGGGTCAGGCATTCTGGTACCGTCGGCAAATAAGCGATGGCAAGTACAGATTCATCTACGTCGATGTTCAAGGCAAAAGTACTCGCCCTGCCTTTGATCACGAGGCCTTGGCCGTTGCACTGGCGGAGCGTATGCAGAAACAGACCAAAATTGATCCGGAGGCACTCCCCTTTTCATGGATTGAACTTGAGAATTCCCACGTCCGTTTCCGCTTCGAGGAGCAGATCTGGCGCTTCGAGCCTGTCAAAGGTCTCTCCAAGTGCTTAGGAGCATTCAAGCAGGGAAACCCGCAACTTATGCGCAGACAGGAGCCTTCGGCTCATACCGCAACTAGTCGGCCTGTTACGATCACTTTTATCAATAATACAAGGTCTCATTTGCTTCTCAACTATGCCGATCATAAGGGAACCGTGAGACCCCACGGCTCCATCTCCCAAGGCAAGACGAATTTCGAGAAAACTTACTCTGGTGTTTATTGGAGGCTTGAGGATGGAGTGTCTCGTCAATTGCGGGGGGTTTACCGTGTGCCGGACAAAGTCCACGACACTGTCATCGTCGACGAGGTGGATGTTGATGAGTACTTGGGCAAAGAGGGAGAAAATCCCATTGGTGCTCTGCTTGGGGAGGGTGATGTGGCTCAAGCGACGGAGCATCAAGACGATGGTGGCGTTGTTCAGCTGAGCGAAGAGGACACAAGCACCGCCCCTCATATTTCGGTTCGAGATGAGAGATTATGGCTCCTAGATGAACAAGGAGTCGAGACCCAACTCATCGAGCCAAATTCTTCCGAAGAGTTTTACTGGAACGGTGAGATGATTTATCTGTGCCCCAACAAGGCCTTCGCAGTTGCATGGTATTTTCAAGAAGGAACCACAACAACGGAATATTGGATCAAGTCCTACCCTCATACCCAATCTCACCCCAAACTTCTAAAGGATGAACGGAGACTTGCTGGGGATTGCCCCAGGATTGAACAACCTCGCCTCTTCAGTCTGACCTTGAAACAGGAAATTGAAGTCGCTGATAAGGACTTATTCTCAAACCACTACCAGCTGTCTCATCTAGGCTGGGCTAAGGATGGATCAGAATATCGGTTCTTGTATCATGGGCGAGGTCATAAGACCTTTCAAATCTTGGGTATTGCCTGTGCTGGACTGGTAAGAGTGCTATACGAGGAGCGCAGTAACACCTTCATTGATATTGCTTCAAAGCTTTATTACAATCTCCTATCAAACTCTAACAAACTCATTCTAGCGAGCGAGAGAGATGGATATAATCACTTATACCTACTTGACTTAGAACAAGGCAAGATAGAGAATCAGATTACCAAGGGAGAATGGAATGTGCATATGGTTGAATATATTGACGAAGAATCCAACCAGATTTGGGTTTCAACATACGGGTTCTATAAGGATGAGGATCCTTATCACAGACATCTAGTGCAAGCCAAGCTTTACGATACGGAATGCAAGGCTTTAACAGAAGGAGATGGAACCCATCTGTGGAGTTGGCCCCCTGGAGAGGCACGGCAATATTTCGTTGATTCATGGTCTCGTGTTGATCTTCCACCTCAGACCGTGGTACGCAGTCTAGATGGGGCGATGCAGTTGCAGGTTGAGGGTACCTCTGTTGAAGAGCTTCGGCAGCAGGGATGGACGCCTCCTGAGAGGTTCCACTGCCTCGGCCGTGACGGAGAGACTCTTATATATGGCACAATTACGAAGCCAGCACATTTCAACCCACGGAGGAGCTACCCAGTGCTTGAAGACATCTATGCTGGGCCGCAGGACTTCTCCACTCCAAAGAGCTTCCAAGAGGCGGTGGATGGCAACCGCGATTGGAGGGAAGAAGACTATGTTATTGTCAGGATTGACGGCATGGGTACCAACTGGCGTTCCAAGAAGTTCCACGACGTCTGCTATCAAAATCTCAATGATGCAGGCTTTCCAGATCGGATCATCTGGATCACAAAAGCAGCAGAGTCTCGGGAATGGATGGACATCAGTCGAGTAGGCATCATTGGCTCGTCAGCTGGTGGTCAAAATGCTGCATCTGCTCTACTTCACTTTGGGCACTTTTACAAGGTTGCTGTAGCTGATTCAGGATGCCACGACAACAGTCTTGCCGGCATCGAATGGGCCGAGCAGTGGTTAGGTCACCCGGTCAATGAGTCTTATGCGCAGCACTCCAACGTCACGCATGCTGCAAAGCTGCCAGACAGCGCAAAGTTGATGCTCATTGCCGGTGGTCTAGATCATGCTGTCAGCCACTTTGCAACTATGAGATTTGTTCAACAGCTCAATAAAGCAAACAAGATCTATGAACTTGTCTTTCTCCCAGACGCAGGGCATAGTTGTGGCCGCTGCGGCTATGGTCTCAAACGAGCAAAGCTGTTCCTAAAAACTAACTTGTGATCTTAAGTATACGTGCTCTGGCTAAGGCGCTACTGGTGCTCACGGGGTTGATGAAGTTGGAAAGGATGTGCGAAAATATTCGAGCTTGCTGAAGTGTCTGGATTAGATATAGCTACAACCTTAGACTACCATAGTAAAGATTGTTATTTTACCGTTTGTATTTGTTATATTGGGTCTGGCATTCTTCAGTGCTGTCTTTTACCGTGTAAGTTGAGCCACTCAAGCTTTCTCGACCGGACACCCACGGGATTATAGTTGATATCGGCACCATTTGGCGATCCCTAAACCCGCTTCATGACAGCCGGCTGACATTTTTATCTCTTTGCGGCCTAGCCTCCAAACTAATTAAAGTTGACTGGGGCTGGGAGACCCAATGAGGCAAAAGCTCTGGGCTTGTCGTCGAGGCCCTGGTCTTTGGTCTGGGCTGACGGTTTTGCCCCAAATAGGCCGCCCTCGCCCGTCTCCCTGCGACTCTGTCGTCGACACATCTCTCCAGATCCGAACTGCATCTACCATGGAGGCAACGCAGGAGGCGGACAGTATACGCGAGCGCAAGGAGCGCAAGAAAGTGCAGAATCGGCTCAACCAGAGAGCGCGCAGTGGGTCTTGACATGCATCACATCATGACAAGCATCAATCAATTACTAATCGCCGAGGGGGACAACAGGATCTCGCCTGAAGGAGGACAAGACGGACAAGAAGGCCGACCGTCCCTACGAGGTGGATCGCTGGCGGCTGCACTACAGCAACGGCGAGGCCACGGAGAAGAAGCAGCAGCTCGTCGTCCGCAAGGCCAGGCCTGACGTCGATGATGAGCCTCGAGCACGGATGGGAGCATCGCCCATCTTCGGACCCTTCGCGGACCACCCCGTCGACGTGAGCGTGTGCATCTGCTCGACGCGCGCGGCCATCATCAAGACGTACCCTTCCAGCGTCTCAGCGGACCACCTGCTCGAGCTGATCCAGTTCAATGTCTTCCGCGCCCTCGTGGCCAACAAGTACTCCATGACGGGCAAGGCCCAGCACTACCAGGAGGCCGCCGCCGAGGACGGGTCGCCGCTCGTGCCGTACCAGGAGCAGACGTACCCGGGCAACGCCGTCCTCGTGCCCCTGTCGGCGGGGGAGCTGCCCGTCTCGCTGCTGCCGACGCAGCTGCAGATCACGGTGCGGCACGCGACGTGGATCGACCTGCTGCCGTTCCCGCGGATGCGCGACAACCTCATCCGGGCGCAGCACCAGTTCGACCATGCCGAGCTGGTCAACGATGTGATCGGGCAGCTCATTGATCTCTCCCGGTTCTTCCGGCCGGAGGGGCACCTCCTCGACAAGGGGTCGCAGGCGTCGTCCGGGGCAGGGGGATCACCGGAGACGTTCGAGGACGAGGCAACTGCGCCTCCGCGGGGTGGGTTCATCGTTTATGGTGCGCCGCACCGGGTGGAGAGCTGGGAGGTGACGCCCGAGTTTGTGTGGAAATGGGGATGGACGCTCATGGGCTGCCAGGAGCTGATGGAGTCGACGAACCGGTGGAGGCGCAGTCGCGGAGAGGCAGCGCTGCCGATGATTATCACTCGGCCGTGGCATAACAACAGCCTCGGACTGTCTGGGGTGAGTGCATGAGGAGGAGGAGGAGGGTTGGAATCACTTTGGGATACGGGTTATGGGTTATGGGTATTATGGCTGGGAGCATGGCATGGGTCTGGATTCTGGGATGGGGAAATTGTAATGGTCGCTTTGTATGTCTATCTATATCTGTATTTTGATTCCTTCAGTCCTACTGAGCGAACTGAGAGCCCGCAAACGATACATCAAAGTTGCCATTGGGCGGGATGTATTGGTGTTGGTATTGGTATTGAGATGATTGTGTGCCAAAGCCAGTGGCGTCCCGTGATGATCCTTGGGTAGCTGCATTGCTGACTGGGTAAGTGCTGAGGAAGATCGAGGTCAGGTTCAATGTTACACGGGGATGATTGGTGAAGATGGCAATGAGACTTACACAGATGTGGTGGCGCTTTGTTGCTGGGGATTGCGGCGGACCGGTGCCGGTTGGCTCATTTTGGATGAGTCTGTATGTGTATGTGTCTGTCTATATGTGTGCTTATTTATGTATGTGTATCTGTCTGCCTCTATGTTTGTGTGCTTGTGTGCGTGTGTCTTGTTGTAGTATGGGCTCAAGAAGCAGTGTAACACAATAGGAGGTACGAGCGCAAGCCAAGGTGTCCGCTGGTGATTGAACGAGATAATTATGTTTGACTTGCATGCTTGGATACAGTTGGGATCCCTCGAATATATAGAAATGAGGTTGCCCATCTTGAGAGCATCACTTGGTGATGGCATCAATCACAATCAATGTTCGCGCCCGGCGCAGATGTGTCCGCACTCGTGTGCGGCGCGGGCAATGCAACCAAGCACACAGCACAAGCGAGAGCTGCTGCCATGTGCACATGCGGAATCAGGAACAGCCCGTGTTTCAGATTTCCCCTACCGGTTCTTCTCTTGCTTGGCAGCCTTCTGTATCTCACTGACAATGCGTGTTTGTTCTAGTGATGCTGCTGCTGCACTCCTGCTGGCATGTGCCTGTGCTCGTACCAAAGGAGGGATTATAGAACTGCCGCCAGGGGCCTCTGACCCTGCGGGATTCCAATATACCGTCATCTTCGGGCGACTTGACTCTGGTCCGAGACCCCTGCGCAGACCAAGGAGCCAATTGCGAGGCCACGAATGGCCCTGGTTCATTGCCCGGCACTCCTTGCATTGAGTATTACCACCAATAGCCTGAGTGCCAGTCTGACGGGTGCGTTTGTATGTATGTGTATGTGCATGAGACGCAAGATTGTCGAGTGTCAATGGCTGCCTAAAGCCTCCCGGAGGCAACCACCATGCATATGTTGGCAAATGCTACATCACGCCAGAGCTACTGCTGGATGCCAAGTTCTTAAGATAGGCCTGCCTCACCTGTTTATAAATACCAGCCGTTCTGGTGTGGTAGGACATACCGCCACCGGGAGTTGAGCCGTCCGCCAATCCACTTCGTATTGATGATCGCGTGTGTCCCAGGCCTTTGGTCGATTAGGTCCCTGCGGTATGTTAATTATAGGCTGCCCTGGCTACCCGTGCCATTGGCTTTGACGGTCATCATGCACAGCTGCAGGTTCATGACGTACGCCGGTAAGCCAGCCAGTCAGCCCTGGCTTACTCTTCCCTTGGCCGCCTTACCAACAGCTACCAACAACCAGACAAGTGTCTAAACCAGGGGGCAGATGAGAGCTGAAGCGCCGATGCTTCCCCAAACGAGTCTAGCTCGCACATCCGGGCACTCGTCTTCCCCAGAGACGGCATCTTCTGGCGTGGAGGTCCCAGACTGTGGTGAGCACGATGGTGCGCACGAAACGAGAGACGCCTTATGTGGTGTGCTCTAGGCATCATCCAATGTGCTCTGCTCTGCTCGGTCGAGCCTCCATTCTCTTTCTGCATTCCTGAAATCCAAGGTCGTCTTTGTATTGCCAATTCACATGCCCGGAAATAAGCGTCTCCCGCACAATGGAGAGCCATCACCACTCCCCCCACCACAACGACCGTGTCGGCTGGCACATGCTGCCCCATGAGTTCGTCAACGACACCTTCTTCGACCACAAGCCCGCCTGGCAATGCCGTCTCGACAAGGACCATCTTGCTCCTCCAGATAGCTCGTCGGAGCTCACCCGGAATGGATCCATCAGGTCAACCGCGAGCCTCGACAGCTGCGACTCGGGGTATAGCACCATCCCGCCATTGTCCCCCGTCGGCGACCTGAACCAGCCGCCATGGACCCTAGATCTCCTCCTGGAAGACGACGAGCATAGTGAGCAGCTACGTGCAACCTCGCCAGCTTTTGACTCCTGCAGCGTGACCACCGAGGTTGCCCCCGGCCACATGGAGAAGCCTAGGTTGGAGCGCCGGCCGCACACCAAGATTCGCAGGGGATGCGCCAACTGCAAGATGAGACACGTCAAGGCGAGTGTTACTCCATGTCATTGCACGTATGATTGATGGACTGACTGACAGTCGAGAGAATAGTGTCAAGAAACACAGCCATCGTGTGAGAATTGCGTCAAGAGGGGAGTCAAGTGCGAGTATCCTTCTCTCCCTCGCATCGTCCGCCAAGAGAGCGGTTTGTCAAGTCTCGTCGCCCCGACCGAGTGCTCGGAACCCGGGAGTTCGTTTACGGTTGCTTCCGCGCAGTCTCTGGACAGCGGTATTGAGATCAATGACTTAGTCGGGGAATGGGAGTCGTTCGTCCAGGACCACTTCCCCGAAGACTGCCCGGAGCCTGGTGGTGTGAATAATAATTTCCGGTGGTCTGTTACTTCGCGATCGCCTGAAAGACCCCTCGACCATCACGCCGAAAATGAGCAACATGATCAAGAGATCCACGAATCTTCGATCAACATCCAGGTAGAGGCTTCCGAAGAGCCTACCCTTCCTCCTCCAGTCCCCGACCATCCAGAAACTACTGCTTTCGATTCTCGGCTTCCTGACACGGACGCTTATGTAGAGTCTACGCAGGAGCTGCACAGCATCATGGCCGCCGTGGACCCTTGCTCATCAGGCGAGTCTTCGCTTGTCTCAACCCGCGTCCCCTCGCCCTGGCAGGAAGCGGCAAATCTCGTCATGAGCGAACAGCACAGGATCAACGAGCACCTCTCCAGATCCCTGGAGTGGATCCTCAGCAGGAATGAAGACGACGATGAATCTGCCCCCGAGTCAAATCCAGAGTCGTTGCCCAGCTCGGCCCCAGACGTGCCATCCTCACTGCCACCCTTGTCCGAGTTATCCGCGGACAGTAGGAAGAAGCGTGTGCTCGATGCGTTCAATGTCCATGTCCCCGATGACCACTCCCAAAATTCAAAGAGGCGTAAAACTGCCGTCTGCCCAACAAACGACTTCGCGGTTGATGAGTCTGCCCCGTCCGATGATCCCGGCTCATCGTCCTCTCACCAAGACTCCAGCCAATCCTCCATCAACAGAACATCTGCCAGGCGTAATACAGGTGCGAGCCGAACGCGGCGCACCAGCAATGAGGGCCCAGGCCGCAGTGACGAGGACGAGGCGAATAATCGTCCGCCGCCTCCAGGGCAGCCGATCTCACCACCGTACGATTCCCTAAGGCAGTCCAAGCGGCCGAGATACGCCTGCCCGTACAACAAATGGGATCCCATCGGGTGTCAGTTGTGCTGTATGCCCAGCCGGAAGAACCCAGAGGGAGGTGCAGAGGGTTTCTCAAGGGTCAAGTAAGTCCAAAAGGAAATGCGCAAGGTTTTCGATAAAGTTTTCAGCTAATACTCTCCAAGATCCCACATCTTTCGAAACCATGACATCACAGTGCGATGCCAGAAGTGCTGGGCCTCGTTTCCCACCAAGTCGGAGACGCTCGACGACCACGTCCGCAAGAACGGGTGCATGCGCAAGGCCTCTCCGACCAAGTACTGGATGACTGAGGACCAGCGGCGGCAGGTCCGCGGCCAGCGCTTCGTGAGCGGCGGAGAGGAGAACTGGTATCACCTGTTCCGGATTCTCCTCCCCGAGGCGCAGTTGCAGGATGAGCTTGGAAGCTACCTTTTCACCCCTTGTACGTGGTATCGAGAGGCACCTGCACATTCCCTCCGTCACTAACAGCATCTGTAGACTATGTGCCACTTTCTGGGAGCAGGACGCCGTCGAACTTGTCTGGCCCTGCGTCTCAGGTAGCCGGTATCCCACTCCCAATGTCGGGGATGCAGACGCCCAGTGGCCATGGGTTCAACAACGCTTCTCTGTACGTGATACCTGCTCTTATTTTTCTCTCACGTCTCTAACTTTTTCGACGACATAGTTCACATCTACCCAACATGCTTCCAATGGGAGACCTACCCGCAGTCCTAGACGACACATGGTCCCAGATCCCCGCATACATGTACGACGCCGACGTCGCCGTCATCGACGACCCTCACATCCCACCACCCAGCCAGCCCAACGAGGACGTCAGCACCTCCTCCATAGACCTCTACCCAACCCCCCGCACCCGAAGACACTCGGACGAGTCCGGCGAGTCCGGCTCGGGCCACGTCTTCGGCCACCACAGCAGGACCAGCAGCGGCAACGAGAGTAGGCGGCCGGCCGTGCAGACGCCGCCCCAGGACGCATCCTCTGCGTTCCTCCGGCTGGACAATGAGCGGCTGCGGCGGAGCGTGACGCAGGTGCGCGGGGAGAGGGATGACATGCGGCGGCGGATGGAGGCGGCGAATGGCCGGATCGACTGTCTGGATCAGCTGCTCGAGGAGGCGCTGTATGAGGAGGGGAAGTCGTCTAAGCTGTGCTCGAAGCTGTTTGAGCTGAGTAAGATGCTTGTGGACCTGAGGAAGGAGTTAGGTTAGATCTTGTATGATTAATATGGCCGACTAGTCTTCATGAGCTGGACTCTTGACTACTGCTAGGCTCCTAAGTGACTTAATGATAATGTGCATCTTCAACTTCGGTAGTTGAAATAATGATCGATGCTATCCAAGGGTACTGCCTCCTCTCACCTCATGCAGACCGAACATCACTCGGAAGTGAAGCTCACGATGATCTTGACTCCACTCGGTCAGGTCTTGGGGCAAGATAATTGGAAGTCATCGTGTGTGCCTCGAATATTTGTGCAATGTAGGCAGTGGCATGAGTTTATTTGAGTCATAGAGATCATCGCTAGTTAACCTAGTCCTCCACAATTTTTGTTCTTTATGCTGACTGGAGGAAGTAAAAAAAAATCGTACTGCTTGCGCCTGCAACTGCCTGAACCAGCAATCCCTTCACGGGCTGGTGCGTGGAATAGTTTATCAGAAACCTCAAAAATGGTAGCCGGGCGAGTGCAGTGGTCGGCTGATTATCGACAATGCGACACCGCCATCATTCCAGCCTTTTCCCAACCAAACTTAAAAAGACACCCATTATACCAACAGCACACTACAAGAATGTTAGCATAAATACACGTTCCTTATCGACAATAGGGAGGACTCACGCATTGACAGTTCCATCATTCTCGGGATTGTCTAGAATAGCGGTCAGCACGACAAGGTCAATGAGTACTGGGAAGAAAGTGACAACGTACTAGTAATCTGGGCGTAGCGACCGAACACAACCTTTCCAGAAGTAGTCGTCATGCCCAATTCGCTTGTGTTGACCTCGATGATACATCCCTTAGACAGGACACCAAGCCGAGTGTACAGAGGGTCGGAGGGATGCTTCTTGACAGAGATGATGGGGGCCTTGATCGTGATCCCCAGTTCTGGGTGGCTGACATGCGCCGTCTTGTATCTCAGTCCAGAGGGTCTGATGAATCGCTCCTGCTTGGGGTTTTGTCGAGTGAACCCCTCTCCCACGAACGTCGGCTTCGTAATCATTCGCTTCCAGCTCTTCCTCTGTGTTTTACCGGTCTTGACCACACGGAACATTTCCTCCTCGGAGATACCACGCACTTTGGGAAGAGGCACGGCGAATCGAGCGGCCTTCTCAGCTCGGCGTTGCTTGATAGCGCTTGAGAGACCCTTGGCTGTCTGGGCGTTGCCGTCACGGTCGAGCAGGTAGGCGGGGACTGCATCCTTGGGCGCCTCGGACTCTCCTTGCAGCTTGATGTCGCGCTCCTCGAAAGCCTTGATCTTCTTCTTCATCTGGATCTTCTCGACTCGTCGCTTCTCCTGTCTCAACTTGGCCGCGAGACCTCGCAGGTTCTGTGCATCTTTGGATTCCTTGTGGCCCTGGCGAGCCTGGCGCTTGCGCATTCGCTCCTCCTGGTCGAGCCTGTTCTAATGCATTAGTCCTACACGTCAAGCAAAATCACAGAGTCGGTGGACATACCTTCGACCGTGGAGGCGGCGCCATCTTTCCATGTACTCATTCTGAGGCATCTTGTCGTTTGGGCTCCGTGGCTGGTGATCTGGTTGAAGCGGAAGAAAGAACCCAGAATGCGTAGTGTGTATGTATGCTGATAAGCGATAAGTTGAAATTTTTGCCCGTGCGCATCAATAATTTTCCGATTCCGGAGCAGCTCATCCGCATCTCACTCAACCCCGCTTTGAATGTGGCTAACCTACCCTTCATTCAATCTCATGACTGAGTTGAAAAAGATAATGTTAAAATAATATTATGAAAATGTAGCTATCGATTTGCGCAGAGCGACAGGCAACGGATTCCGCCCCCAGTGTCCGACTTCTCAACGGTATCTTTTGGGAAACTTGTATTTGTTGCTTGCGCGCTGAAAATGTCGTCCCCTAGATATTGACCCCGCCTAAGACTTTGGTCGCTAAATGCATCCTTCATTTTGCTCGTTATTTATTAATCATACCTACTCAACACACACATGAAGTTTGCAGCATGAGTAGGCGGATATCCCGCGAAAAGAAATAAAACGAACAGGTTCTTCCTTCCAAGATTGACCTTTCGCCGAGCAACCGCACATACTTCTACCCAAGGCCAGTGACTGTCTCACTAGGCCCAACCTTGTGATGTGAGAGGATGCACCTAGATGTTGGTGTTGATGCTGGAGTCGCTCCACACATATCTATACCTTTCATTGTGACTAGTTTTTCTGTCGCATACATCACTGAGGGCCTTAAGTAAATAGAGCCAGCGACATTTTAAGGGCAACGGAAAAGAAACCATGTGATGAGGCGGCATTGGCTAACGAGTGAAGACATTGTATCTTGGATGCATTCCAGCACATTACCAAAATAGTTTCGCTTTAATATTCCCTCTCTGGACTATATCGTATTGTGCCAGAGGCGCTGGTATTGTAGAGCTGTGACAAATGTTCCCTGCAGTTGACTCGTCGTGGAATTTTGAAAGGGAGCTTGAATTCAACTGGCCTTGCTATCTATCTCACTTCCTCCTCTCCTCTCCAGTTTCCTCCTATCCTCCCCAATCCCCCCCCTTCTCCAGTCGTGGTAGTTAAACATGTAGCTGCTAAAGTTAAATAAGACACCCAGTGGAGGATTTGTTATAAACAGACTACATTCTACGATAAATAGAGATGTTCAGTAGTATTAAATGAAAAAATTAACAATATATACCACGTTATCTCTTAAATATGTTCTATTGTTACCCAATAATCTGACAGTATAGGTCACAGACTTGAAATCAAGTATCTAATGTTTCAGTGTCTCAATTTCTATATTACCCACTTGCGCGGCTACTGATCTTTTACTTCACCACTGGCCGCCAGAGAGTGACAAAGCAAGCATTGTTCTGCCCAATTGTGACATTAAGTCGTGGTTGTAGACAGAGAAGGGACCATACTCCTGCATCACAAGGAAGGATTTCGTAGACTTTGAGGGTGTGGAGTTTCTGTGAGAGATGTACTGGACGTAGTCGTCGTTGAAAGTGGCGACGATCAAATAGATGTCTTCCCGGTCTTGTGATACTAGTAGTCGCCTTTAAATAGTTAGCCACGAATAATTGCTGATAATAACAGGAACAATAAGAATGATTATAAGAATAATAGAAACAATAAGAATGGCCATAACAACAATAGAAACAATAAAAATAATCATAACAGCAATAAAGATTAAATACATAGGGGGGTTGGAACTAACCGGTGCATAGTATGACTAAGAGGAGGTGGATGCATTGCAATCCAAGCAGCCATTTGAGCAGTTTCTTGCATCCGAATTTTGGCGTAGACGGCAGGAATGGGTTCCCGAAGGAAGGGTTTCACCTCAACGATGATTTTAGGCTCTTTGGTCCGATCGTCCCGCAGCAAACCATCAACCTGCGCCTCATAGACCTTCTGGTGATTGTTGTCTCGTAGCACAAAGGCATATCTCTTCAAACTCCATGTGAAATCGAGTTTGGGGTAGTGGACTGTCAAGGACTGCAGAAACAGAAGCAAGGCCGTATTTACGATCTGCTCGTCCTCGATGGGATCGAAGGTCTGCTCGGAAGAAGATGTGTTGCCATGTGGGATAGGCTGGGGAGGTTGCGAAGACTCAGCAGCGAGGAAGAGGGTGTTGGGTGACAGCTCGAGCGCACTGAATTTGGGCAACATATCTCGAACGATGGTCTTATCAATGGGTGTTGGAGTTGGAGGGGTGTTGGCTTGCCATCGCTCTCTACCGGGGCTTCCCCTCGGGAATACAATGACCCTGAAAAAATCATCTGCATCCTTAGGAGGAATTGTCGTCGTTTTATCACAGAGGCGCTGGTATTGTAGAGCTGTGGCGAATGTTCCCTCCAGATGACTTGTCGTGGAACCGACACCTTGCGAGCTGAGACTGCGATTATGTTCTATCATCTCAAGGTATGTGCGCCAGGAAGCGAATTCCTCCAGGAAGGTATTCGCCGCCACCCTCTGACTATGGAAAGTGCTGCGCCTGTCCTCTCCAAAATACTCGTTCAATGCCGAGGCAGTCTTAGTATCGGGCCATAAAGAACGCAGTAAGAGGAACTGCTCAAATTCGATCTTAGACCCTGACTTCGCTTCACAAGTCTGGATGCTGAGTGACCCGAGCCCAAGTGCGTCAACGGCATCGTTCCAGGCTTGGCCATTTGTCGGTAAGGTATTTGCTACACTCATGATGGTGTATATGTATAAGAAGTACCGCAGAGAATGATTTGAGTGAGAAATAATTCAGGCAAGATGAAAACGTGTTTGGCACGACGGAGAGAAGGCATTGATGACGATGGGAAGCCTTTAGGTGCGGGTTTAAGGAGATATAGCGTCAATCTCTAGGCGTAAATCAAAAAGACACAAACGTCTGAGGCGCCACGACGACTACTTTAGTCGGCGCTTGTTGGTCAACTACCTACATGAGGGTTTCACTCTTGATGAACGGTGGCCAATGATGAGCTTCGTTGCTGTAATCGTGATGAGAATCTAGACGGAGCCTCGCCCACACCACATCCTTTCACCCATTAAATGTAACTTGACCAGCGATGGACCAGTTATGTCGTTGTTATAAACGCTTCTGGTTGCCTTCATCCTGCCCTGTTTTTGGATGCAGATTGCTAGGCGCGCGTCTCAACAGCCGGTGAAGTCAATGGTGAAGTGCTTCTGAAAGTGGGTCAAGCGGCTAAAATAAAACATGGCACTCGAAAGCCCTTTTCACGTAATGCAGGGACCAAATTTTCCTATCAATAGTGCTAAATACAATACTGTTTAGTCAATATTGTGTCTAATACTAGGTTGATTATTTTGATATTGCGTCAAAATTCAATGCTAGATTCTGGGCGTGCCATCTTTTGTTGGATGTCAGTCGCTTGTGGGTATAGCCTAAGCGCAGCGGTTTTAGGCAGCCCAGCGACCTCCCGATTGGCCCGAGACGCGGCCCATGTTGCCCCAGTGACCTCCCATTAGCCAAGGCGAAGCAACCAACATGCAGATTGATTTGCCCCTTGATCATCACCACTCAATACACGTACCAGTACCATCATCACACACGCGCGCGCTTCCTGCTGCACTCACCTAGGTCATTTTGTCATAATACACAGCGCACGCGCTCATTTATTCACAATGCAGCTCGTACCAGACTCTCTGCCTCTCTCCTCACAATCAGACTCTCAATCAGCTTCACCCGCCACCATGGACCGCCGCCACTACCTTGGCCGTCACGGACATCGCGCTGACCCCTCCCCAAGTGCTCCAAGTGCAAGCCCCTCCCCAAGTGCTCAAGCCCGTCATGATCGTGCGGTCATGGCTTCAGTTGTCACAGCCTTCAAGATAAATTATCTCGGCCCCGCCTACAACCTGCCCAAACCTTACCTTGACGAGGAGACATTGCAGACATTTGGAATCACCATCGCGGGTCTGAGCCTAACCTCCGGTAAACCTACCCATGGAAGAGTCGCTGTGCTTGAGCCCATTCCTCACGATCAGATGGAGAAATGGATCACCCTGACCGGCACCAAGACTGTGGACAGTGATGTAGCCAACCTTGTCCACTTTCCTGACCATTGCCTCAACCACAATCACGACGAGGCGGATGCTCTTTTCCGTACTATTGGGTACTATCTTAACGATAATATCTTGGGGTTTTTCCGTCCCAATATCGTGCGTGATTTCACCTGCTGGGAACACTTCCCGTACGTAACCTTCTCCTCCAACCACCTTACCACAATAATAAGCCACCCGCTAAAAGCACACGTATATAGGAACGAGAATACCTTTCTTCAGAAAGTCTCGCACAATGACTGGTATGTGCACGGAATCATGAGATATTGCAAGGTGAAGAGACCCCCTGCTCTCGACACTCGTTTCCCACACAACACATCATTCGTTTCGGATCGCAATCCGCTTAAAGACGGCATCTTATCAAAGAGTGAGCTTGTCGCAATCCTGGGTTTGGCATTCATCTTTGCCAGTGGCGCCCTCGAAAGGGACGACTTACCCTTTATCGTTCCGGTACGCTCTATTGTTTCCTCTTTTACATCCATTCATCACTAATCGAGCTCTTCCATTAGGTCACAATAGTTTCGGCATCTTGGAGAAGTTGCCGTGTAGTACAAGGGGTGGTTGACTTAACTGCTAAGCCGAAGCCCTTGATTGACATTCGGATGTCTCGCATTGTCAGCTTCCAAAAGGGTGTCAAAACACCGGAGGCCTGGCCCGAAATGGTCAAGTTGTTGTCTATTATTGTTGCTAAGCCAATCCCTGTCTCTTGAGACTCCTTGTTTCCTCGTGGCATCTTTAAATAAGTAAGGTGATATTATATTGTTTTCTAAGTAGTAGACTAGGAATAGCGATAGTGAATTATACTGCTGAGAGTTCGAGCATAAAGTAAAAACAGCAATGGAAGATGCTAGACCCGACATCTCAACACAATGAGTGTGATAGTAAATAATAACAATTCAAAAATAAATATAGAATAAGTGAATAGTTCAAGTAATATATTCTTTTAGGACTGTTATATATTCAAAGTTTTTTCTTGTTTGTATTCGTTGATATTGTGTTACTCTTGAAAAAATCATCCTATATAGAGGAGGTATTCTTTGTTCAATAGCAGCCATCTTGCTGGTGGTTTACTGTATACAAAGGCAATGAGGGCCACGACTATTATTTAAGAACAGCTCGCCAATTCCAATACACAATATAATGGCATATATTCCACCTGGCGGTCAATCCAAGGAACTGGCACGGTGAAATCGAGTTGGTTTAATCGAAAGATCAGTGGGATCTCGACAGATAAATGGATGTTTTCTCGCATTTACATTTACAGCAAGTCAAGTGAAAATGACAGGTAAGAGTCAAAAAGGCACATCATGCTCGATAACAGCACAGTTTCTCCAAGAATTCAAGGTGCTATAAGCTATATTATAGATGTTACCAAATTCTCACAATCCAAGAATCGATGGCTGGCTCCAGCCCTTCGGCACTCAGATACGCAACTCCCACTCTCTCGTACGCTTCAAGTTCGCGGTTTGCTTGAACGAGCAAAACATAATGTGCCTGTTTTCCATGCTGCTGTTGATGGTTTTTCCCGACAACAACACAGTGAAGCGGCTTCTCTAGTGTCCGGTTTGGATCGTCCAGAATCAGCCAGCCCTGATGGTTTTCAGTCAAGGTGCGCAAGGGTGCTTTGATCTCACTTGATCTAGCTTCGCTCTCTGATGCAATTGCAGTAGTGGGTTTATCGACGTGGAACGGTGACTTGATCCTATCATTCTTTTCGAATTTTCCCAGCGGCACGTTCATATAACGTATCTCTCCGCTAAAGGCGACCCACGACCAGGATGGGACCTTATCGTCAGATTTTAGTTCAATTCTTTCAAGTCTGGGTGTCGATAGTTCGCGATGCCATAGTAATCCCCGGTGGAAGTGCGACTCAAACACGCCATAGCCGCCCGCTGAGTCCATAGCCCTCATCAATCTCGTCTCAAGACCCGAGATCGCTCGAGGTCTATCGCTGGGATAGGTAAGTCCTAAGGTGGAGAATTTTTCATAAAGATCTTGGTAGTGTTGTAGCTTTCTTCCTTCTTTGTAAGCCTCGGCAGAATGTGGAAAGTTGGAGTCGCCAAGAAAAGATGCTTTACGGCTAAAGAGAGCATTGTGGTTAGACATATCGGCCTTCAGGGTCTATAGTGACTTACTTCTTCATCTTCGTGAATGTTTCGCATCTTATACCTTGCCCGCATTCCCAGTATACTTGGGCGTCAGTGAAATAGATTGTTCGGCGCGAGAGAGCGCGTTCTTGCAGGACCCAGGCCCGTTTATTGAGTTCTCCTTGTTCAACATGGGCATCGAAATTATCGACCACCTCACAGATATGAAACAGAGAACCGTCGTCGGCAGCCATCGTTGCGAACTTCCGCGGGGCCCGTGGCTTAAGGAAGCCGTCGAACCTATGCTCAGCGCAACTAGCAGCAATGGTAATATAAGCAGAGTGGAAGATCTGCTCCATCAGTTTTGACTCTTTCTCCCAGTCTGCGCTGGATTCAGCATCCCTGTCCTTTCCCGTTCTCTGCAGGATGCACAGGGAGTCTATCCACAGGTAGTTCAAATTTAGCTTTCTTGTCACCGAAATGGCGTCTTGGAACGTCCTTGGAAGCTCTGACTGATCTAACCCTTCAGGAGATGCGATCATGCTGAGGTTATCAAATGTCGTAACAGCAGCAGTCACGTATTCTGGTTGCTTCTGCTCGGGCTGACCCCATCGATGAGAAAGGGCGGCATACTTCACTGGTTTCATCTGGCCTCCCAAGTCACATAGCAGCCGGACGCGACTAAACTCTATATCTCCAACATACAATAGCCTGCTCGGGATGAAGCTGCCGGCGCCAGGAATATGCTGAGCCTTCTCGCAACTTTCAATCCATGAGGAAACTATTTTCATTTGGGTATCGCTCCCTGGATCAGCCAATGAAGGAAACCCAAGCTGCACCCCGTTGGAGTGAAAAATCTCAGATTCTATAGTGCGTGATCGTTAATTTACCATTTCATCATAAGGTTGGTATCCTTCCTCCCAGACAGCTCGGTTAAAACCAAACGACAAATACTTACCAGATGTCGTGCATAGAGACAGTATCGGGCTCCAATGACTGTAGCCGAAAGTCAACGAGGAACGATTTCTAATAAACTTAATTACTTCATCGCGTCTCGCGGCTCTGTCAAGCATCGCCCGACATAATAGGTCACATAGGCCACAATATCCAGATCTATCTTCAAGGCTTGACATCGTGTCATAGAACTCAAAGTCTTTGGTCCATATCTTCATTGATTTGCAGCGATCGCATAATTTCGAAATGTCGTATCGTATATGACTTTCTGCGCTCCGTGGGACAATATGTTGAGCCATTTTATCATCGAGTTCAAATTCCCAGTTGTTATCAAGCTATGTGGTTGAGACCTGGTCAGTAGGATTATTGTCTTAGGGGTTTCGGAATTCACGAACAGGCTAAGAGTGGATTAGATCATTCTTCTTGGTAGTTGTGCCGTTTGTTCATCTCATTATCGAAAACAAGGTAGCAGCATCTAGCTTAGGAAACTTACAGTCTGGCGTGCAGGATTGTCAGAAACGAAGTTTTCAAGCGAAACGCATCAAAAACACTTACAAACTGTGGCAACAAAATTAAGTAACAGCACTATTAGCAACATTTTCATATAGAATTAGAGTGGCATTACCATCTACAGCAAAGTAACCCTATCTGTCAGTTCAAGCCTTCACAACGCCAATTCTTTTCTCACGTACATACTACCTCATGTTAGTATACCATGACCGCAGAGACCAACCATCTAAAAGGAAGAGTGATGTTGAATAATGGACCAGACATACTTTCTTTCCGTAGTAGCAAGTTAATTAGAACGCCTCACCAGTTAATGGGGAAAGGCTTAGACACGTACTTCACTTATCTGAAGTCCAGTCAGCAAATCAGCAACCCTGAATCTCTGTCATTTCCGCTAGGAAGAGTTCAGATTAACCTACCCTTGGTGTAGTATCATACTTGGAAACCGAAGGCCTTCGGGGGCGTGGTTCGAGATTTGAAACGATTTTTGGCCCTTGCTTCGCCGCTTCTGCCATACCATCCCAGTTGATCCATGGCAGTGACTTTTGTTCCTTTGCTGCATAGTAGATCTTTTCCAGCTCCTTTAATGTGGCTTCAGCATCTGCTCGTATAGGCTTATTATCTGACAAAGGGGACCAAGTTGGTTGAGTCACTAGCATCCGCGGTACCTCGTTATTAGAACTCCTCGCTCCCTGAGATTCCACTTCAGTATCAGGAGACTGGCCCTGCATATGAGAATAAGCAACCACTAGCAATCGATTCTCGATAAGGTCGATGAGGCGGCCAAGGGCGGTGGGTCCCGAAGATGAACATCTGGGGTCGTCTTTGATGGCTTGGATCCATTGTGTGACAATAGGTTTGACTCGAGTCTCAGGGTGGGTGTCGAAGCAGTAGTCGCCGCTGGTGTCATCGTGGAATTTTTTGAGGTTTTCTTTTCCATACAAGATCCAGATGAGAAACTCCAGATATAAGACCCCAAGGGACCATATATCATACAGTCTGGATCTCGCGTGGTTCTTATCTATCTCAACTTCGGGAGATGCATATCTTCGTGTGCCCCCTTGCGTTGTCGTAGGATCGAGTCGGGCTTGGGTTTCTCTTTCGTGGACCTTAGCCAGGCCCGCGTCAGTGATAACAAGAGTAATATCTGTCGGAATTTCACCCCTAGCAGGCAATCGATTGCCGAAACAGAGGATGTTTTCGGGCTTGAGGTCCCCATGACGGCAAGATTCACCTGGTTTATCTTTTGAATAGTGAAGAATCTTGATGGCCTCAGCGAGACCTTTCAGTTGTCGCAGAAACCATTCGATGTACAGCTCCCAGTCTTTGGAGCCGAAGTTGAGCGATTCTTCGGCCAAAATATCGCATTTCTTCCAAAAGTCACGCAGGCTCCCTCCCGGGGCCCAGGGAAACATGAAGAAGTAGTCACTGCCTTGACTGTAGCAGGCGATGACTCTGATCAAATGTCGGTGCCTGTTTTCCTTGAACCGATACAACACATTCGATTCATTCAGGGCAATCTCTTTGGATTTGCCTGCCGTTTTGCTCCATGCGAATTTCAGCCTTTTAACGGCAACATGAGGATTCCCGCGGGCATCCGTAGCACATACCTGCGAGAATGGTCAACAGAGAGAAAGGTTTGAAGTATCACTATCTCTTACAATTTGATCGTCTTGGAGTTCGATATGTCTGCGATGAATGACATAATGCCTAACGACACTGAAGTTGCTCTCTACACCAGTATCTATTTCCTCGAGGAATGGAAGAATTTGCGAAGGGCTGAAAATGTAGACAGGCTCGTCGTCTTCGGTAAAAACTGGAACAAAGAAATGCCATTGACATAAACGGCAAAGGTAATCTATATCATCTTTCTCGACTGGGAATGGAACATAGTTCTCTGGGTATTTTATTGACCGAACTGCCCACTTGCAGTCTGGTCCGACGTAGCCAGGGCCTAGGTCTTTTACCGATTTCCTCTCGATAGGGAATTGGTCGTCTGCGAAGCCTTTGTCGTAAAACAGTTTCAACCAATCCAGTTTATTATAACGAACAAGCACAGCAAAGAGCCGCTTGGCTTTTCCCAAAACGAATCTTGTCATGTCGTCATGTACTGAATGAGTCATTTTTGGTTGCTTCTCGAGCACCGCTCTGAGCACCGCTCTTACATTGGCTTCGTCTCCAAGCAGCTTTTCGATATGGTCGAAAGGGACCCATTCGTACGTCTCTTGATCAGTGTCATTTTCAATTTCTAGCGTCCCATTTTTGATCTTATTCACCAAATCTTCGTTTGCCATGCTGTTTCCAGATGAACTTAGCCAATGAAGGGCTACTTTGGGGAAAGAGGTTCGGCGCGTGGGTTTCTGGTCACTAGCTGAGCCTGGGAATGAGAATGCTCGACGCTTCTTTGTGATGGCAGATGGTTGATTCTGCCTGGAGTAAGGCTGGGACGGCTCTGTCTGAACCCGACGGAGATGGGGTTCAGTTGCGTCTTCTAAAGGGTCTACGGGCAAGGCCGTAGCTTGTTGTGACTTGGATTTCAGTGGGCTTTGCGGCAAGAGGCGGAAAATCCACCCAAAAGTCTTATTCTCGCTCATAAGATGTGGGATATATCACGGTTTACATGAGTTCTCGCCAAACCACGGGAAAGTATCCCTCTTATGAAGGGCTATGATCCCGGGCCGGAAGACTTCTCCCCGCTCTTACGGAATTCCAAATGCAACAGTCTCTCCAGGTTGCGTTCTAGATTTGATATCGATCAGCAGCAGCCGAGCTGCCCGCTTCTCAGCTCACGCTGGTTGTGCTGCATGATGTCACTATAGCCAGCCAAGCTGATTGTCCCGGCTTACATTATTGGCCACGAGAAACTTGGAATTAAGTTGATGGGGGGCATCATCCGAACTGGCCAACCTTGTTCATCATAATCAGTATGTTCCCGTTGGTTCGAAGCATCGTCCGCACGAGGCATCTCATAAGGCGACCAAAATGCAACACCCCTCCTCGAAACGATGTCGCACCCATGCACCTACAAGATATTATGCAAGCTCCTTAGGTGCATATGATGAAGTGATTGCTCACAATCTTGAGCCAATCAAATTTCCACACCCTCACCTCGTGATACCGAAGGCGCTTATTGAACCGCTCGCATTGGAGTGCATTCAGTCGAGTGCTTGGTTTTGCTCATCTACCAAGCTTCCACCTCGCGTCATTTAAAGACCTGTGCAAAATTACGGCTTAAGCTCGATGGAATAAACACCACAAAGGCTCAGAATTAAGCATTGAGCCCATCACCTCTTCACCTACCCACCCTTCACAAGACCATTTCGTCCATGGTGGCGTCCGACTAGTGGTTGCTGTGTTGCATCGAGCGGCTGACCATACAGCCTTTCTGCGCTATTTTATGCATCAATCGCCTTTGTCACCCACCATTGACTGAAGCTGTCTCAAAGGGGATGCCGGTGAGATGAGTGGCTGCCTTGCGTGAGCCTCCTCGCAGCGGTTACGTAGGTGTTGGGGCAGTGATCAGACGCCGCATCAGGATCCGCAAACCTGCCCAGGACACCCTCCTCGCCTCTCACCAACTACTTCCGTTCACTAGACACTCGCCTTTCTTGGATCCTGAACAGTCTTGCGAATATAGCCGTGAATATAGCCAGCTCTTTCTATTGATATCGATCAAGCCAACCATTCTCAGGCACTATAGGTACAAATCAGGGATTAACATGGCCGCTCCTTCTCCTCCCACACTGTACTCCCAATGCCAGGGATCATATGCCACAGACGAGATCAACAACCGCAAATACCTTCCGGTGGATTCGATGCGCAAGCTCCTCAAGAAGGGAAATGTCGGCTCTGAACTAAAACGCAAAAAGAAGATACCGCTGAGAGTTTCAAAGTGTGCCGGTCAGGTTGAGAAGCAATTGAGCAAACTATTTCTGACCCTTGTGCTCTTAGACAAGGCCCTGGACATCAGGGGGCTGCTAAAGGCAGGGTTTACAGACAAGGACCTTCCGCTAATCAAAGTGGATGACACCACTCTACGATCTTCTTCTGAAAAGGAGAAGCTGTTCAAGAAACCTAGGGACTGGACTGAGCAGATCATAGATAGCTTCATCGAGAAACAGTGGATGATGATAGCACCAGTCTTCACAAACAATGGCGAGCATCGCGATTTTGACACGAATATCTGTTTGCCGTTTGACAATCTGGACGAGAAAGGTCACAGCAATACCAGTATCGTCTTCAAGGCAGACATCCATAAGGCGCAACAAATCGGATTCGAGGTATGGTAACCCTCTCAGCTCCAAGGCCCTTGTCCTTGAACTTCCTTACTCTAACACCAATAGGATGACGCGCCAAATCTTTCGGTTGCCCTCAAAGAGTTTAGACTTGGCAACTATTTTGAAGACGAGCGCGAGAACCTCGAAAGGATTCGAGAACTGAGTGATAATAAGCATATCACCAAAAGCTTTGGCTCTTTCTCCCAGGGCAATAGGAAGTTCATGATATTTCCTTGGGCCGATGGTGGGGACCTAGAAAACTTCTGGCAGGAGAAGGATACCGACGAGCGGTCGCCCGAATTGCTTGTCTGGTCCTTGGAACAGATGCTTGGCCTCGCCGAAGCTCTTCAAGCCCTGCACCATAATATTGGTGAGAAGATCAACTTGCGCCATGGCGATTTGAAACCCGGAAACATCCTTCACTTCTTCGCAGGGGATGGTAGAGGTGTCCTGAAGATTGCCGATTTTGGCATATCAAAGATTCACAACGTCAATACTTTTGAGAGAATGGATCATCCCACTCATACCAGGGCCACCTCACCATCCTACGAGGCACCCGAGGCTGTGTCGAAAGAAAAGAGGGCAAGATCGCGCAAATATGATATCTGGTCACTAGGTTGTATCTACCTGGAATTCGCAATCTGGCTCATCCACGACTGGAAGAGCATCCAAGATTTCAACGAAGAAAGGAAACCCAAGGCTTATACTGATACTTTCGCGCATTTCTACCACGACTCCAACGGCCAGGTAGAAGTTCACCCAAAGGTTAATGAGAAGATCAAATCATTGAAGAGTAACCCCCAGTGCGGCGAAAATAGTCCTCTAGGGGACCTTCTTGATTTGATCGATGCTCACCTCCTTCGAGTAGAGGTCGAAGACCGCCTCGATGCTGAAGGGCTGCGGGACAGGCTAGCGGCAATAGTCAAGAAAGCCAAACCCGAATGATCATCGCTTCAAGAGCACTGAGTTGATGAGCCTTTTGTGGGGGAATATGAAAAGCGCAAGGGGGAATTTGTATCTTTACCAACCTAAGTGTGTAAGTATGGCGTTCGGAAATGAAGGGTTTGTTTGAAATCAAGGTGGAAAAGATGACTTTGTGTTTGTTTCGTCCCAAAATATCTAGTTTTACTTTCACTCTTGCTACATCTACTTGCATTCCTTCTATTTACGCCTCAAATGAAAGCTATTGCTAGGTCTGAGGCAACATTCTTCTTGAGGGTCATGTTTGTTCTAATATTTAGGTTTGTCATTCCCTGATAGTACTAGCTATTCTTCAGTATGTTCTTCGCATGTATTGTATGTTGATCCTCAACAATGCCCAGCTCTCGTCATTTCCTTCGCTGCTAATAGAGTAGCTATAGCAATTTAACTTACAGCAGGCTGTTTGAAAACAAGAGGGCCCTCTGAATCCCAACGCGAGGTCTGATCCCAGGGGTCTATGGTTAGCTCGTGGCGGAGGTCGTGGAGGTCCTCCTCGATGCATTCGATTGCGGTCTCGTAGTCACCAGCATTGATATTCCCCTTGATGCCCGAATAGAATCCAGCAGTCCCCAGCTCACCACAGGTTTCCTTGTTCTCAATCAGTATGGAAAGATGACGACATGAGGCAGCTGGATTATCTGATGAGAGGCTACCCAGTGCCTGTGTCAGGAGGGAGCAGTCATCCTGAATGTTCCTATCCCGAATACCTCTGAACAGATTTACAAAAGCATCTCCTTCTTCTTTATTTGGTCTGCGACCGTAAATTTCGTGCTCTGGGGGTCGATGGAGACACCATTTAAAAGCGTCCCATGGGTTGTTCCCAACTGTGTCGTAGAGCCGTACACTAATTCTGGATAAATCTAAGTGGTGGAGAAGCTGCAACATCTCCAGATTGCAATGGAGAGCAGCGTGGTTCAATAAATTCCCCGAATCTGCCGTAAGATAAGTGTGCGAGGCACCTGCATTGATGAGGTATTGAGTTGCAGCGAGCTGGTTATTAACCACCGCGGTCATCAATGGGGGCAGTCCATAGACATCTGTTGCATTGATATCTGCTCTTCCTCCACCAAGCAGTAATTCGAAAATGCGCCCCACTTGGTTTATTAAGCTACCGTCACTACAGACTGTTGCAGCCAGGTAATGCAAAGGGGTGGAGCCGAAAAAGTCGCCCTCCGAGACGGAAACTCCCTCCTCTAGGAGCAGCTGCACAGCTTCGGGGTTGCAGGAAAGGGCAGCGACATGCAAAGCAGTTCGACCCTTCCGGTTCTTTTTATTCGCATGGCATCTTTCTCTTCTGTTAGTTCTGCTGTGAGTGTCCCCTCGCAACAGGATTAACTGCATCATTTCGATGTCTTGATTCGCGACTGCCCTTATCAACGGCGTGTCTCCATTGGGAGCTTGTCGATTGACATCTGCACCAGCTTCGATCAATACCTGTGCGCACTCGTGATGTCTCATAATGGCAGCCACATGTAGTGCCGTATAGCCTGTTTCATCCGGCGTATCGAGAACACCCGGCATGTATGATTGCGATTTCAATGCCTCGATAGCCTCTTCCATGCCCCATCCCTGCCTCGCTGCCTCGTGGAGCGGTGTCGTCTCCGGCTCCGGCCCATCCTCCGCATAGTTCATTATTTCTTTCAGCAGTCTGCCTTGGCTCTCGTTGCAAGTTCCGTACCTCATTTGAATTCTAGCGTGACGTCCAATGCTTCTGGTCAAATTGCCCCATTTAGCACATTTGAGGGGCAGCCTGGTCACATCAGATAGGCAGAATACTACATACCTTGAAAACCGCTGTTTGGGCAAGATTGTTTCCCATTCAATTAGAAGCATCTCGAGTATCTCAAACGCTTCGTAGGTAATGAGGTGCTGCTCAGGTAAGTCTCAATTCCAGATGCTGACAATATCACAAGACAATACTCACTTCAACAAACAAAAGCCCCGTCTCGTCCTGGTCATCTGGATACAGGGCCATCCCCAATTGTAAAGATTTCCGAAAGTAATGCACCGGCAGACTCGCATATCTCCATTCAATTTGAACCCACGGTATCGTCCTCGCAGGGCGGAGTGCATAAAGTGAGTATGTTTGGACAGAGGCGAGGACATCAGGATATCGCTGGCCAGGAAGCCGCCATCCCACGGATAACACTTCGGACTTGTTGCAGCCGCAACCCCGTTCCCATTTGCTCGTGGCCGTGGGTGGCCTGAATCTCAACTGTAATGGTCCGATCGATAACTGGTAAAGGTTAGTGTGGCATCGGCACTGGCATTCGTAAGCACACTTCTTTTGCAAAGCCATCCACGCGGTTGTTCTTTCAACCGTCTGATCCGTGACAGCGATAGTCAAAGGTTCATCCGCCTGGGGTTCTATTTTATCACTGCCAGGATCTTTCTCACCGCCCTCAAGCTCTCGAGTCCCCGTCGAATTCACATCAGCCTGCCGAACGGGGGACTCATCTCGGGCGAAAATCACGACGCACTCCTGCGTCAGCATTCTCTGTGACATGAGCTTATAGATTTCATCTATCTGGAGGCTCATTGCTTGCATTGTCTTATTTGTTTCCCCAATCTCAATGGCTGATTGAATGTTCATAGAGATATTGAGGTTCGTCTTAGCTTTCTGGGCCTTCTCGAGCAGTGCAGCGATTTTCCCTTCCCTGATGATCCATTTCGTCTTGCTGGCTTCAGGTTCGCCCTGCTTCGTGAAGCGCTCCGACTTTTGTTTTATGACTTCCAACTGTTTCGATATCTCCTCAAGTGTCGTCTTGGTGCTCTCTAGAAGCTCCTTCTTCTGCGCTAGAAATCCAGCTGTGATATTGCCTGTGCTTGAGCGTTTCTGCACCTCATCACAGATGTCTCTAATGAAACTGATCTACATTCCCATGTCAGTGCATGTTGCAAGCGACAAGGTTGACCCATCTGGCAAACATACCTCATCGCACAGGTCGGAATATTGGGACCCAATCTCTGAAATTTTCCGCACGAAGCCGACCGTCTTGGCCGTCAATTGTGTCAGCTGAACTGCAGCCGCCACGGCTCCAAGAACCTCAAGCCCGGACATCTTTCCAGGCCCTTGGCAGTTCGACTTTGGTCTTCGCTTCGTCTTTGCGGGCTTCTCAAATCGCGGGACAGCTGGTAGGATTTCTAAAAAGAACTCGAACGAACGCCCAAGCAACCTGTGGATGAATGCAGGGCGGGGTCGCCGTTCTGCACTTTGGTCTCAGGGCCCTCAGCTGCGTCACAAATGCGGCATCCTGTGCATTGCCCAACCAATGCCTTGCTCCAAGCCTCGACAGGATGGTCAGCCCGCCTAAGCTCACCAACTGCAATTGGATGGCAAGGCACACACACCTCCTATCCACCTACAGCCAAGGTTGGGCACCAAAACACAAGTGCCAAACTTGGATCTCTTACGGATCACAATTGTTCCCCAGAATAAAGTGATATGGCGTCAAGTATCAGCAGAAAAGACTCTTAATAGCACAGAAGGTCCCTAGGACATAGCTGTCAATAGCAGGGGCTGGTACTATATTTTCTTTTCCGCGTTCTATGTGTACCATTCTGCATTCGACTTCCAATGTGTTGATTGGATGTATTTGTTTGCGCTGGTCAGCACACTTTGTCCTGCTCGGCTGTAAGCTGCGGTCAGGCAGTCTTAGCTGGCGGGCTGGTGTAGGTTGTTAGTTATGCTAATGACACAAGAATAAACAAGCGCGACTGAGAGAAAACAATGGTCTGAGTGACCAAAAATTAATTAAATAATTGCTGCTAAATCGCTGGAAAATTGCCCGTGCTAGGTGGGAGGGATATCAGTGGTATATCAACAATAAATAAAACAAAAGATCGACGTTATGCTGGTCGGCCCTCATTCAGGCTGAGGATCCGGCGCGAGGGAATCAAAGAGAGTTTCGGCACGTTTTTCAAGGACGCCCTCCCATAAGCGACGCCATTCAAAGCATGAGACGTAAAACAATATTCCAATCTCCTGACTTGTCCACCAACTCGCTCTGTCCTGGTTACCAGAGCCGAGCACCAGGTACTCTTCATCAACCATCGTCATCTTGAAGTGGCTGAGCACAGGCTCGTCCTCCTCGCCCGCCCTGCTTTCCAGGGGCTGATAGTAGAGGATTTCCAGTCGGCCGACCTCTTCGTCCTGGGCTTCCAGGTCACCCTGGCGCTGGCTGAGAGCTTTGTACTCCTTAATGAAGCGATCCAGACACCTGGCAGTTGTAGTCTCGGCAGTGATGATCTGCTCAATATTCATCATGTTCTTGCTGGTGCGAATTTGCACGTCTACGCCTCTCTGAAGAGCAGCCAGTAGAGCCTCCATAAAGGGCCACGCCGTCACATTAGGCGTCACAATGTTGATGCTTCGCTGGGCGTTGTTGAACAAGGTAAGAAGAGCAGCGTTGAGGGGCGTGATGGGTGGTCTAGACTGTGAGAGGATGGGGAAGACGCTGAAGCGTGGATTCCGGTGATGCGACGAAGGTAGGAAGATGGTAGGGACTGGTGGCATTTCCGGGAACTTGAGGGACTGCGTAGCAGAATTCTCCACTCCGCCGATGAGCATCGACGCCCTCTTGGATGACCGGCTCGTGGCATGCAATGTGTTCCTATGGGTGTCTTCTTCCCGAGACTCGGGAAAGGCCAGTGTGCCCCAGACGCCGTCTTGAAAAGCTGCGAGCTGGATCACAACATCACCCTCTAGTTCAACGCAACCCTCAAACCACCTCTCCCAGCTCACGTTGCAGCTAGGAACCCAGGCTTTGGCTCCGTCCACGATGAGATACTTTGGATGCATGACGCTGAAGGGAGTAAAGAACAGACTCTTGACGGAGAGCTCGATGTTGCCGGCCCTCAAGAGCTCCTCGTTGGGGAGGCCCAGGCTAGGCCACTTGCTGGGAGGGTAGACATGGCCCTCGCGAGAGGAGGTATGCAGCAGCTTCTGGAAGAGGCCAGACGAAGAGAAGCCAATCGTCACCTTGAGAGGGACTTCACTCGGGTTCTCAGCCCTCGCAGAGGCGAGCTTGATGAGGGTCTCCCGGAAGGAGTTGAGGGTAGGCGAATCCGCCCAGTAGCAAGTCACAAAGTTGACAGAGTGTTTGGCGTTGAGGATGGCGGGCAGCAGCGCGCGGGTGAAGATGGTCAAGCCAGTGCCGACATAGAGAGCTTTGGGCACGCTGGAAGTGATGAGCGACTCAGGGCGGTCCACATAGTAATTGGGAAAGTCGTGATCCTGGTCCTTCTTGTGCGACTGCAGTAGTTCGGTCCAGGGGCCCACGAAGGACGCGGGGAACTCTGATACGATGCCCGTCATGATGAGAGCGGCGGACTATGGATGCAGGGTAAGCGGCGACACAGGCGTTTCCGTGATGCTATCGCAAGCTCATCACGGCGAGGGATGAGAAGGAGAGAGCGACGTAAACGCCACGAGAGAACGCGCGGACGGCACAAAACCTGCCCAGGAGCTAAGCTGGTGCAATGTGATCTATTTGATCGATGGAGCGAAACTGGCGACGAGACGCGATTGATTAATTACTTGCATAAGACAAAATTATACAAGCCGCCTCCTAACTGGATCCCCACTAGCTCTCAGCCCGGGCTGTGCTCAGACTCGCTGGGGCGTGACTTGACAGGGGCCCACAGCGGCCTAGCAGCGCTAACCACCCCTAATCACATTGGCGCCCATATCAATCACTGGATGAACAGTTGCTATTTCATGGCGTATGAACAACAACAACAACAACAACAACAATGTGTTATGATAACAGTGGGATTCACAGCTTTTTTTGAGGCGTCGTTGCTACAGCCCCCCGAGAAACCAAATCAACACCATCATCCCCAGGTTTCATAACATTGGCAGTCACGAAGCATGGTCTCCCCCATTGGATAGAGGGCACGCTGACCGTCTCTGCGTACCTATGTAAGGTAGTTTTAGCAGACGTGGCCCCCAAGTGAAGTTCCCCTGCAGCAAAATCGAGGGAACAGGATTCGCTCACAAATCAACGATACAAATTGAATGAAGACGGTTAAGTGAAGATGGGATGAGAATTCCCCAAGCCGTTAGCCCCGGGCGCTGAATAATATTCCCGAACCGCGCACAGTCCCGTCACGCCTCACCGCCTGCCCAACCTGCAGCGGTTCATGGTTCGTGGCCGGGTCTCAGCCCAGCCGCAAAAGGAAGCACAAGCTCCGCGATATCATGCGAGCTGTTCTATAGCGGTTACTATCTGCTTAAATAGAAGATGCAGATAGCCTTGGATAAATATCATTACATAGCGAGTTTCAAAGCTGTACTCCCCCCCGTGCTGAAGCTCCAACTGGCAACCCAGCTGCCCTGTCTGGTGGACTGATAGCCTAAGTAACGGCAGAATTCCCGCCCAGCTCTCCCCCACCACCAATTGATCCTCTACCAATTCGCCCATCCATCCAAAAGGGGTGAAGCTGCTACAGCTCTGTCGACCCCCAACGCAACATCTCTCGTTATCGCCCGATTCCATCTCGTCTGCGCCGCTCCCTCGTAGACCGAAACCGCTGCACCCGTATCCGATTGTTCCAGCCCAATCGCCGCGCACCAGCTGGCCACATACCTCTCCACCTGTGCCTGTGCCCGTGGTGCGCATCACCACCCAACCAACCGCCATGATCTCCGGTGTCCTCATATTCAACCAAAAGGGCGAGAACCTCATCTTCCGTGCCTTCCGAAACGACTGCCGCCCTCGCCTTGCCGATGTTTTCCGCATCCAAGTCATCTCCAACTCCCAGGTCCGCTCGCCCATCTTGACGCTGGGTAGCACCACCTTCAGCCATGTCAAGCACGAGAACATCTACCTGGTCGCCATCACCAAGAGCAATGCCAATGCCGCCCTCGTCTTCGAGTTTCTCTACCGTCTGATACAGCTAGGTCGGGGGTACTTTGGAAAGTTTGACGAGGAAGCTGTCAAGAACAACTTCGTCCTGGTGTACGAGCTGCTGGATGGTATGTTCCCCCAGCTGACAAACCAGCAATCCTCCAAGATGATTGTCACAGCTAACAGAATCGCACCGCTATGTAGAAATCATTGATTTCGGATACCCCCAGAACACCGAAACCGACACGCTAAAGATGTACATCACCACCGAGGGTGTCAGAAATGAGTCGCGCTCCGAGAACACGTCCAAGATTACCATGCAGGCCACCGGCGCCCTGTCATGGCGCAAGGCCGACGTCAAGTACCGCAAGAACGAAGCTTTCGTCGATGTGATCGAAGACGTCAACCTCCTCATGTCGGCCACTGGTGCCATCCTGCGCGCGGACGTCAACGGCCAGATCATCATGCGCGCCTATCTGTCCGGCACACCCGAGTGCAAGTTCGGCCTCAACGACCGCCTCCTCCTCGACAACGACGGCCTGCACAGCCTCCCCAGCGGGAATCGCATGGGCACAAAGGCCACAAAGGCAGCCGCGGGCAGCGTGACCCTCGAGGACTGTCAGTTCCACCAGTGCGTCAAGCTTGGCAAGTTCGACAGCGACCGCATCATCAGCTTCGTGCCACCGGACGGCGAGTTCGAGCTCATGCGCTACCGTGCCACCGAGAACGTCAACCTCCCCTTCAAGGTCCACGCCATCGTCAACGAGGTCGGCAAGTCCAAGGTCGAGTACAGCATCGGTGTCAAGGCCAACTTTGGCCCCAAGCTGTTTGCCACCAACGTCGTCATCCGCATCCCTACGCCTCTCAACACCGCCAAGATCACGGAGCGGTGCACCCAGGGTAAAGCAAAGTACGAGCCCTCGGAGAACTGCATCGTCTGGAAGATTTCCCGTTTCACCGGCCAGAGCGAGTTTGTGCTCAGCGCCGAGGCCCTCCTCACGAGCATGACCAACCAGCGCGCCTGGAGCAGGCCCCCCCTCAACCTGAACTTCAGCCTGCTCATGTTCACCAGCTCCGGCCTCCTGGTCCGGTATCTGAAAGTGTTCGAGAAGAGCAACTACTCCAGTGTCAAGTGGGTGCGGTACATGACAAGAGCAGGGTCGTACGAAATAAGGTAAGAAACCCGTCCCCAGTCCTCCTTTTCTTCCTCTCGGTGGAACTCTCCTTCGTGTGCCCGAGCCCTGGGATCGCCGTACTAACAATGACTGTAAAACAGGTTCTGAGACAATACTTTTTGTGTGGCAGTTAGTAGAGCATGTATGGCGTTTATGGATATCCTGGGATGGCGACTTGAATTGCATCTTCGGCGTCGACAATAAAAATTCTGGTTATTTATTCCCAAAAGTTCGTGTGATTCATGTTTTGACCGAGAGCCGCGGTGCGTCCAAGCTACGGCTTCGCACTGCTGTATCATCAAGCTTCTAGCTACTCAAGGCAGGGTGTTCGTTTACAATTTCAACCGAACAGTGAACCTAAAGGTACGTCATTACTACAAGGAAAAAGTCGCCTTGAGGTAAATACCACAAGTTCCCCTGCGCCACTTCTGTGGAGGGTCACCAACCAGTGAATAGACAATGTCGTCTCATCCTGCTCATTGAATCCCAGGAGATGGTTCAATATTCGGAACAGACCTGAACTTGGTTTACGATCCGCCGACCATCGCCGAGCACACATACCATCAGCCTGCAAGACTGCAGGTATGACAAAAAAGGGGGTGTATGATTCCACCACCGCCCCCTTCTACTCGTATATAACTGAGCCTGTTATCTGAAGGTTGCGGCCTATGTCCCCTGAGCCGCCAATAGCGTAATCGTTGTGCCGGCGTGTCAGCTCCTACAACGGATGGGCTCGTTGGACGAGTTGTGTGAGACGACTGCTAGCCAATTTGCCGAGGCCGCAGCTGCTCGGCGCCTCGTTCGGCTGTACGATGGAATTAGTCGCGCTCGCCGTCGAAAGGTGTATCTATTTCTATACCACCCCTGGCTGTTCAACTCGGTGTAGGCCGTAGGCGGCCGCTGTTCCCAACGACGCAATGGCGACATACCAATAATCAAGCCAATACGGTGCCGATACTCTCTCGCCTGAGTGTATCGTCATAAGTGTCTCGGCCAATTTCCCCTTGTAACCGCCAACGAGGTCAAACGGTTGGGTAGATATACACCCACGTTCCTGTACCACCCCCCACGAGACCACGAGACTACCAACGGGCCCATGTTTGGGTCTTGCTCACAGAGGAGCTCCCCCCGGCAGTTGCCTCTGCCAAGATATACGATACTTTTACGCTTCTTTACAGAGATATTCCAGTCCTCCATCATGGTCACGGGCAAATCTGTTCCACCTGGGCAACGAGAAAGCAAGGACAACAGCACCAGCGTGTCACGGGATGCCGGCTTAGCGCTTCCTGTAGGTTTCTGGAACGGCTTGCCCTCCAAGGGGTCACAACGTTCGTCTCAACCACGCATAAAAGTGGTCTTGTCCCTTGTCCCACAACGAACCCCTCCTACTTTCAAAGACGACCCCTCTACAGTACCGCATCGGATGGGCATCACTACCTCTGGATCGAGTCTTCATTCTGTTCCACGAACTTCTTAAATGGGGTTGAATCTGGACACAATGCTTGCGCTGTTTTCCCACCCCCCATGTTCTCGAACAAGCTCGAGGATTTTGAACAAGTCGGGGACCGGCTCAGCTTCCGCGTGTTATTGATGCCATTTGCGCCACGCGTATGGAGGGAAATCCGGTTAGTTGAATCTGCAACGACCCTTTGCGCACGGTTCTCAGCGCAGGGCCGTGATACAAATACAGCCACCAGATTGCATCTCAGCGCGGCCGCCCGCTATGCCGGACCATCGAGCTAGACTCAATCCAACAATATGTTGGCAATATATGTTGCTCACGGGTGCGCTCCTCCAAGTTACCGCCGGTTGTCAAACGATGACACGAAGGCCATTACCTCTCTTGTGGAAACCAATGTCCTTCCGGGTAGACTTCATGGTACACCCGTGGTTACTTTACTATGCTCCTCTGTAGTTGATGTAGCCCAGACAGATTTCTTCTAGAAGGCTCCTTATGGTTCCTCCCATCCAAGCTTGAAATTCACGGGCTGGAGATGACGATCAATCTCCGAGTAACGAACAATGCATGCCTGAGATATGATTCACTTTGGAAGTGGGCATGTTATAAGTACCTGCAGCCTTCTGGCCGCCCGCCGCGGAGCCTTTCTGCGTGTTGGTTCAACTCCAAGCACAACATCGAAACTCAAAAAGGCTTCCAGTCAACAATTCTCTAGCGGCCGTTATTTTGATGCAGAGTCAAAGTTCCTGGCTCCCGCTCTAACGCCAAGCCAATCTGCACACACCCGAACGGGCTCAACGCCGAAACAGATGCCAACGCATAACGGTTACCTACGTCTTTGTTTGCCAGACAAGTCACCTAATCAATGATAAGCGTCCAGCATATGAAAACTAGTCGACGAGAGATAGAGTAGAGTAAGAGCCAAGCCGGTATATATTGAATATCATTCGCCACTTGTCCTTGGCTTTACTTCATACTTGACCATTGCTTCAGCTCTTCCCCTGATATCGAGGCTTCGCTCAGTCAACCCAAACTCAACAACCAGCAACAGACTCATCCCACGGTCGAGATTGAATCATCAAGTCCACGCTTGCTACACTCATCCCACATCTCCTCGCCAGGTACCTATAACACCTTGACTCCCAATTCGAAATAACACACTAACACCCCCCTTTCCTAGAGCCAACCATCTTTCAACTTCAACCCAACCCAAAAGACTTCGAAGCAAACCCTCCCTCCGAAAATGTGCACCGGCCAACCCGTCCTCTACCACCACGTAGCCCCCTGCACCCGCGCCCCCTCCTACTCAATAAGCTACACCTACTGCCCCTACGCCGTCCGCGACCCGGCCACCCTGCGCATCGTGGCCACCTGCCCCGACGTCATCCACATTCCTTCGTCCTCGCCCGTCGGCACCGCGCCCTGGCCGCCCGGCTGCCTCATCGTCTCCCCGGAGTGCTCCTCGGGCCTCTGCCGCCTCGAGGACCTCGACGGCGCCTGGGTGTGCTGCCGATGCCGGCGGAGCGGGAACACCCACGTGTACTGCCTGCAGCCCAAGAGGGGCAGCCCGGATACGTTTTGCTACCATCGGGTGTGCCAGGGGTGTACTAGGGCTTTCATTTCTTGATGGTTTCTGTTCGCCATTGATTCTGGATGAGATTGGGGAAGGGGTGATGGAGGGTTTGGAAAGGGGGGACAACTGGTTTGGATTTTTCGTTCTGGGCGGGTAAAATGGCAATTGTAAACAAGCGGATACTGAGATTTGTACGAAGTTGTTTTTTATGGGAGGCTGGACGTAAGGGCTATACTCGTGTGGGAATCTAGCTACAGAAGGCAACATGATGCCTGATAGTCCAGATTAGACATATTATTCCATGATCTGACATCAGTCGGAGCTGATGTCTCCCATCATGTTTCCGGTCATATCATGCCTTTGCCATTAGACAAGGTGTTTCCACTCATTGGATAAGATATCAGGCTGTTGCCTAGCTTCTAAGGGCAACATGTCAAAGAGTCTAGCCAACGCAACGCAATGATGTCAGACCACTCTGCACTGACGCCCAGATAATCGATACATCAGAGCACAGGGCATCAAAATGGCCTGGGCTGCTCGAATGTCAGCGTCTCGGCCTTTCCGACCGATACTAGCGTGTATAGAGGTACGACAGTGACAGGTTAAATAGACGATGCTACCTTGAGTCTTGGTGCTTATATGAGAGGCTACGTAGCCTCCCGCGCAGCAGACTGATTGGCCTCGTCTCCTTGAGCATGCTCTGGCGCGACAAATACGGCTTCGACAAGCGGCCGCCAATGTTTGGCCCGGCCTGCAAGAGGCAGTCCTGCTCTTGGTCTCTCTATTCACCGTCTCCCATGGCCATGAGGCGGTTGAATCACCGACGATATTACTCTATTTAATTCGGCACTATCAATGTGCTTCGTTAAACCATCACCACGAAGCTTCATAGCCTGTGACTCAGCCACAACGAAGCCGTCATCTCGACCTCAGCCAAGGATATCCCCACGGAACAGCTCGGAGATTCCGACGCGTCTCTCACCTCTGAAGAAAAGATACTCCAATCCACCTTTCATTAAAAAAAAAGAAAAAGAGAAGAAAAATATGTGCCGTCGACTTACCTGCCAACTACCCTGCGAGCACCTCTACACGAGCACACGATACTGTGAGGACGCTCCCGGGGATGGAACGGTCGCTTGCTGCCGATGCGAGCAGATATGGATCCCGTATCCTCCGCCAGAGAACTGGATCCTCCCGCCATGCGCGCTGCCCGATTGTCCGTACGAAACTTTGAACCGCTGCTGGAACTGCTGCTGGTGCGGATTTGGCTGCAATGACCTGGGCCGATGTAGCTGCGTGATGCGCGAGGGCGGATTTGAGTTTCGCTGCGACCATATCTGCTGTGACACATGCTCACCAGGACACTGCGGCTGAACAAGGAACTACGCAAGGGAAGAAAGGGGAGGTCGTTGGAGTAATAGGTCGCACAGTCTTGTGAGAGAGGGAGTAGGAAAGTGGCCACGTTGAGGGACAGATCCATAGCGATAGTCTCATCGAGTGTTTCAAGAAATAAGAAAAGTCAGTGATTAACCCGAGGGTGTGGTCCGACGAAACTTCAGTTCCAAGTCCAAAAGGGCAATAAGTTTACGTTCAACTCAACTCAGACCATCCACAGACGAGCCACATGCGGCCAAGTCTCGGAACTTGGTCTGTTTAATTCGGGTCCACCTTGCTGTGGTTGTCTCGGGCGAAGCTATTCACCCCATGGTTGAATCGGCCGAGCTGGTACAACGACGAGCCGACAAGAACTGGCCTCCCACGTCTTCTCCGATGCGTTATAACGCTCCATATCGAGGTTGCATTGGACAGCCTCTGAGAGTCCTGGGCGTAGACTTGGTGAAGAGCCAACTGAATGTTCGGTAGTGGCCAGTGCCGCTTGTGTAACGTGAGATCAAGACCCCTACCAGGACTGTCAATGGTGCCCCATCCGCACAAGTAAATTAATGAGAGCGGTCAAACTTGTAGTTGGTTTAATGACCTTCGAGATTGCCAATCAGAGAGCTTCCCTTGCTTCGCACCCTGCGATATCGGAATTAGCAAATTGCCTTGCCGACTAACAGAGGTATGTCAACTGCCGCTCAATCCTTCGCAGAAATGAGGAGTTGAACACTCAACATTGTTCGCTGAGCATTTTCTTTCCTAACACAGCATTGACAAGGCCAAGAAGAGGTCCACAGGAATAACCAACTTGTACAGAGCTCGAACGGCCCACCCTCTATCTCATCAACCCCCTACCATAGCAATGTCTTTGTTCACAATGCCCGAGATTGTGGAAGACACTCCCTCTGAAGCTCCTTCATGGGCATCGCAGGCGGCGCATGGGTCTAGTCGCACCGTCACTGGAAGTCTGCATTAGCTAGGGACATGTCTCTATCCGAGGAGAGCAGTGCTTGGATATTGCTGCGCATCTGAGAGCCTGTTCGAATACAGCTGCTGAAAATGTAGTTCGCCGGAGCCACAGGGCAGAAATCAAGCACTGCCGAGCGCGTCTCCTCCCATCCCCTTTCGTAGCAAGCTGTAACAAGGATCTGCTCAGGCCCCGCAATCGTCATTCCCTTCCACATGGGTTGGGATAACCGAAGAGCTTCCCGCATTCTAGCTAGCAGGTGTATTTCAACGTCCGTTTTCGTAAATCAGCCAAGTCGGAGAAGGACAGCGTCGCATGGGCTGAACAGATCCTCGGCGCAGAGTGAGTGTTCAACTCAGAATGGCGGCGAGAGGTTCATACCCACACCATATCCGAATGTCTGACCCCCCAGTTGAGCATCTTCCTCTGATGCAGCCTGGGTTCAGCAACTCTATGTTTCTCGATCGGGAAGAAGGTTGGCAAGAGGAGCACCAAGGCACGGCATTGGTTGGAGTGCGCATCAAACGGTGTAGGGCATGGCTGATGTCAGGACAAAACCAGGGTTGTTTGCAAAACAGATAACAATGCAGGTTTTGGTTCGAACCTGTGAGGTATATGCCGCTTATTGAGCGCTCAACATGGATGATAACGGTTTTAAACCACGCTCCAGCCGATCACACAACAGAAGCCAGGGGTATTGGTACACAACACAAGTTCAAATCAAATCAACCCTAAGCGTATGGGGCACAAAAGCTTCATTTGTCTGTTCGGACCATTGAGGCTTACTATGCAACCCAAGCTTGTGCGGACGGGGCACAGCTCATATGTGGACTATTGGCGTTGGCATACCATGTGGCAGGCACATCTCACTAAGGGAACAAGATGGAGTCGTACATTCGTAGATGCAGGCTGACACCACACCACACCCAGGATCTCAGGATCGCATCCATGCTCGACGCTCATCGGTAAGGGTCTTCCAGGATCGGGTGGGCCACGTGAGCTGACCGAGAGCCCTGCAAATGGTGTCTTCAGAATTGGTCTAGATCACGGCCACCGAAGTTTGAAACTACTACCTGACGATCTTTCCAAGTGGTGATGACATGTTATCTGGACCTTGTAACGTTGTGACGATATGACGAGAGGCCATGCTGGTGCCGCTCGGATCGACGTTGGTCAACGTCACCGACACAAGGGAAGTTGGGTAGCGATTAAGAATATTGGGGACCGAGCGTGGCAAAGCAAAAATCCCTAGTGGGGAAATTGGTTCTGAAAGGCAATAACCGCAATCCCATGCGCTTTGGCCTATAATACGTTGTGTGTGTGCGACATACCGTAGATAGCAAGCTCTATAATATGCAGCTCGCAATAGCCTGGTGCGCCTATGCACCAACCGCAGATGGTAAGACACCGAGCTGGAGGCCGAAGCTGTGGCTGGCGCACATTTCTATTTTCGCCAAGGACCAACACGAACAGTCAACAGGAAGGTGACATGTTGGTCGAATTGGCATGGCGATGCAGACATAGTGAAAACGAAAGTGAATCCGCGGGTGATTCTCTTGCTGAAGCGGGGAAGTAAGACAGCCAAGAGACCGGACAAGTTGCTACGGAGCGCAAAAATCGAGCGAGATGTGCAGGCAGGACGGATTGATTGAGCCTCTTGCATGAGGACGTGGTTTGGGAGTGTTTCGTGTGTCAGAGCCAGAAGGGAAACCTCCTGCAAAGTCACACAGTGCGAGGGGTGCGGGATCTCTACCGGCCGTCGATACAGCCCTGAGCCTAAGGGATCAATGATGCGTGTCTCCCGCTGTGCCTGGGTACGTGCTCGGTAGAGCCTGCATGGGCAGAAATCTCCGAAGGATTACAGGAGAGGACCCTCTGCGACCGGCATATCTGAGTAGGTATTCCGGGCGACAGACTGATTGAAAGCTGAGTGCGAATTTTTTCCAAATCTTTCCACCGAGCCATACATCATCTGCCGGTCTCCTAGTATTCACTTTAGCTGCGGCCCAGGGCTCGGTACCTTAGATCTGTCGGGGCTGCAGTGTTTCAGCAACGGCCGGTGGGGGCTGCTCGCACTGTCTACGGACCGGATGTCGCAGCTCCTTGCGCCTGCCTGAGGTGGACGCCTACGCAGCATGTACGTACTGCCTCATAGGGCATGACGGGCAGTGGCAAGGTAGGTACCTGCTGTGCATGTATGTCTGGCTTGTGAACAGGCACGCAAGCACGCTGCAGCTCGCACATGGCAAGGGCTCCCCTGAGTCTAGCCCCCACCGACCACGTGAAACCTGTCGAATGAGGAGCCGCCTGAGGCACATCGCTGCCGTCCCTGGAGCCGGCCTGACCTGTGGGCTGTGGCGTGCGCGAATGTGTGTGTGCGCACCGCCAGCGTGCTCGCTGCATGGGCAGATCCCCCGAGCGCGAGCTCAAGGGCTACCTTACCTTCCCTGCCGTCCATTGCAGCGACCGATGGACGGACGAGCGGGCGGCAGGTAAGAATTAGGGAATTGACAGCCGTCTGCCTGCCCCAGCACTGCCGATCCCAGCACCTGCGCCCAGCTGGTAGTTACAGACGGGCTCGCGCTGGAGCCTGCACCGGTGCAGCTCGTTCCTGTGGCCCCTGTCCCCTGTCACAGGCCTCCACCTCTGCTCGCTCGGGCCAACCACAGCAGCCTCCCAGACCCGTTGGAACCCCTTGGTCCCCTTGGTTAGCCTGGTCCGCCCACGCCTATCCAGAGTAGCTCCCATCCTAGAACTTATTACTTGCGCTGTTTGCTCTTCTTCTCTCCTCGCTTTAATTAGAAGCATCGTTGGTCCCAACCAAACCCGCTCTCCTGCTGCACCTTGTTGCTTGTTTGCCGTTGGTCGCCTGCTTGACGTCTGCGGTCCCAGATTAATCCTCTTAGTGCCGCCCATCTCTTGTCCCTTACGGCCGTCCGCTGTTCCTGGCTTCCCACAGCTCTCCAACCAACAACGCCCATCGCCCTCTCCGACCCTCAACGGGGTAAGGACCAGACCAAGCGGAAATACATCACAAGGTTGCCCACGCCGTCGTCAGACCACCCTAGGTCCACTCCCATCACAAGGACGCCAAACCCCCGGCCACCATCTCCAGAGTCAAATCCCCTCCGGGCGCGCCTGAGCTCAACTTGAAGCCCGATTCCTCTCTGCCCTGGACCTTCCTCGCCCAATAACTTCACACCACCACGCACACACCCTCTGCGCCCTCGCACTCTTGACCTACATCCATCTTCAAACCGCTCATCGTATCGGGATACCCTCATCGACCATTTTCTTGCGCCGTCATCCGCCGTTCCATTCTCCGTCCAAAGACCCAACCATTACGCAGTTGGTAAGATCGCTCTAGCCTGTGTCATCCATAGTCAACCATGCCTGGATCCCTGGACTCCTCCCGCCCCATCATGGCTCCATCAGTATGTATTTTTCCTCCCCTTGCCGCCGCCTCTTGTTTCAACCCTCTTGTCAATCAGTCCTCCTCCGTTTCTCTGCAATTTGGGATCTGTGCTGTGTCTTTGACAAAGTCTGTCTTGACGCTGCCTCCCTCGCATCAACTTGCATTACATTCCAATTTCCATCACCGCCTGAGACAAGGCCAATTCAATTTCCACGAACCCCTCCCCCAGCACAGATATTCCGGCAAGCATAACGCTTGTTTAGCCCGGCTTTGGCTCTTCAGTTGCCCTGCCCGCCTTCCCCAAGCCCCTTGAACCTCTTCAGCACCAGAAGTAGACGAGCATCTCCCCGATCTACTCTCTGCCACACTCGACTCAACACGCCTTCAGCACAACCCGCGTTGCCGCAACAATGCCAGCTAACCCGCAAACCTCCCGCACAAAGACCCGTGCCTCGCTGCGGTTCAGCACTTACAGTGCCGCTGCCCCGTCCCTAGCCGCCACCGTCGAAACCAACGACTCCGCTACCAACGAAATCCGCGATATTGCGACAGGCCTCGATCGCATGGAGAACAAGGCTCTCTCCTCCCAGCGCGTCATTCTGAGCGAGGAGAAGACGGATTCTATGCAGAAGCTCGCCCTCGGTGCCAAGCTGGACCGCGCTCTCGACCGCCGAATGAGCAGCCAGGATGCCGTCATGCGCCCACGAGGCAAGAGCAGCGTCAACAAGACTCTGGATGAGAAGGCACAATAGAATGGTTGCCTTGTTGACAAAGCTGCAGAAGAAGAAGCTGTAAACTCGTCGAAGTTGAAGCGTATTTTCAACGTCATCCAGAGGAAGAAGACCCCAGACGGTCTTTCAAACACTGACAACCGACGACCTGATTCCTTGATGATCTCTTGGGCACGGAAGCTGTGATGAAAGGGCTAAACGATATATACCACAAAACCCGACAATTCCAGCCCCAGGGCCAATACTCATCAGGCTCAACAATTCGTCCACTTTCATCCAAATGGGATGAATGACCGATTTTTGCATTTTAATCATTCTGAACATGACCACTGGCCATGGCGTTCTTGTTTTCTTAGACCAATTGGCGGAGGATTGATATTTGTTGCCGAAGGCGGGAGGATAAAGTATACCAGGATTTCTTTCAGGGCGGCACATTGGGTTTTGTTTGTTTTCTTTGAACGCTGTTGCTAGCATGATTTGGGAGGGGAAAGAGAGTTTGAGAAACGGAATGGAATGAAAGTCTATGCATGAGAAATGGGCCACGACGGACCCCGGAGGAAATGAGATACAAAAACACTCAAAGCAATGAGATGATCGTCCTTTCTGTTTTATATCAAGCTTGGAAGGATTTGCATCTGATACCCATTACAGAAAATGATGTAGAATTCAATCTTAGGAAGAAACTCCAATCAGCCGCTTGCCCACCCACTGGTTCATGAATATATTTCAACTAACGCCAGAGTATGTGCTAGGTAGCTGGAATCCAACTTCTGCCCAGCCAGAAAAGAAACCCTTAACCTTTTTGGACCTCGCGAGCAGGTCTAAGCTCTACCTTCAAGGGCAGTCTCAGCTCCTTCTATACATCTCAATAGCTTATACAGCCATACATGACCAACTCAGCGTTAGAGCAACCCATTCCTACAAATTAATCCCAGAATAAAAACAACATAACAATGCCAATTAGAAAAAATGACGTCCCTCATACCACATGTCCTTCCACAATCCCGCTCCCCCCCTCTCGCTTAATGAGCCTCCCGCTTAGCCTCAATCTCCTTCAACAGCGCGACGAGCTCCCCCTCCTCGCCCTCGACCTCCAGGCCGCCCCGCACCCACGACGCCGCCTCGTCCAGCCGGCCCATCTCGAGCAGGCACTTGCCCCTCCTCCACCAGGCCTTTGCGTTGCCAATCTTCTTGACCTCGACGCTCGTCTCGGCGTCGACGGCGCCCTCGGGCCAGTTCTGCAGGGCCATGTGCGTCTGCGCGCGGTTCGAGTAGAGCCCGCTCAGCTCCTCACGCACGAGCGCGCTGGGCTCCCAGAGCGGGCGGCCGAGGGCCATCTGGATGCCCAGGGTGTAGAGCTTCTGGGCCTCGGCGTAGCGGCCCTTGCGGTACTCTGCGTTGCCGTTGTCGCGGAGCTTTGTGATGTTGGCGCCGCGCTTTGGGTTGACGGGGACGGGAGGGGGTGGCACGCCAGAGGGGGGGACGGAGTCGGAAGTGACGAGGGCGCGGTGGAGGGTGTTGAGGAGCTCGAGCTCGGCGGTCAGGGCGCGGGAGGCTTTGATGTTGGGGTCGGCGGTTATGGCCTTGGACTTGGGGTCCATCAGGATGGGCTGCATGTCGAAGTGCGTTAGGTCGGACATGGTGGGCGGGATTGTGTTGGTTGTGGTTTTTATTTGGTTGGTGGCGGGTGTAGCTAGGTTGGGAAATATGAGGTTGAACAGTTCAACCGGTTCTTTGCTGTTGCGCACTTGCTGTGGCTGGCTTTGGTTTTCCTCTCTTGTTCGTGATTGCCAATGCGTAAAGACTGTATGATTCTTTTGTCTGGGAGACGGTAATCCGTAGAAATTGTGAAAAAGAGTGTGCACGGAGGTCGTTGAATGAGACTACAATTGCCGGGGCCGGGGCATTCGAGCCACTTGTAACCCCCAGACCCAAAAGTTCAAGAATAGGACACCTCAGCAGAAAGTTGGCGTTGCTTATCTTATCGGCACATGACTGGGGGAGGCGACACCGCACACATCTGCATGACGGTATAACCCTTGATGTAGGGCTGTATTTTGTCAATGCCGAACTCCAAGTGATCACGACGTTTTCAATGTAGGCTTAATTTTTATTTACACATCATTCAATTCCTTGTAGATAGGGATATAGTTCTGGGTCCTTTCTAGTACGCTGGAATGTGCTCTTAGCCCACCAATAGTTCTATTCACGAACATCCAATGATCTCGCATCACAGATGGACATAACTTGTGCATAAAGAGCAGAAACGATTGGGAACTACGATGGAAGTATGCGAGGTGGAGGCCATGTGAAGGGGGCACATTTCAGAGGACTTCTAGGTGGAAGAAGCAATTACTTACGATTCATTTTTCCTGTTCTCTACTCCTAAAATATCCAAAAATGCAAAAAAGAGCAATTCATGTGGGATGAGTCCCAACCAAGGCAACTCCGTCCATCGGAGAATCCCAACAAGGGCTCCCCGGCAGTCAGAATCACTTCGCCATTGGCACTCGCAAAGGAGATGGCCCATCCCCGTCGTCAGCACATCATTAGCAACCTCTCTTTTTCCATTATCCTCATGCGTCATCATCTTGATTTGTTTTTTGGGTTTCTGTGCTTTATTTCGGGATGGCCTTCCAACCATGTTGTGAGGTCTTCACTGACATCAATGCATCTGTTTTGATCAACCATCCAGCCCATAATCCACCCGGTCAAAAGTCGCAGCCGCGCAGCCGCCCTTTGCCCATCACCCTGCAGCAAAATCAAGTAAATCCCTTTGTGAAAACCGCCGCGCCGATCTAATGAAACGCATGAGAAATGTTGGACAATGACCAGGTCACCAGGAATTCCATGTCGAGCTCCGGGGATTGGTCAGAGATGGCTAATTTAGTAGCCGTAGGCAGCGAGGGCCTGGGTCGTCTCAGTCTTGGTGCCGGCAGTCTTCTTTGCCTCGGCCAGTTGTCGGGTAGCGGTCTTCTTGCGCTCGTAGTAGGCAAGAGCCTTAGCCTTTCTTCGGTCCTCCAGGCTATCGAAATGGTCAGTAAAAAAATCCTTCCCACACAGTCATTTCATCATCCGGGGTTGCATAAACATACCGGGCAACAACGTCCTGGTACTTCCAGCCGTTCTCGTGGCTGAGACGGCCAACAGTGCAGTACTTGCGGCCAGGCTGGAGGCGGAGAACACGGAGAGCCTGGGGAACGACCATCTTCTTCTTCTTGTCGTAAGGGGGAGGGACACCCTCGAAGACCTTAAGGCGCTCGAGAGCGGCGGCACCACGGGCAGTCTTGTGGGGGATCATGCCACGGACGGCCTTGTAGAAGATTCGTGAAGGGGCACGGAAGTGGAAGGGACCTGAGCGTCGATTGTCAGCGTCTCGCAGGTTTTAAGAATTGGGGTTCCTGCCATGAACTTACCACCACGTGTGGGGTTGTAACGGGTGATCTTCCTGAGGTGGGCGGCGTACTTGACTGTATATTCGTTAGCCAACAATCCTAGCAAAAGTACGGTATTGATGTCGTCGAGGGAGACGTTGTCTCCATGATTGGAATCGATCCGCAAGTGTTGGGAGGTCGGGACGTACGCTTAGCACGGAAGAACTCTCCAGAGATGTTGAGAGCCTCAGCGCGCACGATAACGATCTTTTGACCGCTAAGGAGCTGCTTGGCCACGATACTGGCCAAACGACCGAGGAGGTGACCCTTGCCGTCGATGACGACCTGTGAGAGAAGCGAATTAGCCAGATGTTCTTCGAGTCACAAGCCATATTTGGAATTCGAGAAAGTGATAATGTCGAGATGCGCCGTCGTCGTCCGTCACACAAAGCCCGTCGCTCAGTTCATTCCATGTCGATACATTGAACCAAGAGGCTGTTCAAGTGATTGGCTCCGTTGCATCTCGACACCCTCTCGCACAATTCGATGACTGTTTTGAAAGGACTTGTGGGTGAGTACTCACGACCTGCTCGAACTGCGACGACATTGTGCTGCCCTTTCTCACTTGCTGCGAAATGAGAGAATGAAATGGTATAAGTCACAGCTGAATATCTGGCAAACTCTCGAACGGCCCGGCGAGAATCTGCTGCTGTCCTGCTGTGCTGGAGGGGTTAGTCGTCCCGGTTGGTTTGGTGAAGTAGTCGCGATATATGGGACGGGCAAAAAATCCAAGTTCCGCTTGAAGGGCTGGTTGTGCCTTGGGTAAGAGGGCGCTTAGCCTAATCTGGAAAGGGCTTCTTTTTCTCGAAAGCGAGAGAGGGCTGGGCACTTGGTGCGTTTAGGGCTCAGAGACCTAGCACAACGTCCGAAGATCAGCCGTGGCCCGGAACCAGGCACAACGCTGCACGTGAAGGGCACATAATGTGCGGCGGTACGTACTAAATCTACGGGAAATGATATCAGAGCGATTGTTCACCGAGCTGCCCTGATGCCCAGGCTCGGGCAATGGGAATTATTGCCATCAACCAATGGTGTTAGTGCGTAGCCCTGTGGCCTATGTCATTGGGTCAGTTATGGAAGCCGCACACTTCCAGAGCGGATATGTGCCTGAGATGGTTTGATTCACGGATGCCAACTGCTGTAACAGCTTTCAAGAAGCCTGTTGCGCCGCGCGAACCTTTTAGATCTCTCGGCTGGCGAGGAACTCACGGTTGCCTCTGGAATGACCAATTCAGCAGTCGTATCGCTATTGCATGATGAGGTACGGCCCATTTACTCAACAGCTTCGGGTGTAACTTTACTGTCCCATGCGTACCACTACTACCGTCCTCGTTCCCAAATTGTAGCACCGGCAGCTTTTACATGTTGTGGCACCAAAACAATTTCCCGGTTCCTATCTTCTGCTCAGAAGTTTAAGATTCTCTGCAGTATACCACCATTAACATAGATCCAGTGAATGTGGATGCTTTCCCCGCGGAAGCCCATCGTAGGGCGTTTGCATACTTATCGCTATCCCTCTAGTCTTTCGCATAGCGCGTGGAGTGTCCTGCAGGTCTTGCGGCCTTGCAAAACAAACCCCACGGTACAACCCAACTCGAGTCGGACACATTGCGACGGCGAACTTCTATACGTGGCTGTAGATCTTGTTCCCATTATCCTCATACCCACCCATCCCACCAAAGCAGACACGAACACAGTGCCCCTTGATCGTCGTGCCAAAGACGGGTCAAAAAAAAGTGAGGCAAGAACACGACACAAGGATTAATTGTTGATCAATTCAACCCCAATTTGAGCCCAATTGTCCGGGGTGGATTAACGTCCAGTTCGTATAAGCACTTTTAGAAGTGAGGCAGAGGGATGGCATCGCAACGGAATGACATCAACGCTTGGCGCAGAAAGCGGCATAGATCTGCTGTCCCGATCGACACCCATTCATCGCTTTTAGCCTTTTGGCCAGCGAACGCCAGAAAGCTTAGAAGAACTACAGGCCGCGATACTTTGGCTTTGTTCTCAATGCTCCCTAGACGGGTACCTACCGACTACTCATGTAGGCTTCGGGCCTTGCATTCACTAAAACATGCAGATCGCCGGTGGAGTTGAGTGTAAATTGGTAGAAATCCATGCTAATACTGGCAAACTGGCTGCTGAACTGATCCACACCAGGAATCGAAATGCTACAAACGAAAAACGAAAGCGCCCAAGTTCTTGATTTCTCTATCTGTCTCATCTTTGTCCGCAGTCTATCCAATCTTCAAGACCCACTTTCCATTTAAATGTCGTGACAGTCGTGACGATCGCAGGCCTGGCAAGTAAAGCCAGCGCTCAAGTAAATATACAGAACCACTCTCAGGATTACCGAGAGGGGATTGTAGCGGCCCGCTCAGAGGGGACCTAATAACTCCATTCTTTTGTAAAAGAAGAAGTAAGAACGTATATTGAAGAAAACCATTGCATCGCTCTTTAGAACGCACAAGCTTCTTGTGTATATAAATTAGAAAAATGACAAATAGAGCCATAGAGAACGCCGAGATGGGGTAGGCGAGCTTGCGTCGTCCGTTGTGATTAAATCGTTATTGCTTTGGGCCAGCTTCCTTGACCTTATCCATGATCTTTAATACGTCCTGGGCAAATGAAACCAGTCCCTTTCTGCGGGGTCTGACATCAGGAGCTCCGTCGGGGTCTACTCCGTCGGTTTTCAAGATGATGTGCAGCAGCACGGATTCCGAGATCTTGAGATGCTCCTCCTGCCTCTTCTTGGGATCAGAAGGAGGCGATTGAATATATTCATTGCACAGCGGCAACCATTTTGATTCAAACTCCTCGGTCAAGTCGTCGAGCTGTTTCAGCGGACCAGTAGCTGCTCCAGAACGAGGAGGCAGTGGTGATACCACAGGTTGGCCCGCTCCAATGGGGGCTGAAGGTGCAGGTGGGGAGTTTGGAGGATCGAAGTTCGAATTGCTGTCGCGTGGGCTGGTGGTTGTGTCGCCCTCACCTCCGCTGGATCTATCCTTCTTCTTCTTGCTGCCTTTCTTCTTGCGGCGTGGTTTGCTCGAGTTTCTTGAGTCGACAACATTTACAATCTCCCCCTCTGATGGGCTGCTACCATCCTCACCCTCGGGCACCACGGCCATCAATTCGCTCTTGTTCTTAACGCCATACTCTCGCACGGGAGCAGAAGGGTCCTTGAGGTGCTTGCCCTTGTAGAGGAGCTTGACCTTGCGAGCGACTCGGTCTGGCAGGTCCATCAGGAGGGCAACTCGCTCCTTCACATCCATGACAAGCAACTTGCCGTCTCCAATTGAGTATGCGGGGAAGTGGGCGGGATATGTGACACTCCGATTCTTGATCAGGAGAACGTCGTCCTCCGGTTCGCGTTCGCGGCGGTACGTGCGGGGGTGGTGCCAAGCGTCAACAGGAACGCTCAGGCTGGGGTCGTCAAGGTCTTGTGAGGTGATGTAGCTGAAGTCCTCGTCCGTCACATCGGGTGCATCAGCGGGGAGGGTGTCGTATGGTGAGAACCCGCGGCTAGGCCAGTATCTGGACATAGTGAGGGGTAGTGCGACGAGGGCAGCGACACTGCCGTAGATGACGCTAGGAGGGACACCTAAGGACTCGGAGATGTACTCGCCAGAGCCGTGGAATGCAGTGGTGAAGTTGAGAAGAGTCTCGTTGAGGTAGGACGTCAAGTTTTGAAAGGCACCTGAGGTGGCCGCTATGGGCAGTCGGGAATCCACCTTGTCGGTTTGGGTGAAGGTGACCCAGGGTAGGACACCTTTTTGTGCAGCAACTACAAACAGGGTGTTGGACCAAGGTTCGGTGGACTGCAATAGTCGTCTGCAGCACCGACGATATGGGTTGGTTGCACCAAGCGAAGGCTGTACCTAGGCGGTGTCCGGTCGGTCCAGCCGAGATACGCACAGAGACGATCACAACAGAAACTCCAGGGCAACTCCCTGATGGTGGAATCTTCTGGCCACGGGAAGCCGTGGGAGGACCAGAGGAAGACGCTGCGCGAATGAATGAGCTGGCAATGTGGGGGGCGCGTCGACGGCGAGATGTGTCCAGTGGATGAGATGAGGCAGGGCGGGGGGCGATGGGCGGATTGACGTCGTCTCGTTGGCTAGATGTTCGCAGGTCAGACTAGCTCGTGCCGTACTGCATTCGGGGTATGTGTGGTTTCTCATGCAAAACCAACAATGTAGCTTTTTTTGGGCAGAAGGGGGGTGACTTGAAGAGCAAGAATGATGTAGGATAGTGGATTTTGGGAGCCAGTTGACCACCTCTTTTTTTTTCAGAAGGGGGGAGGACGCGCTGGCAGGCAGTTCATAGGGGGGAAATGGGCGAATTTGGGAAATGCTCCCAGGCGAAAAGGTACCTGCCGCCCTCGCTTGATTGGCCCTATTAAGGGTCCCTTAAGTTTGGTAATATCGCACCAAGTGCCACCTGCCAACCCAATCAGCCTAGTATTCCGCCTGTCACGAATCATTCATCCAGGTGCAGTGCCAATCAAGCAAATTGCCGTACGAATGCCCAATTCAAGTCGTAAGAGAATGGCAATGTAAACGTGGTCAGGTCATAATCACCACCCGATGTGTTGCTTTCAAAGTCGCCAATACCCCAGGCTACTATAGGTACTTGGGCAACTTCGTACGGTACAACGCTAGCCGGCGCTAAGTCATCACCTGCATGGCCCTAGAAGCACAATGGATCTCTTTTGGTGATACAAGGCCCTACAAAACGCCGCCTGCCAGAGCTGGAAAGTCCGATGAACGGATGGGGGCTCTTAGATCTGCCTTGGACAATGAACGCGTCTATGCGAGCGTCTCCTTGAATATGCTAGTATCTATCAACTAAATTGGTCTTAATACTTGTAATTGACTGATGTCTGCGGAGGAGCGCTTACTGTCAGCTGGCAACGAGAACGTGACCCGATTGGAGAAGGCAGCCAGCCCAACACAGCTGTTATACTATAGAAGGCTCCGAATGGATTCTGTCCAGCAGCCGAGGTCGAAGAAATGGAAACGAACTGTGATAGTCCTCCGCGTGATGTCAATCTGGGGCGGAATGTCCTAGACGCTCATGACGCTGTTCGCCTCGTGAGGTCTCGTGGCTCCAAGTCCACCACCGTAGCCAGGGATATCCTGGAAGGACCCTGGAAATATCGCCGCCGGCTCGAACTACCCTAAAGCCAGACCACGAACTTAGCAAACAACACGCAAGGCCAGCGCATCTAGTCTGTGTGGGATTCGCCCCTGCATCATGGCGATCAATCGGTTGTGGTGATAACAAATAGCCCTCACTATGAGATACTCGGCAACGAAGCGAAGCAAACAAGTAACCTCTGGAGGGTAACACGATGCCATGGTTCCATCCTCAGCATCACTGTTAATAAAGGCCCAATATCTTTGTGTTTCAGCCAGACAAAACACCCAGTCTGGTTTCTGATGCATAACGGCCCTTGTTCCTGCTGCATTCGTGCCGATCTTCAGATTAGCGGTGTCGATATGTCATCCAGATCGGCAACCGGTCTGTCATTAGCCCCAAGACCTCCCAAACAGGCGAGAAACGTGTTGAAGCTTCGATGCTCCAAGCACGCAGCACGTACACACCCCGCAATGTTTCCGTGCTCTGCAGCGCCATGCTCGGTAAGATGAGTAATAATGATATTGGTGGTGTTTCGATTCTGATGTTGAAAGTAATAGTGGCAACACTCTGTCAGACCATTGGGTTCTCTACTGACTGACAGCCTGGGTAAATGCCTAAGCCGGAGTTCAAATGACCAATCTCGTAATCCCATCCTTTTCACCGGTTGCTTTCCTGAGTGTATGGCCCTCCACAAGCGAACAATTATCCACGACCCTTCTATCAAAGCGTGGCGTCCAACATGTCGCATCGCATAATGAGCATGGCTCCTCTGATGGCCATTGCGATATTCGGTGCTCTAGCTTGACTAAATCCAGTGTCCTCGCTTGTATTGATCCAATTTCGCACAATGCAAAGTCATTAGAGATGGCGCCCTTCGGAGTAAGTAGTTTACGTCCCGGGACACTGCCGACGTCAGCATTCGGGTGGGCGGTAGCTATAGTACCAGACGTCATCTAGTTAGAGATCAGGTGCTGTGCTGATGACAAGCGCTGCGGAATCGCATGAGAGCCCCCACAGTCGCTAAAGCCTTATCCTGGAGGAAAATCACCTTGTATTTATATTCGTGGTATGTGTACACCCTGCGCCTCCCGGTAACTTGCAAACGACCACATGGATTAAGTCCATCGTACGGTTATCGGGTTGTCTAACCTCGATAGGTGATCGCAGATTTCATCGATCTTACAGCCACTGGGGGGCTGCCAATTCGAACAGCCACTTCCTCTTTGCGGCAAAATGACGGGCACTGTTCCCTAAAAAGCTGCATGCCAACCCCAGCCGATTAGCCTATGACACTGCATGGCACCCTGAAAGTGCCCCTAAAAATATCCTTATCCAGATCTGAAGTTCTGAAGCGACGGCGATGGCGGGCTATGACATAGCCATTTCTACAGGCCTCGGCGTGTGCTACAAGGTTATTTAAGACACCCGCCGGCCGCGTCTATGATGGATATCCTACCCAAAAGCAGCCCAGCCGAAGCCTCTAGAGCGGACTGATTGATTGCTAATCGGCATATCCTCGCACATCATCACTCAGCTAATACCCGGATTGCCGCTCTACTTAATAATCTTCCCGCCCACAACTCCCATTCTCATCTGCCCCTCATGTCTCTTCGCGCCCTCGGAAACAAATTATTTGGTTCAGGAAGCAACATCACAATGGGCGAAGCATCCACCCGAGTTCAGGAGCTCATCAACGAGCACGCGACTAGTGAGTCGAATTTTCCCGCTCCCGGTGGCTGCTGAGTTTCAACCCCTCCCGCTAACCATCTCTGCGCGTTTTCCCCGCGATTCCAGTCGTCTTCTCGAAGTCGTACTGCCCTTACTGCTCAAGCACCAAGAAGACGCTCAAGCAGCTCAATGCCGATGCCTTCGTGATTGAGCTCGACCAGGATTGTGAGTTCGAGTGTCTGCCATGCATTTCGCATGGCAATGTTTGGCGGGTAAGATAGTTTGCTGATACCATTCCCTTGCAGCTGATGGCTCTGCCCTGCAGGATGCCCTCGAGGACATCAGCGGCCAGCGCACTGTCCCCAACATCTTCATCAACAGGAAGCACATCGGAGGTAACTCCGACCTCCAGAAGCTGGACAAGGCCGGCGAGCTGGAGCAACTACTCCGTAATGCCGGCTCACTCAAGCTCTAAATGCAGCAAGCGTTTTCGTTCCTGGCTGAGATGAGGAATGTTGCGGGAGTCGGGTAGAAATCAAGTCATAGCTAGTTGAGTTTTGAAAGAAAAGAAGATTAGAACCCTCAACCTTGATAAATGACAAGAATGTTTAATTCTATAGCAAGCCTCTAGTGACTCATGTGTTTTCAGATCGTGTAGACTACATAAAATGACACTGCCTAACTCAGGCCATCGGTTTTCGTTTTGTAACTGAAGTGGTGTGGATTCAGCTTTCCAAGTGTTGTACAATTTTACATTATCCGGAGCGAGTGATCCCACAGGTATTACAATACCTGGGCGGCAACAGTGCCGATGGGCCTCTCTACAAACTCCATAATTCCATCAATGATATTTGTTCTGGCCTCCTCAGATGCAGGCTTCTTTCCAGCAAGGTAGTTGAGCCAGAGGAGCCTGGATATCCGTTCATCAGAAATCACGCCCAGGACTTCCTTCTTGGTCTTCTGAGATTTCCTGCCAGATGTGTCAAACATGAGCGAGAACTGGCCGGCGCCATCACGGCTCAGAAGGATTTCCTTAGTCTTTGGAACCGAGCCGCGGTTGAACAAGCCCTTGAAGTCTTTCAGGGCGGTGCCGAATTGCTCATCACCATAGTGCTCCGCGTCACGCTGCGACCGGCCCGTGATAGCTCTTACCATGGCGTCACGGAGATGGTGGAAGTCGGTATCCTTGACAGGGGTGATGCGGAAGATGGTGCGGCATCCAGCGTCCCGCAGAATCTTGTCCCATGTCTCCTCGCCCTCGGCTGGGTCAAGCAGCGACTTGCGCAGAGTCTCCTTCTCGGACGGGATCAATGTCGTAGCTAAAGAGTTGACACTCTTCACCAGGTAGCTCTGCAGTTTGGCTACATCTTGCGTGGCCACGTAGAAGCCCAGAACGTAGACCTGAATGCCGATGAAGGTAACCGTGCGGGTCCCGAGCCCAACCAGGGTGAACTCGGTTCCGTCGTTGTCCGAAATCGACGCCGCAATGGGGCCTTGCGGTGTCTGCTCGGATGGCAGTTTCACGTTCAGGAGTCGAGGGAAGGCCGGTACAACGCCATTGCCTGTGGGCACGATTTCCTGGCCGTCCTCGTCGTGAACGACAACTTTGCGCTTCTCGCCCGCCTCCGTCTTGAACTGCTCCTTGGGTATCGTAGGGGCATCGCACTGTGCGGAGCTTTCGTTCTTCCTCCTCTCAGCCTCCGCCTTCAAGGCATCCTTTAACTTGAAAGCAGTGTATATGAATGAGGTGACGCCAGCGACAGTGCCAGCAATGAGGAAAGCGGTGCGATTGTGCTCGTAGTCTCGTCGTTTGGTGTTGAGCTTGTTCAGATCAAAGTCTTGCGTCGCGCGAACAGAACTCTTCGATGAGAGAAAGGTTCGTCGCGCAGCAGCTGGAGAGGAACGGAGGGTTTGGGTGCATCGTGTCCGCGGGATGACCCGGCGGGCTGCGGCTGGTCGAATCATCGCTGTTGTCTCGAGCTTCGTGGGCGATGGAGGGGAAGCGCAGTGTAAAGCTCCTATCGAGTATCGCAGGTCACTTCCGAAATTGACCAAACGGCTCGACCTATCGTAGTTCGTAAACGAAGGCCAGCAATCGATGCTTGAGATCAATTGACATTTCTAGTGTTAGCATTCTTAGAGAGTGCATCCACACAGGACATCCGTCTGTATCCGAGGGGAAGGGCTCCACACGTGACGTATGATAGAGATTCGGCGCTTCGGTGCAGATACACCTACCCTGTACATAATAAAACCACGTTTGTCGAAGAGCTTATCAGCGATGTAGATGTTGGCATAACAATGATATGGGGTCCTTCCATTGGAACCTAAGGCGAGTTTCGGGAATATTTGATGTTATTCATGTTATATGAAAGTAACCTGTTGATCTGTTGTATTGTGTATGTCAAAATTTGTCAAAATTGGGTAGGCATTCCTTTGTGTACCGAGGATTATATTGGCATGTTTATGTTGCTCAACTTGGTAGATTTATTACTAAATCATGTCAAACAAAACAGAATCTAACTTTAATAACCACCCCGGCGTCTATTAATGTCACAGAGTCGATGTCAGGAGTGATGTTCCCTGTTGTGCATCAATACCACTCATGTGTTCCGTGTGTGCTATTATTAAGCTGTGTATGGGCTTGTTAATGCAGGCATCTGATTGAGTCACAGAACGCGCTAGGCCACAGACTTCCGTCAGTTTCACTTGTGCCTCATCGGCGGTTGTCGCATGGTAATTTGCAGTCTCCTTAGCATTGGCTTGGCGCATGGCAGCTCTTTTCATAAGAACTGTGGCTAGAACATTCCAAGGTGAACATTACACGAGGCTCGACGAGCCGATGGCCCATAAGTTCCTTTGTGCCAGGGCCTAGAATCAACCTCGAATACGGTATCACTGAGTGGTGTGGCTGCCCAAGACTGCGGGCAGTCAGCACGGGTTAACCCCCTGCTGATTCGGGCGCCAGACACAACAACACGCTAAAGACGGTGACTTATTAGCGGTGCTGGACTGCTAATCCACCGCGGTTACAAAGCAGCTAGCCAGGAAATGCCGGGCGCCAGTGGTGACTAAGTCATAGGTTGAAGTGACCTGAGTTCCTCCTCAGCCACGCCTAATTGGCAGGCCCTTTTTGTAGGCGGTACATCCTTCGTTCCTCCCACCTTTTACCCACCGTCGCAGCCCTGTGATCCTGGACCTCCCATCCCATCCATCCACCATCGTCACGCCCCAACACATCGAAGCTCGATTGCCAGTCATCCCGTCCGACCCCGTATCCCACCCAACCTCTCCCTGGCGCTCGATCCCTCTCTGAGATCGTCACGGGCACTCGACGATCCTCACGTCCCTTCTCCTTTCACCTCTTCCGGTGGTCAGGTCGCGGTCCGATGACGCTGAGCAAGCAGAGTCTGCCTTTGGCATGAGGAAAAACCCCACCGGTAGCAGCCTAAGCATCATCAAAACCTCTCGCATCCAGCCATACGAAGCTGGCAATCAACAACCACGGCAACGCATCGCACATATCTGCATCTCTACAGAACGAGTATCCGACACATAGCTGATTTTGACTGCCATCCTGACCAACCCCTGCCGCCGTTGCCATGCAGCCCTCCGCAGCCAACCTCTCGTCGGTTGAGGCTGGCCAGTCGTCGCGGCCGATGTCTGCCTCGGAAGAACAGGAGGATTCTCGCTCGACCTCCTCCACAACCAACTCCCCCGTCCCTGCCGATAACGAGGAATCCGACTTCTTCCTCAATAACAACGACTCAGAGTCATCCATCGGCGTTCACAATTTCCAGGACATGGCTGTTGATGATTCGTGTTGGCCGCCCGTAAACCAACTGCCGAACGAGATTCTCATCAGCATTTTCGCCAAGCTGACCTCACCCAACGATTTGTTCTCATGTATGCGTGTCTGTAAGCGATGGGCTAGAAATGCCGTCGATATTTTATGGCACCGCCCTGCATGCACAAATTGGAAGAATCACAACAGCATTTGCCAGACCCTCAGCTTCGAAAAGCCCTTCTTCAACTACGCCGATTTCGTTAAGCGTCTCAACCTTGCTGCTCTCGCAGACAAAGTTAACGATGGCAGCGTCCTTCCTCTGGCTGTTTGTACCCGTGTTGAGCGATTGACTCTCACAGCCTGCCGGAATTTGACCGATTCCGGCCTGATTGCTTTAGTCCAGAACAGCTCAGCTCTACTCGCCCTCGACATCTCAAGCGACACCCACATCACTGAGGAGTCCATAAATGCCATTGCCGACAATTGCAAGCGCCTCCAGGGCCTCAACGTTTCTGGTTGCGTAAATATTTCGAATGAAAGCATGATCAACCTCGCAAAGAATTGCAAGTATATCAAAAGAGTATGTTTGGATAGTGTCTTCGTGTGCGTTTATTTGCTAACCTGTAAATCAACAGCTCAAATTGAACGAGTGCACTCAACTTCGCGATGATGCCATACTTGCATTTGCTGCCAACTGCCCCAATATTCTCGAGATCGATTTGCAGCAGTGTGCGGCCATCGGGAACAGCCCGGTCACGTCCCTCTTGACCCATGGCAACTGTCTCAGAGAATTGCGGCTGGCCAACTGCGAAATGATTGACGATAATGCGTTCCTTTATCTGCCAAAGGACCGAGTATTCGAGCACCTGCGAATTCTTGACCTTACATCGTGCCTGCGTCTTACAGATCACTCGGTATCAAAGATGATCGAGGCTGCTCCACGCCTTCGCAATCTCATCTTGGCGAAGTGTCGCCTGATTACCGACGAAGCCGTGTTTGCGATTGCGAGATTGGGCAAGAACCTTCACTACATTCATCTTGGCCACTGTGGGTTGATCACGGACGAGGGGGTCAAGCGATTGGCGCACAAATGCAACCGGATTCGTTATATTGACCTGGGTTGCTGTACTCGTCTCACTGACGACTCGGTGAAGCGCCTTGCTCTGCTCCCTAAGCTCAAGAGAATCGGGTTGGTGAAATGCAACTCGATCACGGACGATTCTGTGAATGCTCTTGCCGGGGCTGCCTATCGACCTGTCCTGCGTCGAGATGGCAACGGCGTGCTGGTTCATGGCGAGTACTACACACCAAGTCTGGAGCGTGTGCACCTCAGCTATTGTGTAAACTTAACCCTCAAGGTATTATTATCTGGCCTGTTTCGTTTTTTCCTGACCCAAGCTGACTGTTTCATTCTCTCCAGAGCATCATCCGGCTGCTCAACTCTTGCCCTAGGTTAACACATCTGAGCTTGACTGGCGTTGCTGCATTTCAGCGCGATGAATTTCAGCCTTTTTGCAGACCAGCTCCTCAGGGTAGGTCCCATCTTCAAAGAGCCATTTCTAGGAACATATGTGGCTGACTTTGACGGCAGAATTCACCCAACATCAACGTAACGTTTTCTGTGTATTTTCCGGTAACATGGTATCAGACTTCCGCCGTTTTCTGAACACGGCCCCTCAGTTTGAGGAACTTCGAAACAGCTTGCAGCCTGTAGCAGACCGACTCCGAACCACTCGGTTACGGCGACCTCTTGCACGCAACGGCGTACAACCTGAAGGCGAGGCGCTTGATGAGGACCTTGCAGACGATGACAACGACTTCGAAGGCTTGGATGCTAACGAGATGGTTGTTGAAGTGCATACTGCACCCGAGATTACTGCCGAAGAGTTCAACGCAAACTATGGTGTGATCGCGTTGCCACCACCACCACTGCCACCACCACCTCCGCCTCACGCCCAACCAGACCATGCAGGCGTAGCTGGCTCTGGTAGTGGAGATATTGTCAATGAGGACCAGCCCAGGCCCCAAGCATTTTCAAGCTTTCTGAATAGCCAGCAGGCGGTTGGATCGCCGCCTCTTAGCGCCTATGGATCGACGCAAGCCAGCGTGGCAAACGTGCGAAGCCAAAGAGAGGGAGAATCCTCGAGCCGAAACATCACGCCAACCGGAGGCGCGAGTACAGCACCCATGCATGGACAGCCTCCGGCTCAAAACAGGGCAGAAGATGAGGATATGGCTGCTGATTAGAGTTCAGTGTACTGGACAGTTCGGATGTAGAACGGACTGGGAACACATGGTAGATGACAGTGCTTGTCTCATCTGCAACTGTCCCATGGTCTCATGAATATGTCGAAGCGTTATAGTACGACGAACCAGAAGTTTAGATGATTTGATGAGCCTACTGCAGGAAGTCAACTAGCTGTTGACGACGATTCGCGGTTTTGAGTTTCCAAGGCATGGGCACATAGCCTTTATTATACGCATACATGGTGGTAACGGCGGGGTGGGCGAATAGGTGGACGAAATATGAGCTTTTTCTTACTGTCAACAGGGGCTGGATTGGCTTGACTGGAATCTACTCACATTCGAGCATTTTCCAATACTACGGCGCAAGTGGGCAGGGTCATGTTATTTGAGACCTTATGGCGACGAGTGATGGATTACTTTCATGGCAGGCATATGATGAGCGTTTCTTGTTGCTTTCCTGTCCAAAGTCATTGTGGGCACACACTTCCTCGGGGGGACTGAAGACCAGGCGGTTGACCGTCGGTAGAGGCAACCAGCTTCCTACAAGCCTGGCGCGCGAGTGCAATAAATCTTAATAGCTTCTTGAACCGAGAAACGAAGTCGGTATTTCCCTAACGAATAAATATTACTATTCCTTTATGATTACTTCACGCTGGTTGCCTTGATGAATAGTTCGTGCAAGTTTAACAAATGGGATGAACTGCGGCTATCCTGTGTGATTAAGATGATGCCTTTTTTGTATTTGATTTATATTAGAAGCGATTGTATCATTCCATCATATCGTCCAGTGTTTCTTCACGGACCTTGGAGAGATAGTAACTGTTTAAAAAAGAATTTGGTATCAAAGAATCACTCCGTCCTTCGCCTCAGAGAAGAACACGCATTACGTCAACGGGACTACTAACCCCTTTCTTTCCATGTGCATTTAAATGTAGTTTATATAATAGAAATGTGCGCGAACTTTGAGATATATATGCACGCGTTTAAACAAAAACCCTGGACAAGCAGATAATCTCTCTAGGAGAATTTTATTCCGACTTGGTCTCGATGCCGTTGGTGCTGCTGGCGGTGTCGGTGAGGTGGCGGGTGATCTCGACGTAGTCGTAGGCGAACTCGCCGAGCTGGACGTCGTCCATGCCGAGCTCCTCGTCCTCGGGGGAGGCGCGGAGGGAGAGGCCGGGGACGAGGTTGATGAGGAAGAGGATGAGGCAGGTGAGGCCGAAGGACCAGGCGAAGGCGGCGCAGGTGCCGGCGAACTGGTAGCCCATCTGGACCCAGTGGTGCTCGATCCAGCCGAGGGGCTCCGGGCTGGTGCCGTCGAGGCCGGCGATCCAGGAGCTGGGATGCTCTGTTAGTAAGGTGGAACGTATGGAGAGCTTGTGAAGGGGTTTGGGAGACTTACGCAGCGAAGACGCCGGTGCAGATGTTACCGACCATGCCGCCGATGCCGTGGACGGCGAAGATATCGAGAGCATCGTCAATACCGATGAGGAACTTGAGCTTGGTGGCGAAGTTGCAGACGATGCCGCCGACGACGCCCATGATGAGGGCACCCCAGGGGGTGACGAAGCCGGCGCCGGGGGTGATGACGACGAGGCCGGAGATGGCGCCGGAGCAGAAGCCAATGGTGGACCACTTGCCCTCGAGGCGGAGATCGAGGAGGACCCAGGCGAGACCGCCCATGGAGGCGGCCAAGTTGGTGTTGAAGCAGGCGACGATGGCGCGGATGTTCATGGCGAGGGCGGAGCCGCCGTTGAAGCCGAACCAGCCGACCCAGAGGAAGACGGTGCCGATGACGACGTTGGTGACGTTGTGCGGCCTCCAGGGCATGCCGGCGTTGTTGCCGTAGCCGGTACGCTTGCCGAGCATGAGGGAGTAGGCGAGGGCGGCGGAGCCGGAGGAGATGTGGACGGGGCCGCCGCCGGCGAAGTCGAGGGACCCCAGCTTGAAGAGCCAGCCGTTGGCGTTCCAGGTCCAGTAGGCGATGGGGTCGTAGACGACGGTGGTCCAGATGAAGAAGAAGACGAGCGCAGGGAGGATGCGGCCACGGTCAGCGACGGCGCCAATGGCCAGAGCAGGACTGGAGAATAAAAGTTAGGCCGTGTTTGGTTCGAGAGACTGATGTGTGGTTACTCACGTAATGGCAGCGAACATGCCCTGGTAGAGACAGAAGAGAATGTCAGGGAGAGCGCTGGAGCCATTGGGCTGGGCCATTGTCTTCTGGAGACCAATCATGGAGAGATCACCAAGGAAGGAGTTTCCAGTGCGGGAGAAGGTGAGGGAGTAGCCCCAGAAGAACCACTGGAAGCTCACGACGGCGCAGCTGAGCATGGAGAGGAGGAGGAGCTCAAGGGCGGACTTGCGACGGGCGAGACCACTGTAGAAGAGACCGACACCGGGGATCATGAGCAAAACGAGCGCGGCGCACACGAGCAGGAAGCACATGTTCCCAGTCTGGAGGAGGAGGTTAGCAAGGAGTTACTGATCGCTCGGCATGGGGAAACGGGAAGAGCTGGCTCACATCGTAGAAGACGTTCAAGTTGTCAGAGTCGGTGTCCCAACCGAAGTTGGCTTCGGTGGTGGTGCCATTGTACTCCTCGGCATACATGACGGGCGAGATGTCTTGTGTCTATCCCTCAATGGGGTGGGAGGAGGTTGTATTCCTTTCCAGAAGCTTTGAATGGGATCAAAGCGGATGAGGTGGAAGAGGGATCGGACCCGAGAAGGGAATGGGCCAAGGAGGATGGAGAGAAGGGGATGGGAGAAAAGAAGCAAACAAGGATGCTCTGGGAGGACAGGCGAGTGTTATTAAATAAAATAAAGAGCTGAGGTGCGACAGGCAAGTATCGATCATCCGTGTCGTGTGTCAGTCAGTCACCTCACCCCGGTGTAAGCCCCGAGAGCTTGGCTTGGGGGTCTGACCTAGTGACGGAACATTGAGCCAGGAGACTCCATCTCCGCCTACCCGTATCAATGGACCCTAGTTCACCAGGGGCGTGTAAGTTCGAAGGGCAGGCAGGGGCAGTGTGTGCACGGCTGGATGGCATGGGGACCGAAGCGTGTATGTTGGTTGGTGGCTAACGAGTGTGGGGGAGATAAGACTTTTTGGCTTCAATGAGCTCCCTTGGCTGACTTGCTGTAGGTTGCCTTTGCTTGACTTGCGCGGAAACCTAGCCGGCGAGTCAGCTTGGGTAGTCGTACATAGACGAGCTGTGAGATTTGTTGTAATGCAGTGAAAGGCAGTCCATGGCACCACATGTATGCAGCATACGCCATGCTCTCCATACCCTGGCTCAACACATGGCATGGATGATGCAAGGTATCATTTTGGCCACTCCATGGGTAGCGCAACATGCTGTTTGTTTCATATCTCTCTGATCTTGGGGCCCTCCAGATGGTAGTTCGAGGTTTCATCCCATCTAAGCTTAGGGAAGGACGATGGCATCTATCCATTCCTGGAAATTGGACTGGTCGAGCCAGCTAGCTGAGAATCGATTTGTCGTCGAAAGAGAGAGATAAGGACCTCATCTTGTCTATCTATAGCCTCGCTTGGCAGACGTTGTCTTCCCAGCTAACCGCCATCGAGCCACAAGAAATCAGCTAACGGTGGTGGCGGCGCCATGCATGCGAACACAGTTGATCGCAAACTGTGGGCTTGACCAGGAATTCCGGTAGGCGGGATCCTGCGTGTGCAATGGATGGTGCTGGCCCAGAGACGAGACAAATCAGAAGCAAGACAAGCCCGAGAGAGAGACAGAGACAGGAACAAAGAGAGAGACAGGTAAGAAAGGCCATGGAGAGATCCGGAAAGAGCTACAGGCCCACTGATAACGATGGAGCTTCCTACAGGCCAATCCTTGCGAGCACGCCCCCTCCATGATGCCTGTCACAGGCTCACCCCTGCTGCTGCCCAGTGATCGATCGCCAGTTCAGGCAAATAATGGACCTGTATCTCCAACCCCAGACTTTCTTATCTCTGCTGAGCACCGGCTGCCTGTCGCTGTTTGAGTGGCTCAATTTCAAGACTTCTGGCTGCGGATTCCTCTCATCCCCGCCAAAACTACCGCCAGAAACGCCCAAATCATGCTGCTGCCAAGGCCGCCGTTACTGGACCGTGATCTTCAACCACTCAGAAACCGACCAGCTGGTAAGTCCAAGACAGCAACGACGATGATCACTGATCAGATCGCTGTTGTACGTAATGGAAAACTCCCAGCCCTCCTGGTTGTTTAAGCTTAAATGTGCATCCAATCGCTGGCATCCCTAGTGCAAACGAATCATTGAAGATCTTTCAGTGGTATGATAGATAGGATGAGAGGATTGCATTGCGCTGTGCCTGCCGGGTGATGGGCGAGGTAGCATAGCATGGCACGGCATGGGGCATGGTCACTCGCAGACAGCTTGCGCAACGAGCTCTGATGAATTTCCCAGATCCTTCAAATTAGCTATAATGTCCATCCTCCTCCCTTCTCTGGCAAGGAAAACCGACGCTCGGCTAATATGCTGACGCGTTTCTCCTGTGCAGTAGACGAACTCCTATATGAGCACAGTTCGTCCTCTGAGCTGATGGCCCCCAGCGCGAATCCCCCCACGCCAGGCAAAGGAGAAATCGCATGGCAGAGTCTCATCTGACCCTTTTTTGCATCTACATAAAGAACGGGGAATGCCTTGGCAAATACGACTATCGGATTCTGCAGCATGAATGCGGAGCATCAGAGCGGCTGTGATTAGCGACGGCGATGAGCAAACATCACTCTTCTTGAGAGAGCATCCTCTTACGTCAAGCAAACCAACTTATCAGCATCGTATCAGTAGGCCTCTTAGTTCAGCCTAAGATTCCCTACGTCCAGCACTATGTTTTCCGGATGAGAAATGCTCTGCCGCTAAGAGGCTCGAAAGCTGAACCAGGACGTCTTTCGTTATCTCTTGGCGCTGGCTAGGTCCCTCTTTTAGTGCCAAGCCCTTTCCGCTAAGATGACTCGAAGGGCAAGGGAGGGGCGTGTGCTTTGATTTGTACATCCCCACCATCCTGCTCCAAACCCAAACCTCCCAACTTGATATCAGTCGGCCCAGAGTCCTGTGTGAGAAAGGATGTGCATGTGAAGGGCGACACCTTATTGGTATGGTATCTAAGCCACGGCGAACGACTACCTGTTTGGGGCATGGACGGAGACGGCCTTGAATTGAGCAGCGCTCACTCATAAACGCCCAATCGTGCCGCGTAAGTACAGCCCTCAACAACTTGATGTAATTGAGCCTTAGCGGTTTCGATAATGCGATCTCTCGAGAGTCCACAATCTGCAGCCCACAGAGGGAAATGACACAGCGGCTCGACATGCCAAGTAAGCACAGGGACGCCCTGCAGCAGACACAGGTCCACCCCCCGAGTTCTCCAGTGTAAGCGTTTGTGCCATCCAACGCCCGCACAGCCCTGCCTGATCGTAGAGTAACACGTTCTTGCGGGCGTCGTGATGCGAGATTCCCGCAAGCCAGTGCCATTAGGTTCGCGGGGCGCCCGTAAGACCAGCACGGGAGACTGGCACAGATCTGAGCATATAAGGAGGGACGTGTCCCTCCATCGACTCTGGCTTCCCAAAGACCTGATCTGAGTCTGGGAACTGCAGCGCCGCAGGGTACCCGCAGCCGACAACTAGAGAGGAGTACACGAGTGAACCTAGTTAGCATGAGCATTGCTCTTGCTAGGCCAAGCCTGCGTCGTTTATCAGCTCCCTTCGACCTACTGCCCAACGTGCCACGTCCCATACAGCAAGCGGGTATCAGCCCCTCCCAAGGCATTTCCAATAACCGAACCAAGTCGAGATTACTCGCGGCCGAAACCGGAAACATCTTCGGGCTGATGTTTGACCATATCGGCCTACTCGTGTAGGACCTGAGATGGCTAGGTTAGATAAGGATATATGTGCCGTTTTGTTCGCTAAATCCCGATGGTCAACAACCTTTCTCGGCACACCGAACCCGAAGATAAGGAACCGATAAAACTTCTACCCAGACTCGACGACTTCATTCAATCTTCCAAACACACTCAATCAAGGAAGCCTTGAGATCCCGCCTAGCTCGGCTTGATAAGAAGATACACCGCTTTTCCAGGAATAACTTTTGGAAGACACCACATAGGCTTCTCCAAGTTGCCGAACGTGTGCAGGAAGGAATAAGTGCCGGTGCTGGTATTGATACACTGTTGAGAAAAGTCGAAGCAACCATAAGTGGTGCTTGAGTCTAAATCATTAAGCTCGCGCCAGGTTTGTCGTCCCTCACCGCCCCAACTCCTGCCTCCACTCCTTCTCCAGAATATTCAAACACTTTGCAACCTCCAATGGGACGTCTTCCTCGAGAATTTGTCGCTTCTCAGGTAGGATTGGCCCGAGAACATAATCACTGACGTCCTGCGGTTCTCTCGATTTGGGACGACCAATGCCGAGGGCAATCCGCACAAAAGGTGATTCGGGATATTTATCTTCAGACAAATGCGCTTTGATACTTTTGATTCCGTTGTGTCCCTTGTGACTTCGATCCCATGCTGTTAACTTGACGATGCCGAGCCCCTTTTCCAATTCATCATGTACAATGACTAGTGACAGTGAAGACGCATCATGCTGCTTCAGCATTTCATTCCATGCCCCTGTGATGAAAGGACCAGAGATGTTCATCAAGGTGGGAGATTGTACAAGCGTATATTTAGGACCTTGTGAGACCAGAGCGGTCTGTTTCCCTATCCTCACCTCCCTGAAGTCTGGGTGTTGTAAAATGGGAGCAAGGCCTCTCAGGGCAAAATGCCCTGCTGAATGCAGACTCGCATATTTCGGTAATGGGTTCCCAAGACTGACGACGAGGAACCGTGGATTAAACATTGTAAAGTCTAAAGAGAGACAAGAAATGAGAGAAAATTATACACATGCAAGCCAATATGCGAACAACCACCAAGGCCAAAGCCCGAGATTTCAGAAAGCTGGGATTGAGGCACGTGATTCGCCAGCAACGCACCACACGACGCTTCGCTCCCGGAAAAATGAATTTTGCGGGCTGTGCCAGAAGCCACGAGCTGCGCCCCATCACTGACGTCGATGGCAGCAGCCATTCAAAGACGTCTAAGTGTGGCTGCGCCCCATCTTCTCCAAGCCGCCCAGCATTATTATCTTGCACGCAGTCGTCACCACCCTCGAACCCTAAGTTTCCTAGTCCTCATACTTCTACGCAGCATTCTACGAGCGCATCGAGGCTTTACCGCGACATTTAGCACGGCAGTACATTTTTGACCGATACCGTTTTTTTAGCTCCTTCGTTGATACCGTCAAGATGTCGTGGGCGGGTAGGCAATGACGAGCACCCCGCAACGAGGAGGGGTCGGATGCTAACAGCAGAGATAGGGTTCAAGAAGAATGTGAACCGTGCGACTACGCAGGTGATGATGAAGACGGGTGAGTGATTTTGGAGGCCCCGGAGTTCAAAGACAGGAGCATTGTGCTGACGGAGGGGAGTGATCAGGGCATGTGGAGAAGACGAACGATCGTGACTATGAGGTGGAAGAGAGGTACAGACAGAAACAATGCGCACGAATCGAGAATACGTCCTAACGTAATATACAGGCGATTCAAGACAATGGAGGCTGCCGCAAACAGGCTACAGAAGGAATCCAAAGGCTATCTCGACTCGCTGAGAGGTAGGTTTGGCCAACGCCGAGCGACGGGATTGAAGAGTTCTGGACTGATGTTTCATTTTTTGTAGCGATGACCGCCTCACAAATGCGAATCGCAGAAACGATAGACGCCTTCTACGGCGACTCGGGAGCCACGGACGGTGTGAGCCGGAGTTACAAGCAGGCGGTGGAGGACCTCGACGCCGAGACCATCAAAGCCCTGGATGGTCCGTACCGGAGCACCGTCCTCGACCCGATCGCCCGATTCTGCGCTTACTTCCCGGACGTGAACGAAGCCATCAAGAAGCGCTCCCACAAGCTCCTCGACTACGACGCCCTGCGCGCCAAGGTCAAGCGCCTGGCCGAGAAGCCAGATAAGGACGCCACTAAGCTCCCTCGGACCGAGAAGGAGCTGGAGATGGCCAGGCTGGCGTACGAGAACCTCAACGAGCAGCTGAGCACGGAGCTGCCCCAGCTGATCGATCTACGCGTGCCCTACCTCGACCCCAGTTTCGAAGCCCTCGTCAAGATCCAGCTGCGGTTCTGCGCGGAGGCGTATTCGCGAATGGCTCAGGTGCAACAGTACCTGGATGCAGACACTAGAGATCAGTACGCAGATGGGCAGCTGGACGCAAGAGTGGAAGAGGTGCTTCAGGAGATTCGGGAGTTGACCATCAGCGGAACGGTATAAGACGACTTCAGGATGGGGCACAAAAGGAGCGAACTGAATGTTTAATGACTGCATGTGTCAGTCGGATTGGATGGTGATTTGGAACGGCGTATGGCCTGGGTTTCTTATTTGATGCTTTGTTTAAGCAACCCCTTGTAGACAAAGACATATATATCTATATTGTTCTCTTTGCTTCCCTCTTCTTCGCGGCCCTGTCTTTCTATGGGCATTTCATAGATTTTTATTTGGTCTACGTGTAGCAAAACCATTGCTGGATTATGTGCCGTGCTATCCCTGTGATGCTCTTTCCATAGAAGCAACCAATTCCGATATCTACATGCCATATGTTAATTCATGCTTGCTATTATTTAAATATCATGGAAAGCGGAACGACAGGGCAGGAGAGCACATACCATAAAGCTCATTGGGCTCAGATGTTGGGACCCAATCATTTTCCTGCTCCTCAATTCATTATTGCGTCTCCCGTTCGCCGATTAACGTATCATGAAGTTCCATGTGCAGCACGAGCCTCAGCCTGGCTCCGGAACAGATCATCAATTGTCAACCTGCCCTCGCTCCCAATGGCCTGCATGGCAGGACCCAGCTCAGGCCCCTGGTCCTCGGTCCGTCCAGCCACCCTCGCCGCCTTCCAGCTCTCCTGGATCACGGCGGCGTTGACGTCCCGCGTCTCCGTCTTGTCGTTGTGCACCCACACGCCGAGGACCTGCTCGCCCCTCCTAGTCGAGCCGTCGTCCTCGACCCGCATGATGACGAGCTCGTCCATGACCTCGACGTGGCTCACGCGCGCCAGGTCGACGACGAGGTTCTCCAGCCCGCGGCGGCTGAGGACGAAGACGCACAGACGGGGCCGCTGGGCCGGGTCGTCGGGGAGGGGCCCCTGGGCGCAGACGAACATGGTGCCCTCGACGCCGGACTTGTCCCAGCGCTGCTCGGCGGGCGCGAAGGTGTAGATGACGGCGCTGGCGGCGATGCTGAGGATGGTGCGGATGGAGGGGAGGTAGCGCTGGAGGACGGCGAGGTTGAGCTCGGTGTTTGTCCGCGTGGGGGGCGGCGGCGCGTAGTCGTACTCGGGCTGCATCTGGGCGGCGTCGGACTCGTAGTCGGAGACGGCGGGGATGCGGTTGGAGGGGTGGCGGTTGTGCCGTGACCGGCGAGGCGTTGCTTTGCTCATTGTGGGTAGAAGGGGGGAGGAAGGAGAGGAGAGGAGAGAGAGAAGGAGAGAGGGAGGTGGGCAAGCAGGTGGGAGGCGCCCGGTGGTCTGTTTGCCTGGTTGGTTGTGTTTGGTGGTTGGTGCTGGCTGGCGACGGTTGCACACGATGGCGCCGACTGGGTTCACAGAGAGCTTGGGGTAGCCTCTCTTAGTCACGCAGCGTCTGGTAGAAAGGTTAAGCCGGACTGGGCTGTTTTCGAGAAGTTGGAGAGCTTGTTGGGCTGGGGGTTGTGTGGGATTGGAAGATGAGGTTGGACATGAGCATGGACATTGGGCAAGCACACCAGGGCTGGGTGGTGATGCACTGATTGTGATAACTGATAGTAGTGGCAGGGGTTGGGCGCCGAGGCTCTGGGCTCCAGTGCAGCTGTGACGGAGAGCTCCCGCAGCGCACTGACGCACTAAGACACGGGCTCCTCCCACTGTAATCAAATCCAATCGCAATGCAACGGGCCATGCCTTCAACTTCCTTGTCAGGGCGGGAGCGGAGGTTTACCTAAGCCTGCCAATGTGACAGCATTGGAGGACCATCTGCCGTATCATCTGCATCTCTCACATTTATTTACCGACATACTTTCGTTGCGGCGGCAAAAGTGGCTACGTCACGGACTGAGACGCCCTCTCAATTGCCGCGCTAGAGGCGTTCCTTGCTTGATCATCCGCCACCCACTCCAGACGGGAATGGTAGATATTAGAGCTCGCAGTTCCCGTCGCTATTCGCCTTTGTCATCCATTGTATAGTAGCTCTACGCCCAGAGCAACGCAAGTCCCTTTGATCTCTTGCTAGCGCCTCGCTCACGGTTCCGCCTGCTCGTGTGCGCTCCTCGTCGACAACGGCCAGCCGGCCTCACGACCATGGTCTAGAAGCCCGGACCCAAGAACAGATCCGACGTCAAAGGGCCTCGCCCTCACTCTCGCTCTTCCCGCTCCTCTCGCTTCTCCCTGTCCTCCTCTCGGCGCTCCAAAAGCATGAGCGATCCACCGCCCGCCACTGCCCCGCCGGCAGACCCCTCTGTCCAGTCCGATCTCGTAGAGCTCTCGACCCCGTATACGTTATCGAGGGCGCTGATTGCCCGTCGCAAGGAATATGTTCGGCCGCGCAGTGTCAGGATCAAGATTGGGACGTGGAATGTGGCTGCATGCCCAGGGACCGACAAGGACCTGGCCACCTGGTTCTTGGATAACGAGGGCATTGATAAGGACTTGAACGTTCTCGACCTTTCACAGGCTACCGCTGTTAGGGAATCGCGTACCCAGAGAGCCGAGGTTGGGCTGTACGTGCTGGGTCTCCAGGAGGTGGTCGATCTGAACATGACCAAGGAGTACATGGCTCGCGCAGTGTATACCGACAAATCTGCGACTATCAAGTGGCAGGCGGCGATAGAGGCGGCGTTGCCCAAAGGGTATGAACTTGTTGTCTCTGAGCAGATGTTTGGTATACTGCTCCTCATCTACGCCAGCTCTGAAATCGCACCGACTATCACCAATGTAAGCACGAAGCAGGTTGGCACAGGATTAGGGGGCTGGTTCACCAACAAGGGCGCCATTTCCACCCGCCTTGTCATTGGGGAGACGACAAGCTTGGTGTTTCTGAATAGTCATCTCGCTAGTGGCGTGACGCCTGCCAACCTGGAAAGACGGTGCGCAGATGCTGCGCAGATTGTTCAAAAGACCCAATTCGACCCCATCGTGACGTCTGGGGTCAAGGAAGATGTCGGCGATAGTATCGGTGATGAAGACTTTGTGTTTTGGTTTGGGGATCTTAACTACCGGCTTGATGGCTTACCAGGGGATGATATCAGGAGGATTCTAACCCTCCACGCTAGAGGAGAGTATGCCCCGGCAGATGATAGGGATGACAACTCGGCGCCAGAAGGGGAGGGCATAATCATCATTGGAGACTCAGACACTGAGGATGATGCGACTACGGTAGCTTCATCACAGCCATCGAGGAATCCTAGTTTCGAGAATCCCAATTTCGAGCCGTCTCCTACGCTTCCCGACCCTGACGATTTCGCAGAGGACCCGAGCCAAGATCCCACTTCACTGCAGGCAACACTGAACTCACTCCTTCCGCATGACCAGCTCGCAAAAATGATTAGGAGTAAAAAAGCGTTCCACGACGGTTGGAGAGAGGGGCCAATCTCGTTTCTTCCAACCTATAAATACGACTTGGGCACAGTAGGATTATTTGACACGAGCGAGAAGCAGAGGGCGCCCAGCTGGTGTGACCGTGTGCTGTATCGAACGCGCCGAGACAAAGCAGCATACGACAAGAAGGCAGCCGAGGAAAAGGAGGTCGAGAAAAAGGATGCAGAGATGAAGCTAAGGGGTATTGAGGACGATGAAGACGTCCTTTTCACGTATGACCCCGATGCCGATGGAGACGACGTTGCCCCTGAACCAGCAGAAGATATCGTTCCTGCAGACAAGTTTTCAATTGCCGGATATGACGAATACGATGAGTACGACGAGAATGAAGATGGCGAGGGCGGCGACCTTACTGACCCTATTACTCTGGAATTTTACACCTCTCACCAGCGCATCACTTCCTCAGATCACAAACCAGTCAGCGCTAGCTTCTCCATCCAGTATGATGCCGTAGTCCCCGAGCTCAAAGCTTTCATACATTCCGAAGTAGCCAGAGAATTAGACCGCGCTGAGAACGAGGGTCGTCCGAGTATCACGGTCGTGGCCGAAACCCAAGATTCGGGTGAGAATGTTGTCGACATGGGTGACATCCAGTATCTCGAAAGTAAGACCCGCTATATGACCATCGCCAATACGGGAGGCGTGCCGGCAACTTTCTCTTTTGTGGACAACCCTCATGGTGTTGATGAGAACGCCGAAAGTACGCCAAAGCCTTCCTCCAAGTGGCTGACAACCGCCTTTGCGCGGTCAGACCACACCGGACATGCTGATACCAGCGGCGAGCCTCTTGCCAAGTCTGTGACCCTGGAGCCTGGAGAGACCATCTTCGCCCTCTTGACGGTTCATGTGAAATCCAATGGCGTCGTTCGCGATTTAAATAGCGGGAAAGCAACCATCGAAGAGGTCCTTATCATGCGCGTTGAGGATGGAAAAGATCATTTCATCACCGTTCGAGGTGACTGGCTACCCTCATGCTTCGGCAGGTCTGTTGACGAACTCATCCGCGTGCCAGACGGTGGAATTCGGAGTTTTGTCACTGAGTGGCACATAAAGGGCTCTATTCCCATGGACGCCGAGCAGAAGTTCTCAGCACCCAAGGAGCTTTTCAATATCATCGCCGCTATGGAAAGTCTCACCGAGCGATGCATTGCTGATGCGGCGATGCTTGAAGATATGAAGATCCCCAAAGACCCTGGCTGGCCTTTGGATCCACTCACCTGGACCGCATCCAGCGACGCCCTGGAACCTCTTCTGGCTGGTCTTGCCGAGGCACTTGACACAGATAAACCCCTTCTGCAGACGTTCCCCATTGAGATACCATCGTCGCATAAACTGGAGGCTCTCTCATCGATATTGGTCAGGTTTATCTCCTCTCTCACAGACGGGCTGGTCCCAAAATTCCTCTGGATCGGGCTGGCCCCCGTCCTTCCAGCAACTTTACCTCCTAAAATATCCGACATCAAGACCCAGATCCTCGACTGCCTCACTGTGTCTCCAACACACAACATCTCCTTCGTTTTCCTCACCACAGCTCTCGCTCGCATCTCGGCCGAACTGAATCCTGTCAACAAATCACAGCCACCCGCAAACACTCTGCAGCGCAGATTCAGCTTACGCAGACAGCCCTCAACTGCTGTTGCCGCTGGCTTAGAAGCGCGCAGGAAACGCCGCGCAACCGAGAAGCGATTTGCCGAGATCCTTGCCCCACGGGTCTGCAGAACGGGTATGGACAGCTCGCAGAAGGATAAAGTGACAAGAGAAAAGGAGAGGATCATGCTAGAGGCGTGTATCCGCCCAGACGAAGAATCGAGCTAGGCGCTTGTAAAGGGGCGTCGATGGCTCAAAGCGGGAACGACAGATTGGTGAGCATCTAGCCTGCTCCTCTGTCCCTCTTCCTTCCTGTGTGTTTTTTTGTAGGTCTTGTTCGATATTCCTTTCGGATTATGGATACCCTGTTTGTTTTGCATTATGATAGACCTGTTTCCTCTCCCTGGGTACTCTCGTATGTTATATAGAAGGGGGAGGATTGGCGTTGCGTGAGACGTTAGGAAAAATTCATCACCGACAGGCGGTATTCTTTGGATTAGGTTATTGGTTTGTCACCGGAAGGGACGGCTAGAGAAGAAGTTATGTAGAAAAGATTCAACAGATACAAAGATTATGATATGCCTCTTTGGCTTGGACATCGAATTACGGGAGGTTAATACGAGGCCCCAATCTCCTGGCTTCTCCACCTGAAATCTAACAGCAAATTACGTCTCAAAGAGAATACGATGTATCTAGCATATGTCTTTGACGGCAGTTCTCACCCCCTGTAGACCCCATTCACATATGGAACCGGAATCGTGGATGATCCCACCCTAGAAGCATCTCGTGCTCCGTCCTGGATACGCCGGGTGGTAGATCTTGCAGCCGGTGATCCCGATCTCCCCGTTCCCGACGGGCATTTTCCCTGCGCATCCACCAGAGACTAGCCGCACCTACAAGCAGAAGACTTGCGTTGAAGGCGATGTTGATAGAATGGCCCTCGACGTATCTAGCGTTGTGAACAGTCAGTATTTCCATGATCAATAGCTCAGCCCAACAAAAGGAAAGTGGACTTACCGTGGAGCGCTGGTCTTGATGTAAGCGTAGCTGGCGAGGAACGCAGCAAAGTTGCCCACGCCGATGACGAAGCCGAGGGAGATGGCGCGGACGTAGTGCGGGTTGGCGTTGACGCATAGCCAGCTCATGGCGAGGGGGGTCGAGGCCGAGACGCCCGCTCCCGCGAGGAACGTCCCCGCGTACTGCAGGGGTTTCACGATGACGGGCTTCCCCTGCGCGTCGGTGCCGCCTGCGAAGCTGCCGATGAGGAGGAAGAGGAAGCCGAGCGTGCTGAGGCAGGCTGAGACCATGAGGGGTAGGGCGACGCGGCGGGAGCGCTGCGAGTATTGAGTTATACAGATGGTATATAGGAAGGCGAAGAGGTTGGGGGGAACGGTCATCAGCGGGTTCCTGACGCCGATGAAGCCCATCTCGACGAGGAGGGTGGGCACAAAGAGGTTGTAGGCGTATATCGACTCGACGGTGAAGAAGCAGCCGAGGGTCATGAACAGGGTGATGGGGTGGAGGACTGCGCGTCTCCAGGTTGACTTGTGAATCCGGTCGGCTGAGCTTGCGCCGATGATAGTGGCGGGTATATCGAGGGCTGTGGAAAACCTGATGGTGGTTACTGTTTCGTTTCGGGCTGCTTCTGGATGCGTGCTGTTGCGTTGTGACTTTGGGATATCGGAGTTGCTGCTGCTGTTGCTTGGTACGAAGGCGATGCGTCGGGCAAAGGACCGGTGGTCGAGGAGGATCATGCGGGCTTTGGCAGCGATCTTCTCCTCGCCCGTCAGGAATGAAGCCGTGGCTGGTGTATCGGGCATGACAGAGTACGCAACGATGCCGACCACGACGGTCAGGGCCCCCTCGATGAAGAAGATCCATGGCCATCGGGAGTAGGAGCCGGCCTGGATTCGTGAGAGGCCACCGGCCAGGAGACCACCCAATGACCCGGAGAGTGGCATGCTACTGAGGAGGATGCCGATCCGGGACACGATCTCATCGTTGGTGTAGAAGAACCCGAGCCAGAGGAGGACACCGCCAAGAAAACCAGCTTCAGCCGCGCCGACTGCGGCTCTCGAGGCGCAGAGGCCGGAAAGGTTGGTAACGAAGCCCGAGCAGAGAGTGGCTATTCCCCATGCGAGCATAAGAGCAGGGAGAAAGGTGCCTCCGCCGATTCTGCGCAAGAGGATGTTGGCTGGGATATTTAGGAGGATGTAAAAGGCAAAGAAAACGGCGAATGACGCATTGAATTGGGAGCTTTGGAGTCCGAGGTCCTGCTCCAGCCCGTTGACCCGGGCGAGGGCGATGTTGGAACGGTCGAGCCAGAATATAGTGTAGGCAAGAAATACTAATGGAATGATACGGAGGTCGTACTTGCGCACGACAATCTTGCTGAGGTTGTCTAGGTGGGATCGGCTCCAATCTGCACCATGTTAGCCGATGAAAGTAGTAGTCTTAGGCCCTCGATTACTGTTTGGATATGCTACAGTTGCTGGCGTGGAAGTAGGAGAGCTTCTCCATCTGGAGAACATTTTGGCAAAGGTCTTTAAGACGGTATGTGGTAGGAGCCGAGAAGTATTTATGAGTTGGATGCTTAATTCCGGCACAAACATGCATGGCCAGGCATCGAATTAACAGCAGAAAGAGGCTATGAAGGTCAATAAATAAAAGGGAAAAGATAATATGCTTGCTATTGACGTTTAATATATGAGGGGATCATCTTGATATAGACAAAGTCCCGAGAGAAGAGCTACGGGACAGGAGGAAGAGTATGGATGCGGGTAAGCAAACTCAAGCCATGGGGTAGAACAAGGAGCTATTTGAGGCTTGCGGCTGGCCCTATCACATGTAGTTTTCGTTTACGAGGAGAGCACAGGACTAGATCCCCCGAGAGCCTGTCGTATCCCGACGGAACTACATGTATGACGAGCGTCACGAGGCATTTTGGTTCACTTGCTGGCGAGACAGTTTAAGGCTTTGTGCAAAGAACCATGTGACAGTCAGACAGATGTACTGGCCTACCCAGACAAGTGGGCGACAGGAGGCATGAGACAGTCAATGGAAGAGTGGCTATGAATAACCCGCTTTTAATGATGAATAGAAAATGTCAGTATTATGGAACGAAATAAAGTGATAATAGATGCTGGATTATCTCTTATGTATGTATTAGTGTCATTCAATAATCTGAGAATACTGGTCACAGGCTCGAAAACAAGTAGCTTGATGTTTGACTCACTGCTCTTTCGTTTTTTCCATGAAAGCATCCTAAAACGCACACTCACACTCACACGTAGCCTTGAACCGTCAGGACTACCTTACAACTACATGTGAGCACCCAATAGATTGTACTGACCCGAAATGTTACCAGACTACCAAAGTATCTATTGTGGCGTTCACACCATCTCAATAACCTTCTCTTGTGCGACCAGTTCTCTGGCGATATCCAGTATTCATAAGCGAGCGTCGCGGAACCAACTTGGCCCTTCGTCGCACCCCTTTCCTGACGACCTTTATGCCATCAGTCAACTATCAGCTGAAAATCCCGGGATAATCGGCTTAGGTGGGAGGCTTGGCCCAGTCGGATATGTTGCATGTCGGAGAATTCATCCCAGTCCGGACTCCATCAGACGACTTCAACATCTGCTACACAAACATAATTGTCCCAGGAGAGGATTCTAGATACATTGTTTGATCGCCGAAGCCTGGATCATCCAAACATTCGAGCATTTTCTTCCATCCTCTCGACGATAGATCTTCGCCGCACACCGAATAACTCAGTAAGCCAATGCGTGAATACCAACCCCGAGGCTTGTCCTCCACCGGCTTGAGGATGAGTGCAACGGCGCCCTCTGTCTCGTCCAATGGCTTCGTTGCCATCCACACGGGGAGGCAATATACCGACGTGGATGTGGCAGTGATGTTCTCATCTGGGAAAAGTGCCCCCTCTACTGTTTCCCCTTGTATACGAATCTGCAACCTTCCACTCTCATCTCTAGCGGATGGGTCATGAACAATAAGCTCTGCCTGAAACACGCTGCTTTTTAACCGAAGGTAGCCATCTACCACCTCCCCCGTAACATCAATGTTTGATAGTGGTGTTACGCTGGCTTCCTCAATCTCAATGAGGACACACCCACGCAACGGTGAGTGCCAAAAGCTCACGTCCTTCTCTGCCTCAATAGAAGCCCACGACCAGGATGGTGCCCTATAATTCCTAGGCCGGCAACTTCGCCCACCAGTAATATGGACATACCACAACAGATTAGAAGGGAGGTTGCCCTCCCACAGACCTGCAAGATACCGGTCTTTCAGAGCGCCGCCCATGCGTTTGGCGAGACCGCTGATGGCAACAAGCTTATCCGTATCATTTGTTATCTTAGTATTCCAATACATATGAATCATCCGGCGCCACTTGTCGTAGTAGTCTTTCGGGCTGAGGTTGGGCTGTCGCAGATGCGTAAGCCACGCTTGGGAAGCATCAATGTCGAGGTGTTTCACAAAACTATAATTCAGGCTTTTCAAGTATATCGGAAGACCATCTGGGTACATTTCGCATGATTCCCGCTCGCGGCATTCCCACACCAGTTGGTTGTATGTGAAATGCAACGCCCGCGGTGGCAGTATTCTTTCTTGAAGCACCCAACCGCGTCGGTGCAGAGGCTCAAGCACCGTGTGTTTATCCCAGGAAAACCGAGAAAAAATATAGAAGGCCTCTGGCTTTATTCCGTCCCACGAGGTGCAAACTGCGTAGTGCAGCAACTCACCTTGATCTCTGCTCCGGAAGAGACTCTGGTGGCTGTTTCTGCATGCTGTGGCCATCACATTAAGCGTGCTGTTGCTGTAAACTTCACCCATGAGCGCCGCCTCCTTCTGCCAGTCTTGCAAAGAATCCTGGATAATGCAGAGGGAATCGATCCAAAGATAGCGTATTCCAAGCTTCATAGCAACTAAGATGGCATCTCTGAATGTCTGAGGAAGACTGGCGTTTTCAATCTTATTCTGAAACTGTGTCAGGGTATCCGTCGTAAACTTGATGATACTTTGTCCACCCCAGCGATGACTGAGAGTTTCGTAATCTTCCTTGATGCTCTCTTTTGCAGTCATGATTAACCGCAAATCAGTCCCGCGGGGGTTCAGGTCGAGCAGGCGAGTGGGAGAATACAAGAAAGATCTGCGGGATACATTGCACCTGGCGTGTTTTTCCCGGCAGTCGCTGTACCATTTGCGCGCCTGTCTGAACGACCCTTCGAATCCAGTATGAGGAGTATAGGTATAGCATGCCATGCCATTGCCACTCGGACGGCCAAGAGCTCGAAAATCTAAGGAAAGACGGAAGTTAATCGCCATTTGAGCCTGTACTTCAAGTAGAATGGGGTGGCATTTTGCGTACCTTCAGCCGAGAACAAGTGAGTCTCCCAGACAAACCGTTCGAAATCATGGTCGCCCTCTAGAGATCTTTCCACAGCGTAGTATATGATGATTTCCAGCGTATATGTATATAACTTCCGCGACTTTATCGACAAAAGACGGTAGGAAAAGGGCTCATATCCGACCTGCGTCAACAAAAAACCAAGTTCGTCCCGACGTAAGGCTGCTCGCGCCCGAACACAGATGACGCATCCAGAGTTCGCTGCGGCTTCGAAGGATGCGGCGGAGAAGTGGTGGACAGGGCCTCGATCACTATTGATCGAGGGGCCTTTGAGTTGCTGCTGGCCGGTGAAAATTGACATACACTGTGGGCACAGCCTTTTTTCGTCCTTCTGGTCAGTCGACATTGTGTCTAGGCGAATGAGCATCCCGGTGTACCTCGTTGGTGGCCAAGTTTGCGGTATTATTCTCGATCCAAGAATGTCGTGTCAGCTGTCATCACAAGACTGACCCCATGTCCTCATGTAGGGTGCTTCTCGATCAAAATCCCCAAATAGCAATGAATGAAGAGGAGGCTCTCATCTATTGAGATCCTTGCCTAGAGTATGCGCATTTTGGGGAGCTGGGCTGGACATGAGTTATCCCTAATTGTACCCACACAAGCAGAATCTCACCTGGGTCTAACAACAGCCAATTCTTACAATCATGACAAATGCCAGTTTGTTCTTATACCTCGTATGCTCAAAGAAGCCCAGTTCACTTATGGTAAGTCAAAGGCCTTTTCCACGCATGCGGTACATAATACAATGTATCAAAATAGTCCGGTAACTGGGTGGCACTGAAATCAAGACATGAGTGAGTGGTCACCATAAGAATATGTCGAGGCTCTGGCGTGGATTGAACTGTATTCAACATCGCAACCAACGACCTTCTGCCAAAATGAGACAGCTATAGTGCGTATTGGTATATTATAACTACGATCCCCTCATAGTTGGCGTTGATTTTAGGACAGGCGGCCTCTTTCAGGCTGATATTCTCGCTCGGCGATGGGCGATAGGCACTCGATGTGATGATGATGGATGTGGTATGATGGTCTGATGGTTGTGCTTGGCAAAGCAGGCTCGCAACGATCGAAGTGCGTGATGGGCTTGGCATCTTGTAGTCTTCAATCTTGTGGACTTTGAATTGTGACGAACGGGGGATGACTTTGGTGACTGGCCGTCACTGCGATCTTGGATCACTGGAATGTGGACGGTGGCTTCACATGAGGTGCGATCTCATCTCTCTCCTTCCGGAATCAAAATCGACTATGACCTGTGCTTTTCATCACCTTGGATGAAAATTCGGCACTTTGATGATTAGAAATTCAAGTGCTCAATCAAGACCGCTTCAATAGGGGAGCCCAACCTTTGGCAACTCTCACATCTAGCCAGCACGCGCCGCGGCTTTCATTCCTCTGGTCTCTCTCGGTGTCTCTTCGTGAAACACGGATCGAAGTCCGTCCATTCCTGCCGACTTCTAACTCGCGACAGTACCAAACGTGGCGGCCTGTTTGGAGTGCAGAAATGTGTGAATGCATGAGAAAAGATCCACGAATAGGGAGGACGGAAGTTTCTCCAGTCTTTATTGAAGACATGCATTAACCAACTCATCCACTCCGCCTGCTGCCGAATACGCACATTGGGTAGTATTTGTGGTTTATTATGCATGCTTCTTGCTGCCTGGGCTGAAATGGCAAGATGCAACTGTTATTGTTGTTGGCTGTGATTCACTGCTCTTGCCCCATCTGCCTGGCTTTGGTCCCATCACGCAAGTAACTGTTTGCTTCCTGAGTGCCGGGCCTTCCATGACATTGTTACTCGACTCGAGGTGTTTGAAGTCACTGACTAGATGCTAGGCTTGGCTGCTGCTGCCCTCTGCTCTGCTCTGCTCTGCCTTACAGGGCTCTATAGCAACACGCGAGACTCGCATTCCCCCACCCCCGTCCATCGCTCCCTGAATCTCACACACGCCGTGGGCCTCAATGATACGTGCTCCGGTGGCTTTATGCAATGTAGCGTGTTCCTCTCGCACTCGTCCATCTCTACTTGTTGCAGCCAAGCCCACCATTTAAGTCGTTGGGTGCGCCTCTGCTCTAGGTGCCCTCCGGTGTGGTGGCATGACGTGAACAACAGACAATGCGTCTATTGATATGCCCTACATTGATCGACGCAGGCAGGCAGTGATTCACGAATGTTTTACTGGCACTTCCCCCCACAACAGGGGCCTGGAGCTGGCCTGCAGGCCACTGGCTGCTGTATTAAAAAGTATGTGCCTCTTTCTGCCTCTTCTCCCGCCTCTTTGAAGTCATCTCGTTGATCAAGGTTAGTACTCTCAGAGCAGAAGCCTAAATGATTTCTCTCCCTTCCTAAGCTCCTTTCTTCCTTCTTCTCTTTCGTATGATCTTCCTATTCAGTCACACACCCGCACACTTTAGAAACTTTACTTTTGTTTAGCCGTGTACCCTCAACATTCTCATCCTTCCACACTTATTTCCCTTTGCTTAACATCTTTGCTCCTTCAGACTTATGTTGTGAATGGTTCAGCAATCCACGACTTGCTGCCTCCAAGATAATAAGGAGGCTGTTGCTAAGCCGATCTAGCCAGACACCCAGTCAATCTCTCGCCCCTACACCATGCCATGCGAATGGAGGACGAGACGGACGGCAAAATTCTCCATCGAGGCCCGATATCTTCTTTCTCGGAGGGTTGATACGATTTTGGACTGCCTACGAAGGATTCGCCAGCGGGCAGCTGAGTGCACATCTTGGGATACGATCATCGCTTCCGCACCTCAACTACCGCTGCCTGAACCTGATCCCCTCGATACGGAACTGATAGACGGACACAAGATTGGCGATGAAAGTGACTCGTCAGACACCTGGGGATTCGAGAATTGTGACGTGGATTCTCAGCTAGGCGGCAATACAACGACAGTAGAGGTCGAAGAGAAGCAGAAACATAACGCAACGCCAAATCTTCTTTCTACCCCGTGGGAGGAAACAGTACTTTGCGATCTTACCACGAGAATTATGAAAATAGAGGCACAAAGTCAGGATACCGCCTCGCTACTGCTCTATAAGAACGGTGCGACGGAACACTGGGTTCTCAATCAGTGTGCTCAAACCGACTCCCAAGCCGCGTCAACACTCCTAAGCGATTTCCTAGAGCTGCACCCGATTCTGACACTTCCAGCACCCAGATCTTCCTGCTCTTCCTCTTCATACTCCTATTACTCTTCATCCGAAGAAGACTCGAGCATCGGCCCAGGTGCGGACGGAAACGGCTCCGACTTCACGCGAAACGGTGATTCGGATTCTTGCCTCCATAGCCAGCCAGAAGTAGAGGAAATCTCGGCCACACAGCTCGCCAAGTTGGGTCAATTGATTTACAACATCGAAAGGTTCAGCCAGTACCTCAACTCAAGTCTTGACAAAGAACGCAAATCGCATCGCGTCCAGGATGAGCGGTGGAGTCTTCGGGAATCTGACGGAAACGTGGCTGCACTCATGAAGTCTCGCGGCTACACCAGCCCACTCCGCCAGTGCATCACGGTTGATGAGCAATGGCCTTCGGAATGGGACCTCCTTGCTCCAGAGATACGGCCATTTTATGACAAATATGCTCCTGCGCCGAAGATCGAGCCGATCGAGCCCAAGGAGAAAAAACCTGCTAGGGAGCCTCGTTGGTAGAGAAGGGAGTGGTTGATATACCCTGTCATTTTGGATGTAATAGGCACGGAGACTTGGAGTTTTCTCGCTTGGGTTATTTTTCTTTGCAAAGCAGCTGTCTCTAGGTTCTCCCCAACATCGCGAAGTGTTTTGTATCACAGACCCGAGCTCGTAGGCTTGCCTCGCGATGAGTCGTTTTCCATGTAACTGGCCTATCCTACCTTAGAATGATATAATATTATCTATTTGTACGAGTACAATAAACGTGCTATTACAGATCCTTCTCTTGCTATTGTCCGACATGAGGTTTATTGTCAGAACATATGTATGTGGTGGTTGGCTCATGCCGGACTGGCATACGATTATCCCACTGCCTCCGGTTTCTCGTCACTCGATTACTAGCGTGTTTCTCCTTTCCAGTCTGGCAGTCATCGCTGCCAAGTGAAGAACGGCACCGGTTTCCGATGACATGATATCGGTGCGCCGCTCAGGGGATGAATGGTTCACAGCGCTCGTCACGGAGGAGATCGGCAAATTCAACGATATCTTCCAACTTGAGGGGGCCCATGGATAGATACTCAATCATCAGGCGATATTCACAGACCCTTCCGGTGAGCAAATCTTGAAGAAAGGTCAGAGTTCATGATGCAGGTCCTGATTGTCATTGAAATTTTAGGGCGCGTTCCCTTCGGCCCCCTCCAGATCTGGTCATGCCCCTCACGATACCATCAGATCAGTTCTCAATCTATAGCTTGGCCTCCAAGGGACTGACAACTTTGCCTCGAAGCGACCTCTTGATGTCTTGCAGTCGACGGGCATATACAAACGAGGACTCGAGGCGACGTTTCTTCCACTCCCACTTCATACGTATTGCGGCTGTCTTCACCCCTGCCCGGCCAGTAATGTTCGTGTCCATGTCGGACTGTTCATACGTGATCCGGCGTTGTTCAGTATGCCGAGTGACGAGTACCCAATCCAACATAATGGGATCAATTTTGCCATCAACATTTGAAAGAACATTTGATAGTTGTTTGGAGCCATGATCCATGTTTGCGCCGTTTCGAAAAAGGTACTTGAACAATTCGAACCGCTGGAAACGAGCAGCCACTGTTAAGGCAGTACCGTGATCCTCACATAGATGGTTAATATCGGCTCCAAATCTGACCAAACTTTCAACTGCCTTCGTCAAGCCCAGCATGATTGCTTGGCATAGAACGCTGTGCTTCCCAGAAGAATGGAAATGTAAAACAGTTGCTAACTTAGCATCGCCCATGTATCGACGCAGGACAGGAATATTTGCCGTTATGTTGGATATTTCATGGCTGGTCATTGTGATTGGGATATGCAGGGGATCTTGTAGATGCAAAGACCATGAAGCCTCTGTATCATTGCTGTTGAATAGGTGAGCCAAAGACCGGCGATGGCCTAACAGTATGATGCTCTCCGCTGTTACTTGCGCACCAGCTTGAGTCAGTAGACGGGCAATAGCTAGGTTACCACAGATGAAGGCATAATCGGCAGCCGTTTGCTGCCACATGTTCCGCACATTAACGAGGCAACCAGAATCAAGGATCAGCTGTACTATATCTACGGATTCCTCGAATGTTGCGTGGTGCAAGGCTGTGTTCCCCCAAGAAGAGTCCACAAAATTGACGTCCGCTCCGGCTTGTATCAAAAGCTCCACAGCATCAACAGCTCTTGAGGAAACTGCTTCTATGAGGGGAGTTTCTTCATAGAAATTTGTTTCTTGGCGTTCATTGACGAGACGAATGATCGCTGACCGGGCCTCATGGCTGAGTTTTTCAGGGTGGCATGTGAAGCTTGCCAGTTAGCTTGATGTTCAATATTCGTGTATTATCTCATTACTCACGCTGGCTTATTTAATGTGGCGACGCCCTTAAAATCTCCCTCAAGTAGGATGTTCAACGCACCGTATCTTCGATAATCAATTGCCTTGAAGAGAATATTGTGTGGTGGACTGAGTAAATCACCTCCCTCCTCAACAAAGGCGTTGATCAGCTTCGGGAGAAAGCCGACATAAACGGATTCCATAATCGCTACATCTAGAACAGAAAAGTAATATCCATTGATTAGAAATCTTTGGGCGATAGACAGCAGGGAGCCGTTTTCAATGAGCCAATTTATCAGCTCTAGGCTTTTCCTCTGGCACATCGCAAGCATCAGGGGAGTGATACACTGCCCTGAGAACTCAAGTTCAATGTCGATTGGGCAACCTAGGCTTTTGAGCCTCTCACATGCAGCATGGTCGTCGTTCATTACAGCAGCGCATAAAGCCTTTGACATAGTAAGTAGTGCCTTTGGTTTTATGATCTGATCCGCTGATCGAACAACGTTGGCTTCAGCAGTTAGCATCTTGATAACATCAGGGTTGCCCCCGATGTATGCATAAATTAACGGGGTCCATCCATTTGAACATTCAAACTGCTTGGCTCCCATTTCAAGCAAGACCTTCACGATACTTGGATGGCCATTTTTCGCTGCGAAGTGCAGCGGTGTGAGGCCCTGGATTGTTTTCAGATTAACATCTCCTCCCCTTTGGGCAAGGACGCGAAAGGCTTCAGTGCGGCCGTTCGCTGCTGCATGGTGCATAGGTGTTCTATCATATTTGTCGAGAGTGTGCGTGTGGCCAGCAATGCTTTTGTCTAGCAGTACTTCTAGGCAATCGCAGTTGCCAACTGCTGCGGCGATGTGTAGAACTGTTTCCCCACATTTTAGGGCGTGTTTCCACTGTGGTGGGTAGGCGTCATTCTGAGTAAGAATCTCAATGGTTCCCCATGTGAACCCTTGATAGACTGCCGCCATCACCGAGTTGTACCCCGTAGAAGCACAGGTTTTCCATGGGTTTGCGCCTGCCTGCACAAGCACCTCAACTGTACTGATAGAACCTCTCACGACATGGTCGAATAATGGGGTCCCTACCTGTTCCGAGTTTGGTATATCACAATCTTCAATGTTCTGAAGCAGGCTGCGTAGAATTTGCACACGAATACTATCTGCGTGTTGTGGAAGGCTTCGTGAAGAGCAAGCATAGTGAAGCGGGCCGCGCCCATGTTTGGCCCTGTTTGCTTTCTGAAGATAATCAACCTGTGAGTGGTCTATGATGCAGGCAAATAAATCACTGGATAGGCTAGTACAACAGGCTATTTCGAAAGCACTCATGCCATCTACTTCAGTATAGAGCTCTGCGCCATTTTCCAGAAGTAGTCTGACCAAAGGCAGATCATTTTGTGCAATCGCATGTTTGAAGGCTGTTAGAATGGTGGGATTGGCCATAACGGCTGTTGGTAGCGTTGTTTGCTCAACAACTAGCATGAACATGGCTGAAAAATACTCCCAGTAAACGCCAGATAGTATACCAAAGGTCCCATTTAAGTGTATACATCCATTCTTAGGCTCCGCCTTGAAGTCCGGTTGCGCCAGTGCACGCAAAAATGCATCGCACAGAGGAACCACGCCTGACAAGTGTCGTTCTGTCTCAAACAGTTCCAAAACCTTCATATTGATGAGATAATCCAGTACTTCCCTTCCCCAAGAAATGCCGATGCTCGATATGTTCTTAGGTAGAGCAATGATTTCGCATATATTTGTCCAAACACGACATGATTCCGTAGTTTGTGATAGTTGTGATAGCGCCTCTCGTGGAAGAAGGATTTTGTATATCTCCGGGTTAGCATAGGCTCCTTGGCCTAAAGTGCAAGAAATGTAATGTTCAAATGGCATTCTTTGGTTGACAGACGACCTCTGATTCAGGTCAAACAGCGAGGAAAGCAGGTCCACACACTCTTTGTCCGGGGTTTTGGGCAGAAAATGTAGCGGCGACCCTTCACTGTCCACCCCGTCTAAGTCAACACCAACTTCGATAAGCTCTTTGATGATGCTAAAAGATCCCAGTACTGTGGCATCACGAAATATTGACGTATTCGATTTCCAGCATTCTTCTGTGTTGCAGTAGGGCAGCATAACAAGAGCAGAACCGAGACAACGTGCAGAGATAGCAGCGCAGATCGGAGTCTGCCCTTCCGAGGACATCATTCGTAGCCCCTGATCCCGCTGCTCACTTTGAACCAACATTTTCATGATGATTACAGAGTCTTCTATGGCAGCAGCATGCCATAAAGATGTGCCATCACGTCCTTTGAAAGTGGTAGAAGCCCCGTACTTTAACAGGAGCTTGAGATGTTCCCCCTGTTTATCTTCCCAGCATAAATTTGCCGCCGCTCGTCCGTCGTCCATTAAGTTGTTGACATCGCATCCGCTCTCAAGTATCAGACCCAAAACGTCTAGAGATCTTTCGCGTGTGGCCAAATGTATTGGCTTTAACCCTTCTACTCCGTCGTCTAATATCGTAGTTTCTAACCAGTCTAAATTTCCGTCTTGAAGAAGTCGACCTAATTGAGAAACATCATTGTCGCGAATTATAGAGAAGATAGGGGCGGCATTTTCTTCCCCAAGAGATATCTCTTGGGGGGTTTCATCCGTTGTTGTAATTTTCACCTCTGCGACAAGTTGTACTGTCATGGAGAATAATTGAAATCGAGCCCCGTCATCCACAGTTGGGGTACCAAGGGCCTCAATCAAATCTTTCAATATTTGTCCGTCATTCCATTCCTGCTCCTCCTCGAAATCTGGACAGACTTCAAGAGTTTCGCCATAAGTAGCAGAGAAGGCTCCCAAGTCATCGTCTTCAACAATGGCCCCCGCACGCAGAAGATCAATGATAATTTCAAAATACTCCAACTCGGAGGCGTCAAAGATAGCAGAAAGTCCGAGCATACCTGAAGACCTAAAGTCTGATTGAAATCTGGAGATTGGGCTACAGCCAGCATTGAGAAGTAGCTGAACGGTATCACGTCTTGCCTTACCAGTGTGTAGGCCTTTAGTGGTAGAGAATTGTCCAAGATCGTCAGAATCGGAAAATACGGCAAGGCCCCCAACAGCGCAATGCAACGGGGTTCCAAACCTGCTGGTCACGTTCGGGCTACAACCCATGTTGATTAGATGCTTTGTAAGTTGCGGAAATCCCAAGGCGGCTGACATATGTAACGGAGTAAAGTCTGGCCTGAGCAGAGCTGATATGTAGACTGCAGCATGCTCCTCATCGTCGAAGAAATCGTCGTGTGGCTCGAGAATGTCGTTAATGGGCCGAGTGTAGCAGTGCCTTACTAGTTCAATTGCCCAAAGACAAAATTGTTTGGTTTTCCGGGGATGAAATAATGTCTGGAGTTGGAAATTTATATTGTCCTCGGTCTCATCCGAGCCTCTATTCAGAATTATCGGCCAAAAAATGGCAGAAAATTCATAAAAAGGTCGCGATTTTGTTAATTGTAGAAGATTTCGAATATTCTCGGTGGTGAGTTGCGGGTCACATTGGATAAAATTATCCAAGGTTAAATATTTTAGGCAGATAGAAGTCAGGTATCCCAAAATTCTACCCCCAGATATGCTGTATGCGCTCAAAGTATGGTGGCTGGGGCAAATCTTCTCAAGAAACTCTTGCACCGTGAAATGCGCGAATTCAAATCGTTTCTTGTCGTTGGATCTGCGCACCAAACTTCCAACCCATCTCAAAATTTCTTGCTCTTCAACTATTTCGTCGGCATCCAATCTAGTGAAATTTAAAGAAGTAGATACTGCCTCGCAAATCATGCGAGAGCTGAGGCTACGATCTCCAAAGGCGAGGCCAGGATTCTTATAGGCGATAAGTAGAAGGCTGTTCTTCACTAGGGATTTCACTTGCTCGCTATGAGCGTCCACCCTCAACAGGATGCGCTCGTAGGTTGCCGGCAGTGTTGGTGGAAGTTGATTTAAAGCCTTGCGCCTAGCTCCATCTGTCGGAAGCTCACACATGTAATCAAGTTGACAAGCCACCCATCGGAACCTAAGTGCCTGATGATTAGTTCTGATTGTGTGGGATCGAAAACCGAGGATTCACTTACATTCCTTTCGCGCCTTTGACAAGTTCCGCTATGATATGGCCCCGAAGACTCATATCCCTAATCCTGAGTCTTCCAGAACCGATCCGTTCCTCCAGTTCTGAAGCCACATATAGTTGAATATCTTCGGTATGGGCTTCTATTTCGATGACACGGAACTCAATTTCGAGACTTTCTCGAATGAAGACCTCATCTCTGCTTAAGAGAGCTATGTTGACTTGTTTCTTCATGTTGCTATCACGCGCAAGTGCGAGGAGGCATTGGACATTTTCCTCGACTTCATTGTCGCATTCATCAAGCCCATCGATAATAATATACACCCGGTTGAAGAGTGTAGACATGGTGCTCAGAATCTCCCGCAGACCCTTGGTAGTTGGGTTCTTTGGAAGAGAGTCCCCCAGACGTAGCTCGTTGTAATACGCCTCTAACAATTCATATGCCTTCTCGTCTTGTCGAGCAAGTTGTGCAGCAACAGATGACAGGATATTCGACGCTGAGAACGTTCTCGAATCTCGATAAGTACAATAAAAGTATGCAACAGCGCTTCCAGGGTTTGATTGATTTTGAAGAAAACATTCGGCAATGATCGCCCCGGCTATCACCGATTTTCCCGCTCCCGGGATACCGTTGAGCCATATCCTCGCGCCAGGATCGTTGTACCAGCGATGAAAATCCTCCCCTTCCGTAAGCCATAAGCCAGTAAGTGGGTGCCGCAGCTTTTTACTCATTTCGAATTCTGACTGAGGATTTGCCTTGAGAAAAAAATCAAGGACCCGGCTCCTGCGTTCATCAAGTCGGATTGTTGTCTGGACATCAAGGATCTGGCTCGTTGTGGCTTGCAGGTCTTTGACTCGGCCCGCTGTATCCTGTTGCAAAGAAAGACATGCTTTGAGTTGCGTGATTGAATCTGCCGTGAGGGATGTATTGATAAACCTCTGTTGGTTTCGTAGCGACTCAACCATTTCTCTCATTTCTGAAGCAGAGAAGGGCCATTTTAAACGAGCCTGCAGCCTGTCGAGACGAGAGGGCAGCTCGAAGGCGTCTTTCGCCCCAGTCAGTCCGCTCTCAAGTCGGCGCAGAAGATTTCGACAATCATTAAGATGCTCTAGCTTGAGATTCGGGCCTCTCGTCTGGCCGGGAACGGCGCCGCTCTCCAGGTCGTAAGCTATGAGAGACAAATTGTGGAGGAGAAGAGATGTATTCTTCACCTCGTTGAGAAGATTGTCCACTTCTTTCTGAGCGCCTTTTACCTCTCTTCGATACTTTGCTACTGTTCGGAATACCACATCCGCCAAACTGACCAGTCCTGCAACGCTGCCAGCTATTGAGAGGGGATCCATCGTCGCACTCAAGTGCACTAGGCTTATTTCCTGTATGTACGATTAGGGTTGAAGGAGGGTACTTGGCGAAAGAAAAGAATATCTTTTGAAGAGATGCGACGAAGAGAAAGAAGTGCGCGAGCTGGGGCGGGGATCGAGGCGAACCACCTGGGCATCAAAGGCGACTGGACTCAGCCGCTCAGGCAAAATCTCACTGCATGAATCACAGTGGCTGAGACGATGAGTCTCCCAATCAAATGCTATTGCACTCCTCTCTCCCCTCATTTCAACCCTCCAACCGTGCCATTGGCCCATCCAGAAAAAGCCTCCCGAACCCGAAACCAAGCGCGCCGATGTAGCAGAGTCGAACTAATAGGAGCAGACGAGATACAGAGAATGTCGGGTCAGTGAAGGTCTTCATACATCGCATAGGGCACGTAGAGGACAGTTGGTAGGAGCTTCATCATAATTCATAGATAGACCAGAGAGAGATTCGGGTTTGGGGCAGGGATCACACCAACGATGAAAATACTAGAGTATCCAGAATACGCACTGTTGGGCTAATGATGAAGCTTTAAGGGTGGTATGCTCGGCACCGTATGTTCATTTCGGTGTTTGAAACGAGGACTGGCCTTCATTTATGGATATTATCAATAAAAAAACGGTGTTTAGAAGCTGGCCTCGGTTTCACAAGTAGTCTTTCGACGGTATCACAACATCCATGCGACATCGTTATGGAAGTAAATCTTGGGAAGCAGACATGAATTCCTGGAGGTGGCTGTTGTAAACATGATGGACGTAATCGTGAAAATGGCCGGTAATAAAACAGGTTTATCTTTCTAATAAATGAAAACGTTGAGCTTTTACCAACTATGCCAGCGACGAAGTTTCCAGCATCGTGCTATGTTCTTTTCGGCAGCCTCTCAGCGGGCACTTGATATCACCTCGAGGGTCTTTCCGTTCATATCCCCTTGTCCAACAGCAGTTGGATCATATCTCTATGGCCCAAAGCGGTCGCAACTTCTAGTGGTGTCATCTGATCCTTATCCCTGGCCTTAATATCCGCCCCCTTCTCTAGCAAGAGCTGAATTGTATCCGTATTCTGTCCAATATAGCCATAAGCAGCAGCAAGTGCTAGCGGTGTCATCTGATCCTTATCCCTAGTTTTAATATCAGCTCCCTTCTCTAATAAGAGCTGGGTGATATCTCTGTAGCCCCAACGAGCAGCAAGTGCTAGAGGTGTCCTCTGATAATTATCCTTGACTTCAATCTTGGCTCCTTTCTTTATCAGTTGACCGGCAATTTCAGGATAGCCGTAGACAAGGGCGTTTGACAACGGGGCTATCACATTTCCATCTTTTGCGTTAACACACGTAGATAGACCTGGGAACCAGTCTCTGAATTTTACCTCAGCCTTTGGGAATTGGTCTAAAAGCAGTTTTACCACGCACCCATGCCCATTGCAAGTGGCCCACGACAGTGCTGATCTTCCAAAGTTGACATCTCGGGAAGAGGTCATGAGCGAAGTCTTGAAGCAGGTCTTGAGACATTTCACAGCAAGCAACTCCTCGACCACTCTCTCCAGGCCGAAATACGATGCCATCATCAAAGCATCAAAACCTGACGGAGGGACACGACGTCCTTTCTTCTGTTGGTTTTCTTTCCAGTATATTTCGAACCAAATAGGATTTCCCTTCTGGAAGGGAGAGCAGAGTTTCAAGGCAGAAGAAATTAACCTGTCGCACCTCTTCATTCGTATCTGTTGAAAATGAACAACCCAGTTACTCGAGGCATAATGTAGTAATGGATATTGGTCATTTGCTTGTTCAAAATCAGGAGTCATATATATCTTCTGAAAATCAACCAAGAGAAGGTACCAGATGCAGATCTCCGCAAGGATCCTGTTAGAGTCCATCGGACACAGGTAGTGATGCCATGGCTGATTATCATCCACAGGCGCCGAAGATAATGGTTTGACAAGAAATTCTCTAGCAGTCTGATGTAGCAAATAGACCTTCGAGTCTTTAATAACGACAAATAGCCCACACGCTTCTCTGATATTCTGCTTGATTCTTTGTGCATCGAGCGGTTGAAGTTCTTGGTGGGATCGAGGGCTCTGGTGTGGCTGAAGGCCTTGATGCGGTTGATGATACAAGGTGATATCTAAAGCCACAGTCTTGAAGAGACATGGCTCTTTGCGCCGCAACAATGATATGCAATATCTTCTTGGTCTTTTCAATGCCTTTGCTTCTGTCTAGTATCAAATTGTATTCCTCTTCAACTGTTTTGGGAAGGTTGTGAGCACATGTAATGAGATCGCGCTTGGTGAGAATCGTGGCCCTTTTTAGTTCCTCGAACATAAGGTGAACCCAAAGATATGTTCGATTTTGTGGCTTTGTAAGTTCATCCATCAAAGTTGACTCTTCTTCCTCTGTCAGTCGATGTATTCTTGTGATATCTTTCAATCGCGCGCGGATGCTAATATCAATCTCTCTAGAGATTTGTTCCACTTGGTCTTCGCCGCTCAAATGGATAGTAGGGTGACGTTCTTCGAGAGTCTGCAGCTCCTGATGGATGAGAGCATATGGTCGACTGGTCACGAGAATTTTCAAGGAGAACTTGGGTGACTCGGTGTTGTAGAGCTTATTTAAAGCTTCTAGAAGTTGAATTCTGCCTCTCTCCTCGCATTCGTCCAGGGCGTCCAGATCCCGGCATCTTCACACATCGTGACTCGAGTAAAAATTCGCCACAGGTCTCTAAAGTTTTGCGATTCTCGAACTCCCTCAATTTACAATGCAACGTCATTCGAAAGGAGGGTAGGCTGTTGGTGAAAGATCTGGTAGAGGAGGCAACGCAGTGCGTCTGTGACTTCGCTCTGGCCCTGAAGCGCATCCTTGAAGAAGAAAAAGCAGGTTGTGCTATTACTTCCCGAGAAAAGGCTATCCACCAGATATTTGGCTAAGACTGACTTGCCACATCCTGGATCCGCTGAAACCCAGAGTAACGAGGAGCATTCTGTCCCTTGCCAGTGTTGAAATCGCTCGTGATTGATGAACCACTCGCAGGTTCCAGCTATGCGTTCAGGGTTTCTATCCTTTGGAACCTCGTATTCGGACCCAAAAGGGTGGAGGCAAGCTAGGATCTCGGCCTCGGCGCGAACCTCAATGAAACTATAACATATTATGTGTAACCACAGCATTAGAAGTGAGAAGCCGCAACCATACTTAGCATGGCGTAAACTGCTATATCCCGCATCACCATTCCATCTACTGCTCACACGCTTAAGCTCCTCATATCGATTTAGGTTATACCGCTCTTCTCCAGCAAGCAATTGTTATGGAAGAGGGCAAGAACAGGGACCGGATAACAATCACATGTCGATGAATCCATCAGCGAACTTCGCTTAGTCCACCCTCTTCACCCTGTATTTCCCCATCCACTCCGGCTTCACGAACAACACCCAGGCCCTAAACCCCAACAGGGCCCCCATCGGCAGCGCAAAGCCCCAGATCAACTTATTAGGATTAAGCCCGCTAGCCTCCTCCCCCGCGATCCACGCCTGCCAAAGCGTGATCGGGAGTGCCAAAGCCTCAAACGCGGCTATCATCTGGTACGAAGTCCGCTTTAGCTCTATCGCCCCAGGTTTATTCGGGAGCGCGAGCACCATCGGGACCGTCATGGCGACGAGGTTCAGGCCGAACAGTTGGAGGACAGAGGCAGCGTGAGGAGCCGCGGACTTCCCATCGGTCAAGTACATCTGTTCGAAGGCTTGCTTCGGGTTGAATATCATTCGAGTGGCCAGGAAGAGGTTGATTACCGATTCAGCCGCAAATGCGACTCGGACAATTGTGCCAGGTGCCGATGGATCAATCTGCACCAACGCTTTCGCGCTGGTTTCGGTATGTTTATGGGTGTTTGACATTGTTTGGCGTTGGGAGGATGAATGCTTGTCTTAGTTGAAGGAGTCGAATATGCTCTAGAGGTGTAGACCTGAGAGTAGGCTGTTATATGAATGCTTTTATAATCGGGGACAGAGACAAACCGCTGCCTCGCCCTCATGCCCCAACCGCAGACCCGCTGTTGATAGACCGGACCTCTAAGTGTTCCGAATGGTTCGGGAGACTCGGATAGCCCATATATTGACGTTATGCTTAACGTTATGCTTAACGTTATGGTAATCTTTCTCGATCCGATATAGTAAAGCCTTACGTTATGCCTAAGGAACGTTAGTTCCGAAGGCCCTTTCTTCGGCGCCCTCCTCCCCTTCCGACACACGGCTCGTACATGTAGGGTCGAATGGCATAGATGTATTCAGCAACACTTTCCAGCAAGCGTAATGACTCATGTTACTAATTCAACTCCGTATTTACAAGCTGGAGTTTGCCTTACATCCGATATGTCCGATCAAGTTGTTCGTATAACGGGATTTACACAATACATATACATAGGGCCTGCGCCTTTCTTAAGTACTCCATCATTACGTTTTGTTATAGTTACATTGATTTAAGATCTTTGCTTGTAGTGCAAGATGTCTAAAACCGCCCTTGTTTTTAGAGCTTCTGGTGTGACAGGTTGGAGCTTCGTAAATGAAATCTTGAACGATTTTCCCGAGCCTGATGTCTGGAAACGCGTGTACGCTCTCACAAATTGTCCCCTTTCGCTTCAACAATCTCAATGGCCAAACGACCGGCGGCTGAACATACATAGTCTCGGGGATAGACTTACTGAACGACTCACAAGAGGAATTGGAAGTAGCAATTAAGTCCAAAGTGAATAAGGTTGAAGAAATCACGTATGCGTATGATCTTGATAATAAGGGAGATTAAGACATGAAAAAACAGTTTGAAGAAGCGGTGACAATGTGGAAGCGAAGCGTTCTCGCGATGGATCATCTGAGTCCTAGCCTCGAACTTATGGTTTTGCAGACTGGTGGAAAGACGTACACGTACCTTTTTCCTTCAACTGGTTCCCATAAGCTAACACTCCCTAGATGGCTGCCATCTGGTCTATCAATTGTGGCCATCTATGCGGCCCCATGACCCTCCCCTATCAAGTCTTGTTTCCATCCAAGGTGGGAACTCATCAGCTTTTTCCAAGTCGTCTCTGGAGAAATTGTAAATCAGCCTGATAAGACCGGTGGATGCATATTAGTTTACCTACTTACACATGCCACATAGTCGCCCAACAACTCCACCCTGTTGCCACCATTCAGCAAGCGCTGCTAACACTAGGTAATTCAATTGAATTATGGCATACGCAAATATATGATAGATACTTTGAGTCAAATAGCAAGGCGTGTCCGTTTTCCTGGCGCCACCGAGCGGCACAGTTCCAACCAATCTGCCTTGAAGGGGTGGGCAGTTGGTGACAGAAATAAGACACCAGATGGATGAGCAATTATAGTAGAGCGCAAACAACAATAACCAGAGAGACATGAATAAAATCATGCAAATCTATAAAACAGAGAATATTGAATACTCATTTTCCCAATTACTTTTAGTCTCAAGTACCGAGTTGATCATACGCACCACCACTCTAAAACTGTGACAGGACAGACCCTTGGTGTCTCAATTCTTCTGTCGCTCGGCTACGGTTAGTCCACATCAGCGCCTAGAAAGAAAGAAAAGAAAAAACTACGTCAAGGTGGCTAATTTACATATGGCCCATATGTGTCTCGCTTCTGTGGCCTGGGTAGGGTGGCAACAGGATGGCGAGCGCCCGAAGCATTAGCAACATGAAATACTCCATGCTAGCCAAAGGTCAACCTAGATTTAGGTACGCCCAGCCCGACAATAGAACGCCACTAGGGCTACCTTAAATACAGTTAAGTTTTGGAGTGAATGCTAGGAGATTCATTAAAATTTGAAACCAAAGGGAGAGGGTTCCCTTGTTGGATTCCTATTTAAAGCTTCCTTCGTCACCGGATATGAACATAGTTACTTGATCCATCCAACCCAAAAACACAAACATCCAAAAGTCATTCTTATGGAAATACACATGTTGGCCCAAAGGCTCATCCGAGATTCCTTGGAATATTAAGGGGTACAATACAATCTATAATCGAAGGCATTTGTGATGGCGGCCCTAGTTGCTTACCTCGTGCTTAACCGTCGAAGGAGTAACTACGTGATCTTAAACCCATATCATCCTACTCTCTCGCGACAAGATTCTCCCACACACACACGACAAGATCCTCCTACTCGCTCGCGACGAGATTCTCCCACGCACGCACGACAAGATCCTTCTACTCACTCGCAACGAGACTCTCCCACGCACGCACTACCGGATCCTTCTACGCCCCCACCACCTTATGAGATTGAAACCTCGCTAGAGAATTCCAGCCTGTCTGAATCCCAAGAGATTGAGATACTCCGGACAGTGAATACAGTTATGGGGCGAGTTGATGATAGGCTAGCGAGCACTGTTGGTGGTTCGGGTAATATTTTGGCCCTCTCCTCTGCCATTCGCCACATCTGTGTTGAAGCCGCCATAGCTATCACTAAGGAAGGCTCTTCTATATCTCAATCTCAGGGAGAGGGAGATGAGGTGATTCTAAGAACCCGTCACAGAACTGTTGAAGCTATAACCACTACTGCAAATATTGCTCTTGCTGGAAAACAGACAGAAGCAGCTATGATCACAGCTACAGCAATTATTGAGGTATCAAATAGCACCCTTTCAAACATGGAGCAACACCGCGCAGCAGATGGCTATACATCAGCAGAGAATATTACATCCCTGAGCTATATGAGGCGCATAACTTCTGCTGTAGCTAGCGCAGCATCTGAGACATCTTTGGAAATTGTTCAGCGAAGTTCCTAAAAAAATCTGAATCTGAGTATGGTAGGTAGTCTTACTTTGCAAGGATAAATAGGGATAATCTAGACACCCACCAGGCTTGTGGTGCCAGTCAAGGTCATCCCCATATTACTCCTCCAATGCTTTGGCCGAGGTGCAACACAAGCCCCAAATCAAAATTAAAATTTAATTACATATCATTGCTGCGGCGCAGAGAGTATTGTGTCTTCAAGAAGTGGCCGTAGCTCTAGATATAATCTCTAAACATCAACCACGGCAAGTCCTCCAATCACATCAAGAACTTCGACCACTCATATCAGAGGCTTGTGGGTTGTGTATCGTTTTCCAAGACTCGAAGGTGTATCAGACTGCCAGAGAGCTTCTTGCCAAGCCAATATATTCAGTGAATATGGATGTTACTCATAAGCTAACGTATGTATCCCTTCCCCCTCCCTCCGATCATTCCTCCCCAGACATATTGCGGCGGCGAGCCCCCCGTACGGGCTCACGGGCCCGATCTCGCCTCCTCATCGCCCTCCTCATCGGCCGCCTCCTCATCGCCCACCTCTCCATCGCCCCGAATGAGACAACGCACAAGACGATGAACTGCCCCCACGCTGGTATGCCATTCACAACGGCCGTTATGGCCCCGACCCAAGTGGCGTGGAGTGTCTCCTCGGCGGTTTGTTCGGGCGTCTGTAACTAGAGTTAGTTCTATGGCATAAATGTCAACTACCTCTACGCTAGAGGGACTAACCATGGCTGCTGGGTTCCTGGCAGAGACATGGTCGCTGGTAGAGACTGGGTCGCTCGTAGAGGCTGGCAAGCGACTGAGATAAAACATGACGCACCTAGCGTTGAATCTTGACACAATATCAAAACTATCAACCCAGTTATTAGTACAATATCTAGTTAAATATTATAGAATAATTGATTATTCTCTTATTATTGTATTAAATAAAAAATGAAGGTCCCTGTCTTACGCGTAAAGAGCTTTGATGTGCCATGTTTTATTTCACCCACCTGGCTGGGTTGCTCGCAGAGACTGGGTTGCTCGCAGAGACTGGGTTGCTCGCAGAGACTGGGTTGCTCGCAGAGACTGGGTTGCTCGCAGAGACTGGGATGCTGATAGAGAATGGATTGTGTAGAAAAGGAGATAGATTTGGCAATGTAAACATTCTGAGAGATGCATGTGCTCGCCATTCGTTAATTCGGCAGGAGCATACAGGCCGTGGGATGGGAGGCAATTACAAAAGAAGGTACTGCTTCATATCCAGGCAGTTACCTAGCAATAGCGCGGTGGTTGTTGACTTAATTTCAATAGAGCAGGTGCTCCATGCACACATCATATGGTCGTGATTATTGTTCTTGTTATAAGCTATGTCATATAACTCGACAATAGCAAGTGTATTATCTATTCATTTGATTATTGTTGTCCAGCAGCCATCGGAACTACTCATGTAGAAGTGGGACAAACTTTTGGTGTCTTGATTTTTCTGTCACTTATGCCAGTGCTGTGGTTGGTCGTGTGGTAGCAATCAGGTTACCTAAGCGCCCAGCTAGAACCACATCCAGATGCAGTGTCATGCCACAGCCACTTGCGCTTCTCATCAACACACCACGCTCTCGCTCCGCTGGACTTGTGGTCTATCGTCATCTTAAGCTTCTCTTTGGATGAAATTTCGTTTCGCAGCCGCGGATGGACGACGCGCTGGAGCCCATCAGAGGGTTGGTCCATCGGGTCAAAGGGTCACTCTCTAGACACAGAGCTGATGGCGAATACTGCGGCTTACGCATTGTCCGCGACCCCAAGAATGCCGATATTGAGTGCGCGCTTCCCCTCCCGTCTCTCCATTTCAAGACGTCTCGGCACGCGTACTAAATAATCCATCTCTAGCATTGTGGCCGTTCATGGCCTGGGGAGCGAGGGCTTCAAGTCATGGGTCACTGTTGATCCCAGCCAGTCCAAGAGTCACAAGTCATGGCTCCAGGAGCTTCTCGCCAAGGACGTCCCAAATGCCCGCATCATGACCTACGGGTATATTTCTGATGGCGGGAGTTTCCGTTATGTTATCCGAAATGTCCTGTACGGTCGCGCTCTCGACATGGTCAAAGAGCTCGGGGCCCAGAGATGCAAGGACGGCACAGAGAAGAGACCGATATTCTTCATTGCCCACAGTCTCGGGGGCTGGATCGTCAAGCGCGCCCTCATTATATCCAGCGAGGCTGCCGACGTGGAGCTCAAGGACATCGAGCTGTCTACTTGCGGGATTGCTTTTTTCGGGACACTCTCACCTGGAAAACCATTGTCGCCATCGCCACTCGCTCACGTCATCCGCAGAACGACCTCTGGCCTGAATGAGGACGCCAAGTACAGCAGAAGGTCTTTGTCCATGAACTCATTTGAGCTCAATGAAAGCGACAGCGAGTGGCTAGAAAAACAACTCGAGGCGTTCAAGGCTATAATGACTAATTTACCCCGTCTCTCATTCCACGAGACCAAGAAGTCTGAGGATAGCTTCGTTGTGAAAAAGACCGATGCCATCACGGGATCCGACGGCGATCAAATTGGACTTAATGCGACTCACTCTGACCTCATTAAATTCCAGGGGCGTGATGCGAATTATGAAGCATTCATCAGCAGGTTCCGTGAAATGATAAACAATGCCGGCATATCAGGGCTGTTGGATGAAAAACACAAGGTCTTCAATCTCGCTGTGGCTCCCCCGTTGAATTTTCCAACAGAGGACTTCTCCATCCCAACCAAGATTCCTGGTGAACCAGGTATAGTGATAGGTCGGGAAGACTTGCTTGAGCAGCTTGATACAATTCTCAGGCCGAAAGATGAGACAGATAAGCTGCAACTCAGCATCGCCACTCTCTGGGGCCCAGCCGGTACAGGCAAAACGACGCTTGCAAAACACTACGCAGAAACACACCGCAGCGATATATCCTTCGTCATCTGGGTGTGGGCCGAGAGCTGGGAAACTGTTGTGGCAAGCTATCTCGAGTTTGCCGAGTCTCTTGTCTGCCACTACTCCAAAAAGGCGCCCAGAGCCCGTGTGGAGAACGATCTCGGCTTAACTGGAATTGGCGAAATGCTCAAAGTGAAGAGCATCTTGGAGCTTGATACGCCGACCGTCAAAGCGGTTGTACGGGCAGTGAAGGACTGGCTGATGCGCCCCGAGAATCGCGAGTGGCTACTTATCTTGGATAATGTCGACGCTACCTTCGACATCTTCGATTTCATACCTCTCACGTTGTCTGGGAGAATTATTTTGACATCAAGAGACAAAACTTGTTGCCCGTGGGGTACTGAGCTAGAGGTTCCCGTCATGACCGAGGCAGAAGCTATCGAGTTGGTCAAGTCCACACTTGGAAACGAAATTGCCGATAACCCTGAAGAACGTAGGTTTAGTGCCGTGACTTCCAACGAGAGAAAACATGGCTGATTATTGGCTTAGTTGAAGCAGCAAAGGAAGTCGTTAAGCATCTTGGTTACCACCCCCAGAGTATCGCCATGTTATCGTCAACAATCCGACATAGGGACATAACCATCAGCAAATACCGCAAAAGGCTTGACACAAAGTTTCCTTTAAGCCTCCCTGGTTCAAATATCGACCAATCCCCAGTCACTACAACCATCTTGGGTATCAGTGCCATGTTGTCAAATTCTGTGATTCCCGTGGCTCTGTTCACCACCGACCTACTAAAGCAAGCGTCAACAAACCTTTCAGCTAACTTCCCTGATATCAAATGTGAGGCCCCTGAACTACTACCTCATTCTTCTCGTCTCTAACAAGCACCAGTGTTCCAAGATCTCGACCATCTTAATGATGTCTTTCAGCATTTGCTAAACGAGAACTTCATCCAGACGCCGTCGTCCCCAACTGACTCGCCATCGCAGTCCTCCAGCTCATCCAGCTTCGACTCGTTCATCCTTGAGTCTGAAGCTCGTGATCATGTTCGTCGGTCACTAACCCAGGAGGGACAAGTCGATCACGCCAGAATCGCCTGCACTGTATGTGTCGACGGTATTCGTAGGAAGGAGTCAGATTCCGAAACCTTACCCGAGATCCATGACTTTGGGCGCATCATGGCTCCACATGCCAAAACATGTTACGATGACTGGGCCGCTGCGTTGGAGGTATCCCCGGACAATCAAGTGATTGCATGGGAGGTGCTGGGGAATGTCTGCATGACACAAGGAGCAACAGAGCAAGCCATCGGATGTTTCGAACTCTCGCTGAGAGAAAACAAGGCTTTGAGCCCCATAGACAGGATTCAAACCTCCCTGTCGCTAGCCACCCTACTGAACCAGATGGGGGAGTTTCAGCGGAGTCAAGATATCCTGCTCGATCTCGACCTTCTTTCCATTGACAAGGCACTGGGGTTCCGTGTCGCCATGGCAAGAGCCTCCACGTCTGCTGCACAGGGGGAGCTAGACGATGCCGAAAGCCAATACGAAACCCTCGAACACGAGCAAGAGCAAACACTAGGACCTACAGATATCTCAACAGTCAACACAGTCCAAAGGCTCGCCGTCACCCTCGAGCAGCTCGGCAAGTTCGAGGAAGCCCAAGCCCTATACCGCCGCGTCTTTATCTCCTACAAGAACCTCTTCGGGCACGCCCATCCCATCGCCCTCGAGGCCCTCGAGGACCTCGCCAACATCTCCCGCGCCAACAACGCCATCGACGACGCCGAGAGCCTCTACAAGCAGAGCGTGGAGATCAAGACTCGCTCCCTCGGCCCCGACCACCCCTCCACCGCGCACGCGATCCAGAAACTCGCCGTCATCGACGACCTCCGCGGCCACTACGAGGAGGCGGCCAAAAAGTACCGCCGGGCCCTCGACATCATGTCCCGCTCGCTCAACCGCGCCCACCCGCTCTACACCACCACCCTCGAGAACATGGCCCTCAGCTCCCGCTGGCACGGCCGCGCCCTCCAGGAGGATATCCCCTCCCCCTCGTCGTCGCGCACCATCAAGCCCAAGTCAAAGGACGAGGACGTCATGCACGAGACACGCCGGCGCACGGCCTTTGAGGAGGCCGAGCGGCTGTACCTTGAGGTCGTCAACATCAAGCGCGCCGCCAGGGACGTGTACTCGGAGAGGGAGGTGCTGGCCACGGCGTCGAAGTTGCAGGAGATGTACGAGAACGAGGAGTTCTTCCAGGAGGGTCGGGGGGTCAAGGTCGATGATCTGATGCTCCTGTTCCGGGATGGACGGCGGAGGGGCACAGTGTAGGAGTTGGTCCCCCATCCACGAAAACAAAAGTGCTTCATGATCTGGTTGGACGATTTGTTGTTTCCTTTTCTTGCACATTTGTTTACCTCTTTTGGCTTTATCCCCTGGTTTTACAAGAGCAAGCGGTTAGTATGTTTATTGGGTTTTTACGCCATTATTATTCAGGACATAGGTAGCGAAGGGTAACATTCGTTTTAATGAGGTATGATTAGAGACGGAATAGCAATAACACTCGAAATAGCAAGCGCGTCAAGATATACGTTTTTTATACTCCTAATAATATACTAAACATTCCGGATAACACCCAGACTAGTTTCAAATGATGCTAATTCAAGTACGCAGGTGATATGTGGATGGCCAAAACATGGCCTTGCTTTATACACAGGTTATAGATATGGTCGTCTCTGACTCCGGAGTGCAATTCCGCTTGCTCCCGCCGCCGCATAACCCCCTCCCTTTCCAAGGCGTAACATGCACGAGCTCTCGGGCGTGGATGATACTTGCTAAAAATACAAGCGTAGAGTTAGATTCCGCTAAATGTAGGGGCACAGGTTTCCAAAGCCGAAAAAGCCAAAAGCAATCGTTTCATTTCCCGTTCGCCCGCTAATGATAATTCGAAGAGCACTGCTTGGAGAACTGCATGAGTGTGCTGAATCGACGTGATTCATATCCCTCGTTCACGTGCTCTCGGTGTCTTCCTCGCCGGCCTCTGGGATGAGTGGCTTCTTCGGTTTCTCGTAGTGGGGCTTTCCTCTCTCGACGAGCATCTGGTGGTCAATTCGAGTCTCTGTGTCGCCATATTCCAGCCTCTTCCAGGTGAAGATTCGAGCTTCGTTGAAATCAATCTCGAACAAGCGCAGCCGGCGCACGTATTCGTCGTAGCCAGCGTAGCCGCCAAAGCCAACACCGCCGCCATAGCACATCCATAGTGCAGGATCTTCCTCCTCGCCTTCCAGCGAGATAGAGCAATAGTCATTGCAATGATCGCTAATTCTAGGGTTAGTCGACAGATCAAGGAGCGAGCCACGTCATATGAGATGTCCAAGACTTACTGGCCAGCGCTAACCATGAGGATGCCCTCTTCAACAAGGGCATCCCGGAATCCAGAGTTGAATACTGGGGCCGTCACGCCCTCGGTCCAGTTTCCTAATCGGGGGAGCTTAGGGTCGGCATATTCGGTCAGTGGAATATGAATAAAGGCAATGTCCATGTGTTTGTGCGTATATTCCCTGTGCTTGTCTTTGAGGCCACCTGCGGTCTTCTTGAACCACTCGATCTGGTTCGGCTTAATCCAATCATAGCCAGGGTAGTTACGCTCATCGGGAGTGTAAGAGTGGGAATCCAGAAGATAGATTGTCAGGGCCGAGTGGTCAGAAGAGCCTTTCGCCAGCACCTCAATGTAGTAGTTTCCTACTCCTGCAATGTCGGCTGGTCCAGTCAAAGATAGCGAGTATGGGAGATTTTCCATAATTGCCATCTGAGCCTCGCGAGAGAGGGTCCCCTCGTCATCATGGTTTCCAAAAATGGCTGCATAAGGGATCTTGCGCTTGATCAAAAGACTAGCAAACTTGAAAATGGGCTAAGAAAACGAAGGTTAGTCGAGTGTTTCATACACTGTGATGAGTTTGAATATACCGTTTGAGCATCCGGTGCTGAGTCTCCGTTCACTTGGTCGCCACTCAAAATAACAAGATCGGGTTTCTCATCATCGAGGATCTTCGACACGAAGTCCAATGTCCTCGGGTCAGCTTCGCATGGCCCGCCATTATAGCCGTCTGGGACAGGCTCGCGGCACACTCCAACCCCAGTGCTAAGATGTAGATCTGCAATCTGCAGAATCTTAAAGCGTCCATTGTCCTTGACTCTCGGCTTGGGCTTCTTGATCTCCGCAGGGGTGCCTCTTCTCACGGTAAGGTGGACGCTGTGGACTGGCGAACCACCAAGTAGAAAAGGCGTCCCCGTGATCGCCCAACCTTCACGTGCCTCAGTGGCATCATCCCCAAAAAGGACATCCACATCAGTAATTGCCTTTTTCGAATCGCTGGATCCCCTACTCGCGGAGCGCTTGATCCACAACCCCCCCGGGCGCTGCTCCCATAGATCATCATCCTTTTTTGATGTCGGGTTTAGTCTCCCTACGGAGATATCCATCACGACGTGGTCCTCAGACGTAAGTTCCTCCTCATGCTTGCGAGCGACGTGGAGGTATGCTCTACCGGTCCAGGATTTGCCGAGGTATAGTTCCTTATCGATTCGGTGCCATTTACTCGTATCGAGATCGCATGAAGAAAACGGGTTTAAGGAGGTACATTTTGCAATCGTTACATCTGTTACGACGAGGCCAGGGTGGTGCGAGGGCATATAGCCATGAATCTTGTTCGGGAGCACTCGGTATTTACTGTCGAGGATGTAGACGACGAGGAACGTAAAGGTGATCAATGTGGCCAGCTGAAGCGCCGTCCGTACCTAAGAAATGGCGAGCCACGGTTAGCAGAGTCCCTTGCATCCCAATACGGTGTATAATTGCTCGAGACTCACGATGCGCCGAGTCATGATGAAGAGGAGATTGCCGCAGGGGCTACTACAGCGGGAGAAATCCCTAACACTGTATTGCGAGCACGAGCGCCAGACGGATGTGCTATGCGACCGGCAAATCGAGGGCCAAACCGTAGATGGGCTGGTGTCGGCGCAAAGGGCATCTTCCCACAGCTCAGATGGCCGGGTGCCCAGTAGTATCTATCACGTGGGTGCGTTCGTTGGTGGGATGGCGAGAAGATGCGGAGGCAGTTGAAGTCGGAAGGGTTGCTCTCAAAGTCGGAAGAGAGCTGGAGAGATCGACCTGCCAAGACAAATGGGATGACGTTGCAACAAGGCGGGACTGGATCGGTGTCTAGTAGGATGAAGGCCAAGCAACGAGGGATGCATATATAGATACACGATATAGGAGTGTATATCTACTGTATGGAGAGCGACGAGGCAAGAAGCAAGTAGTGTCGGAAGGAGAATGGCCTGGCGGTGACGAAATTGATGTCCATGACGATTGCTTGATGGGCGACTCGACACTTGCTGTCAGTCGGAATTAGAGTTTGCAGCGAGCCTATTCCAGCGCCCAACTGCAGAAGCACGCGGTGTGGCTTGGCAGGGGGACCCCTATAACTTAGAAGGCCAGTGCCCGTATTGCAGTGGGGAACGGGGAGATGACGCCGAGACCGCAATGCTTATTGTGAGGAATGAGCTCTGCTGGCGGCCCAGAGTGCTAAATTAAGTGTGCTGCGGAGTCTGGCAAGACCCTGAATCCAAGAGAGATCCATTGGCAAGCCGGATCATTGCCGCAGCATCGGACGAAGTTATCCAACCATCCAGGGCAGTTGCCTGGAAACGTACGTTTTCCTCCTGCAGGATGAAAGCTGCCCTTTCCAACACATAGCACAATAATGTGCAAGCATCTCTTTCACGGTTGTGTTTGCGTTTGTTCTCAACCAAATGAAATACCTTGCAGCATTTGAGTCGTCATATGACACCGAACTCGCTCTTCACCAGCCTCATCGTGACTTGAGCCCTCGACTCCATCCAGCTAATTCCAGCAAGGGGTGCCTTATACTTTTGGGAGAAGAACCGCCATATCTGGCAGCGACAATTACGTGTCTCTATCAATGGCTGGAACAATAGCACACCAAAAATCACACAATGGGTCAATACTAAGTCTTTGAGCACCATCCGTCTGAGTTCTGCTAATGGGAATAGTCTCGGAACAGCCACAGAACTCGGGTGCATTGTCAGCCACAGCACAATGGAATTTGATGCGCGACTGCTGATTCAGCAGCTTTCAGGGAGCTGACCTGAGACCAGCATGTGGTAGGGGTGATCCGTGCGCGCCACTGGGATATACTTATTGGGTACTTTGCGTTTTCGTCATTATCGCCTGAGCTCCACAGCCCTTCAGGTACACAGCAGGTCACCCTTTACAAAAACAAAAGGCTGGCAATAACCTGCTCCTGCTGGGCGACGGAGCTTGGGACTGAGGTCGACCTCAACTGGACATCACGTTCAGGCTCTGCTCGTACCCTCCCTTTCTATTCATAATATCTCCCCATCCAAAGCGCACAAGGAAGATCTCACGGCAACTATCTCCATCACTTTTTTATCCCTGATTATCGCGGAATCATCATCCGTCTCTCGCGACCCAAAGCGCCAGCTACGCGCCCACTCTGCGATCGCCAATTTGCGCGTCATTGCATCATCTACCTCTCCCTCCTCCATCACATACCAGCCAACTCCCGAGCTTTGATACAATGGCAGAATATACCTCATTGAAAGTGCCGGAGCTGAAGAAGCTCCTGGCTGAGAAGGGACTGTCGCAAACAGGCAACAAGGCCGATTTGGTTGCGCGACTCGCCGAGAACGACCAGAAGAAGGCTGAAGAAGAAGCAAAGCAGCCCGAGCCAGAGAAGGCCGACACCAAAAAGCAAGGTGAACATGACACCACGCTCAACCCTTACTCATCCCCGCATATTAACCCCTGCGCAGAAGAACCTAAGGAGGATGAGATCACCTACTCCGATGATGAGGCTCCGGCCACCAAGGCAGCCCCCGCCGCCGAGTCTACAGCTTCCACCGCTGAGGCTCCCAAGGAAGAGCCCGCTGCCGAGGACAGTGCCAAGCCCGCCGATGAGGGTGCCGAAGCTGCTGCAGAGGCGCCCAAGCCCTCCTACGCAATTGGACTTGCTTCCAGCTCCGCCGACGCCGAAGCCAAGAAGCGTGCCGAGCGGGCGAAGCGATTCGGTATCGAGGAGGACGATGACAATAAGAAGCTTTCGGAGCGTGCTAAGCGATTTGGCCTCGATGACAAAGAGATCCCCGCCGGCTTGGACTCGGCCCTGCCCGAGCGACCCCTGAAGCGCGGCCGCGGCCGTGAGAACGACGGCAAGGCCAACGGAAGGGCGAACAAGCGCCAGAGCCTCGATCGCAGGGGCGGGCGCCGGAGAGGTGGCCGCCAGGGCGGCAATGAGGGCGGCAGCAATGCCGGTGCTAAGCCCAGGTCAAACATCTTGAGTGACCCAGCGGAGAAGGCCAAGGCGGAGAAGCGAGCTGCGAGATTCGCTTCGTCCTAGACGGCATGGAAGGATAATGAGCTAATACTAAGTCTTTTTCACGATACGCTCTCCTTTTGTCTTGCTTCATCTCCTTTCTATTTTGTAAAGTCGTTGGATGAGGACTCAGCTACGGGGAGGGATGGTACAAGAAGAAACCCAAAAAATGATATGAGGATAGCATACATGGTATTTTAAGTCAGCGGAAACTGGGTACTGGGCGTTGGGGCTTCTAGGAGAAAAAAAATTGAAAATTGAAAATGCTTCACAACCATGACTATGATCAACAGAAAAATCAGAACGTCTCTATTCATGTGCTTCGAATGCTGGGTTCTTTTTGTCCTTCAAACCAGAATTGCGAGGCAGCAAACATTCCGCTCCAAGCAGTGTGAGAGTTGAGAACAAATTCCAAGCTACGTTCCTCCTTTCACTCTCTAGGCCATGGAACTCTAGACTATCTTCCATGTTGGTAGGAGGCGAAGGATTTGCAATGATTCTGGAGTTTAAGAGATTACCTCCTACCGCGGGGGTGTACATCTGGAGGCATCGGCGATATTTCGAGATACCCTAGACACAAGACTACCTAGCTTCCTAGATGATGAGGGGCATCAGCGTCACGTTTCATTTGGCCTTGGTTCATACTAGAAGGAGCCATGATTTGGAAATGGAAATCCTGATCCGGAGTGCCACTTGGTTTTGTGACGTCCATATCTACCGACACCAGAAGAGAAACCCTGCGATGGTTTGAATCCCACGGCGCTCGTTTCTTCATTTGATTCTGCCTACACTGAGCTCACTCTCTCCTGCTCCAGGAAGAGGTTGGACATCAAAATTGGTATGGTGTCTCGATACCTCATGTACTAATTAGGTAGGCATTGCAAATGACAAAGATGAGTGCGCACCCTGTCGTGCCAGGAAGGGAGAGCAAGGTGATGCAACTCAACGCCGCACTCTTACCCCTCGCTTTGTCCGGTATCTTGTTGCTGTGGTGGAAGAGAGTGACTATGTCCTTGCTTTGTGTTAAACGCATGTTGTTCCATGTATTTTTTATCCCTGGGGCTGCTGTCCATAAGTATAGAGCCCAAGGAACCATCATATTATCAAGATATCTACAAGCAAGGAAGAGGGAAGTTGTAATAACCCTGGCCTAAAAGCTACCTAGGTCTCTGAGCACTTCTCTTGTTTCATGGGCTGTTGTGGTAGATTTTGGGGTTCACTACAAGATGTTCCCTCAAACGTCATCCAACCCATCAACGAGACGAAGATGGTGAACACTGCGGCTTATTATTATATTGCAATCTTTACCGTAGAAATAAGCACGCTTCACCTTATAGAAAGATACTTTTTTTTTTTCTTTAATTGTTCTACATTCTCCATAAATGTTGCCTGACCAACATCGATGCGTAGGGTAGGGAGGTGGATGGGCGGTTAGATGAAGACAAACATGTCACACCTGTCAAACATCAGATGTCTGGGGCGAATTAGAAGAGGCAAATAAGCACGAGGGTCCCTAGAATAGCAAGAAGAGGAAAGAATACGCTTGACTTCTCTTAGCCCGATCTTGGCATAACATAAAGCCGACAGCTCTAAGACATAGCCTCTAATCAGCAGGTCAGGAAGGCATATGCTATCCAGTTAGAACATTGAAGTCTACCGGAGACAGCGACCTAACTTGGAAACCCTGGCCTTGGCGGCCGCCGCTTGGAACATTCGGCGTCGAGCGCAACATCACGCAAATGATAAACGATCGTGTCAAAGGGTCAGCGATCTTCGATATCAGCAGGAGCTGGAGACGCTAATACCATCACTCGGACACCGCCGCTCAGCAAGCCCCGTGCCGAGCCGCCTGGGGTTACCCATATTTACAAGTCTCGGGCCAGTAGAGAAATAGCTTGAGAATGGCGGCGCTTAACTGTGGATGGTCTGGAGCTGGAGTTACCTGAAAAGGGTCGTGAAAAGGGTCGTGATCATGCATCCCGCTGGCGGCCGGCGGTCTGAAATGCTTGCAGGTTGAGCTGATCCAATTCAGTCCATGTGAGCTTCTGAATGTCGTCATCTGAAGCAAAACAACATGAGAGGACATGACTCTAGCGCGGAGTGCAGTTAAGCAGCAAATTAGAATCGCGGCCGGGCGCTCCCGCTAAAACATTCAGCTGTCTGTTGCTTACACTTGCGGGAGCGATAAAAGATCGAGGGCCAAACAAAGCGCTCCTCATGGCAACATTTTGAGACTCGAAGGGATGATGTGGGAGTCTGGTGACCGAGATTGGTAGGATACCGGAGCTGTGGCGACTGACCTACCTGACTACTCACCTGAGCATACGTGCATGAGTGATCCCCAATACATGAGTCGAATCTTGATAAACCCTGGTACTCACCCTGGGGGCCAACCCCGCAGTAGAAAAGACCTGCATAGAAGCGCCATGATTGGAGAAGGATGTCGTCCATATCGGCTGCAAGCTAGATAATAGTTGAGACGCCAGGGGAGGGGTGATAGCTATTTGAAGTAGGTTGGGGGCCCTGATACGGACCCCCATAGGTCTTGGTCAGCACAAATTAGGCAAGCCTCAACTGGAATTTGGAAACGAATGAATGTTCAAGACAGGACCGTGTCTCGGTTAAAAACACGTGAGTGGTCGTCGATGTATGACCCTCCGAGAGATGGTGTCGTTGTCTGTGGGTGTTCCGTGTTATTCGCCAGCCGTTCTCGTGATGGCGGCTTGACCAGTGAGGCGAGGAGCCAATCATATGCCAGAAACCCCTGCGCACTCGAGCAAGACCCTTGTCACTATGCCTGCTTCTCGCTGCGATTGGAGAGCACAATGCTGCGATCGAAACTGCCCGTTGCAGGATGGGAGGGGCCTGGTGGAAAGGAGTCTTGAACTATTTCCAATCTTCCAAGGGTCCCAATATCAAAGTTTTGTTCTCCTGGCTCCTGTCCAGGAGATGTTTCCATTTCGTCCCGGAGCCCGGTGACTGATGGCATATGGCGGTCAGAGAGAGCCACAAGGCGATGGCTGCGCACGCCAGGGCTCTGGGCAGCTTCGTACTGGTACTTGATTCTGCCAGACGAGTGACTTCGCAGGGGTTTGGCGTCATCGATTGATGATCTCAGTAACTCGGTTTTTTATTTTCCGTAGAAGCAAACGGGAAGTGGTGCGCCACTGGCCACACCGTCGCTCAGTGCCGACACCGCCACGGTTTTTGTGCCACGTCAGTGGGAGAGGCGGCTCTCGTGTGGCGGAGTCTGCCTTGACCCACAAATCTATCATCCCCAACCCGCAAGACCAGCAAGTTTCAACAATGCGGTCATTGGTACGATAAGGTCTGCGTAAGAAATGACTGCATATGCATGACTGGCTTGACAGTCGTTCAGCTTGTCAAGGTTCGGCGAGTTGAGGGCGCCCCAACACCCGCCATTAGTTCTCCCCAAGACCGAGGAACAACGCATCGGTGAGTGAGTGGCTGAGCTGTAGGGCTGATACATCGAATAGTTTGGCTATTTTGACAATGAGCTTGACCAGAACCACAGCCATGAGCTTAAAATAGGGGGAAAACAAAGGAAAAATTAGAGGTCCATTGTTTAACGGTTGGGCTGGCCTTGGCAGCCAACAATGTCGCCACTGGTGTAGCTGGCTAATATCCAACTTTCAACGGTTGTCGGCCTAGAGACTCTGAGTCACAAGACACCTTGCGTGCTCCATTAACCTAGTTGGCGAGGGCCTTCGTCATGGCCTTCAATTGCTCACATGTATGTATGTCAGTCGAAAAGAGACCAGATCGACGCTGAGTAATATACCGAGATTCCTTGCACATATGGCTATCTGGCCGTTGGCAGAGAGGATATGGATGTCTCCGACTGCACGGAACAGGCGAGACATGCACCGGAGGGGGTCGCAACTGCGTAAGCTTCTTGTTAGAGGTAGGGGAGTAGGGGACCTCTAAGTGGTGTAATTAGTGGGGCCCGTCTTCCCCAGCCGACCAGGAGGGTGTAACCGAGACATAGCCGGGGGTGTGATTGGTACAAATTCAGCGAGCCTGGCAAATCAGAAGGCGCGAGCTTAGCGGGTTCTGGGGGTGGGTGGCGCAGGCGAATCAGAGCCCTAGAAAATGCCAGGACGCACTGGTGAGCTCATGGAGGCAGCGATGGCTGCCACCTGCCTTCAGCGGGCGGCAAGATGCCTCGAGTGTACCTGCCCTCCTTGCCTTCAAAGGAAAGGTGTAGCAAAGAGGCAGGTCTCAACTCGCGACTAACTTTAGCTCTTGCCCTGCGCGTATCAAATTACGAGACCTTGCCTCTCTTGATTCCTTCGCACACCATCAATCTTCCTAGCTAAGTAAATGTCCTCCAATGAGTCTGCGCCGTGGACAGGGGTCAGTATTAGCCGCCTACCCGCTCATGGGTGATATGTTGGCCGGTCGCTTTCGCACTGGCGATCGTCAATCCAAGTCCTCAAGGACAAGCGCGATTTTTAGCGGCTGAGGCAGGTATCCCATCCTCCCGTGTGTGATAGCTGCACCCTGCTCGCAGCTGCTCATCTTTTCTAAGATTGCGCGGGCAGGGCCGCATCTTGACGACTGACTGTCCCATGGTCTGGTTTGACTGCAGTGTCTGCTGCTCGTCGTCGGCCGCTGGAGTCTTCGATCGATGCCGTCCTCGTATTCCTTTCCTCGATTTGTGGTTGCAATGGCGACGTGAACTTGGAAGCCACCCGCTCGCCCACCCCATCACGGCAGCAGATAGGTGACTTGAGTGAGGTAAGCGCCGGGCAAGACGTGTGGGTTGGTGGGTCGGTGCTGATCCTGCCTCTTGGGCTCACTTGCAGCCAGGTACGGCAGAGATTGGCCTCTCGGAGAAGCTGCAGAAAGACAATGTCTAAGACACACATATGCAATCTACGGAAGCGTTGGATCGCCAACATCGTGACAAGCAACGACTGGGCAACCTAGTCTTGAACTGGAAACCCTTCTGTTTCGGTGCATGCGACATATCACACGCCCAGCACATGTCCTGGGGGATT